ATTTCATGAGCAAGGAATATTATTACATCCACTCAGTCGGCCACTGTTTCTGCTCCTACGGCTGCTGCTGCATCCCTGCCTCCTCTTCCACCAATTCTCCTTTTCCATTGTCTCTTTCTCTCTCTTTCTCTCTTCACAAAATAATCCAAAAGAATGACGCGGATTATCCAAAGCTACTCTTTCACTCTCTCTCTCTCACTTTCTCTCTCTCTCTCCGCCAAGCTGTTGTCGTGAAGCAGCACAGTTCTCTCCTCGACAGAATGGTCCGTTTAGTGTGAACGGTCGTCGTAGCACCGTGTCAGTGGAGAACAACTGAAAAGGAATTGTGTGCAGATACCCAACTTTCGACATCCTTCCGGAAGAATGGAACGGTAAAGGGAAGAAAATAGTGGAAACTGTGCTCATGATTTTGTTGCATATTCAAAATGAAATATTTACACACTTTCTCTTCTACACTCCCATTGCGCCAGTTAGTTTAGTGCTGCTAGGAAAGTAGTTTTGTTCTGCGAGACCACCACCACTTCCTCTTATCTTCTGATCGTCATTCATTGCACAGAGAATCTCCTTCCTTTCATTTACTAGTCTAAGTGGTAACCAATCTCCTGTTTCTTTCCACCGTGATCCGGCTACTGTTTCAACAACCACAAAAGCTACATCCTCTCCCTCAACCTCCTCCTCCTCTTACCAGCCTTACACGACGACGACCTTACCACCACCGCCAACTGTTCCCATTTGATAAGGGAGGAGAGAGAGAGGAGTAGAGAAAGGATGCCTTTGCGGTATTCTGCTGACCAAGATCATGACCACAACAGCATAGGTCACCCACTAGTAACTAGGCATACTTAGATACACGTCGAGTCCCAGGGGGACGAGAAACAATGTGCAGTCCCAGATAAGATTTCACTACAATGTGGCGGTGCTAGTTATGACATGCTTTCTCATGCCAACAAGTTTTTCGCCTTCACATGATCGTATCTATTCCACCACCATCAACCAACCCTTCCCACCTACCTGGACAGAGACAGACTGTACTAAAATCTAAAATTTCACCGTGCTCTGCAGATTTTCTCCTCTCCATCCCACGTACGTACATGGATGGCAGCTTGGCAGCGAGTGCGTCCCAAGTACTAAATGTGTTTGCTATTGCTATGCCAAGCACATACAGCGGAGAAAATGAGGTTGGCCCAAAAATGAGAATACACCAACCAGTACCATTGAATGTTGCTCGTTACAATGATTATCATTGAGCAAGCTTACTACTACAATGTCTGTCTTCCACTTTAGTAGAAAAAATAGAAGCAGAGAGAGAAGACAAAATCTCATGAGCTCGTTCCGTACGTAGCAGTCTCCCTTCAAATGTACAAGTCGTCCATACCATGGCACTCGTTCTCCTACTACGCTTTCTACTATTTACTTTGCCTCTGTTGCTAGAATCTTGATTTCGTCTGTGTACGTATGAAGCTCGCTGGAGAGGAAGGGAGGAGAAGTAGAAGACGTAGAAAGCTAGACGCCAAGAGATCACAAGAGAGACGGAAAAAGCGAATGGTCGAGTTTTCGTACTCGTACACTTTCCCTGCCTGCTGCGCTTCTGCACTTGGTTTCGTGGGTGGTGGTGGTATGTGTTACACTTCTGATTCATTCTGGCATGTTCATTCATTCGAATTGCTACTGTTTGCACCCAAGAATCGCGCAAGAATTCCTTTCGAGGGGAAAAGTTTCGACAATGAGTTATTTGGTCAGAGATGACTTCCATCGTCCAACATCAGCGGAAGACTTAGCTCAGTCTGATGCATCTTCTTGTTAAATTGAGAATACAAAGAATCTCGATTGCTCATTTGTGAGCTGTTACCTTCCAAAATCCTCAGAAACTCGACACCAAATCCTCACTGGTTTTCTACAACTATGGAAAGAGTGAGCAAGTAAAAAATAGAGTTACATCTTCACGTAGAGCACATCGTTTTAGGACACATTTTTGCAGGAAATGAGAATTTTGCAGTTTAGAAAAACAAAAAGTTGAGTTATCCTTTCGATTATGTGAGAATACTCATTAATTGACTTATGGTTACTTCAACCAACACTCAAGAATCATGATCAAACACTTGGTGGCTGACATTACCGTCTCATCTTGTCGTTACGGAAGAAGAGAAAATGAAGAAAATACGTGGTCAGCAGTTCAACTAAATGAACACTCGAGGAGACAATTAGTTTAATCCATGGGCCAGAACCGTGCTGCCACCTGATCCCTGATTATGATTTCCCCAAGGTTTGTTCCACTGCTGAGTTCATTCGAGTTGAGACATTATTATTTCAATGCAAACATTGCAGCATCCACTTATTTACTACTGGTCGTAGCCTAATTCTATGTTTGCCTATGTATGCAATGTGCATCTAGCTACATATTCGTCAGTAATAAGGTTCAGAGATGTTGGGAGAATGAATGATGCGGAAAGTTGAATTTGTAAGCCAAATGATGATTGAATTGCCAAATCAGTGCATTAAACCTGTACGAGTTCATAGTATAAGAAAATGTCTCTTGTTACATATTGTTGATCCCCAAAACCATAAGATCAGTCTTATTCCGTAAGCATGCCTTCTTTAGCTGTGTGGCGCATGTTGCTTTGATTGCAACCCAATCAGAAATCAATCAATCGGCGCATCAACACTTTATCTATCCATGAATTGAAGGAAGCGACTGAAGTGTGAAGTGTATTATTATCCAATTATGACGCAATAAATTTGGCACTAAATTGCATATTATTTCAGTCACAAGGTATCATCTATCATCCATGTAATCGAGTCATAGATATCTTACCCTCACGCGATAAATAAGTTCACTGACAGGACCGGGCAGAGTAAGTAAGACAAAACGGTGGCAGTAGTGAAAAGAATGAAATTGGAATTGGCTGTAGTAAGATCAAACCGAGCACATGTTCCACCAAGGAGCAGCTCAGAACAATTGGAAGTGGTGCCAAACTGCTCATTGTTTCGTAGAACACGGGAACCAATTCTTTGTTCAATTTATCGCCCAAGCATGCATGTACTACTCGCTGATACATACTCACTCGTGTAGGTGTATAACACCTCCAGACCTGCGACCAGGACACCCTCACGAACAAATGATCTAATGGAGCTATCGATCGTTAGACTCCACTTTTCGATCCGATTCCTCTCAAACGATAAAGAAAGTCAATAAGGCGCGAGTACCTTTGTTTTCACCACGTTTTCTCTACAAAAAACATAGAAATTATCAGGCATTGTGCTGATTAAGGATGAGGGAAACTGGTATGGGATCCAAATTCCTAATGGGTACTAAGCTTAATTGGATTATCAACAACTTTCTAGAAAATATTGTCAACGTTTTGACAACCCAACCCATTCAGTCAGCAGTGTCGTTTGTGAAAACGTGAATGCATCTTTATTAATGTAGGCCAGTGGCTAAATCGATTGGGGTATACACACAGTATGCGCAACAACTATATATGCAAGTATACGGATAATGGTTCAATTCAGCCTGATTCATCGTCTTATAGGTACATAAGTTATCAGCCTAATGTGAGGACTTTACAATAATGGGGAAATTCAAGTCTGGAGCAGTATACGTGTACATAAACGAGTGCAACGTTGTGTATATGCATATTTTATTCCATAATGTGTTGCGAATACCTAATCCGAAGCGTAACAGTGAAAGAACTTTCCTAATGTCGGCACATTCGAGTTGAGCACATTAGTAAGAAACTTAACTCGAGTGTAAAAAAAAATATTATTTCATTCTCTTTTAATGGTATATCAAACGAACGACTAGCGTGTAATTTATGATCTGCCGATCAATAAAGGTCATTTATATCGGCTCAAAATGCTTTCAGAGGCTTCGACCTAAATGCGTATACCTCAACCTTGCTAATCACGTTGAGTGTGTGCTAGACCCCGTTTTCATGTAGAATTTTGAAGTGGTGAACTGTACTAAATAATTTGTATGAGTCAATAAAACACTCTTGTCTTGCTACATATTTATCTATTTGTTAGCCCTTATTTGAGTGTGGAGCTGTTTGCCATAAAATATTTAATATGGTTTTATTTCTTCTCGGTATTGTTAACAAAATTCTAGCAATTATTGATTTCACTGGATATGTATCGTTGCTTGTATATTTTTTATTAAAAACCGATCTGCATATTAATAGCAACTTTTTTGCTCAAAGATAATAAAGAAATCCACCCCGAAAATATTACACCCATTTTATTTACATTCCTAAAAGCAATTAATTTTCTATTTACTACTGTTTGGCACGTTCATATTATTAGAAATGCTCGAGATGCAGCATGGAGCACATATATTATAAGCTTTATTGGCTAAAGTGTTGGGTGGCCCGTCGTATCAACAAACAAACGCCGAACTTAAATGGGTTGAAGAAGTACGAGGAAATTACATTAAACTAAAGACTATTTCTACTGCTCGAGAGATGCAAGCAACAACAGAGAGAGAGAGAGAAAATAGGAGACTGATGGACCGGGCTGGCTTTAATCAGAGCTAATCCTCCAGAAAACTCATTAGAAACAACTCGAGGAAATCCACCTCTGTGCTTTCTCCCTCGTTTACTCTCCCATTTCACTCTCTACACTTATACACACAAGCTCATCTTCAGTCAGCACCTCATCACCGATTGTACAAGGGAAGAAAAGGGCGATACTCGTAAATCACGGAGCTAATTCTCCGCATTTATCTGCGCCTCATCGGACACACAGAAGGCAGGCATGCAACAATTTTATATCCCCGTAACCGGGTGCACTTATCGGTAGGGTGCTAATGAAAGGCGCAAATCCTGTAAATGTTTTTAATAAAATAGAAGGATATTTATGTGTTCTGAATGCAGACAGGCTGAAAGGACCAGTTAACGAGACAAGCTCGACTGGATGCTGCTGCTGGCTAGCAACCATGATTCAACGAATAACTCACTCCTGGATGATACACGAAACCAAGAAGTGAAAGTAAAATGGGAACATACCAGTTGAAGAACGGTGTTTACAACCTCCTTGTTAGTCACTTGGCCTACTTCTATGAGTCCGATAAGGACAGCGAATTTGAGGTTGGACTTATCCATCAGTGCCAACTTGGCGAGCTCGGTGGAAGCAGTTGGGTGAGGAGGATTTGCTTCTCCAGATTCTGAGGATGTTGTTGGTTCTTCGGTGGTGGTTTGGATGGATGCCGTTGCCGTCCGAGTTTTGGTCACCAGCTCATCGGAGGAGCAGGTTTGAACTGAGACCGTCTCCATCGGGGTCGGGTCTGGTTTCGTTGTCTCTGCGGTGTTCATGTTGGCGTGTTATTGTTTTACCTATGGGCAAATAAAACACATTAACGATTCAGTCCTGTAGTGCAATAATCAAATTAATGGTTGAAACTTTTTTTAAAGGTGAAACTATACACTTATTTGGATCAGGCCGAATACCACTAGTCGATGCACATCGAATTAGGCATTCATGATATGAAATTTGATCAGCTCTGCGACTTTCTGATTTAATTTGACCATTAATGTCCAAATATGTATATGTATGTATGCATACATATAGAATGGATGCATACTCACGCTGCCATCATAAATAACATTGCATGTATGTACATAGAAAAAATTGCAAATACAGCTTTTCTGTAGCCCGAAACTAGGTGTTATTGAATTTTATCAAAATATTTATTTTACATTTAACGTTAATTGACAGAGGGTACATTCCTTTTCATGCAACATGTCAAACCGGTGTGCGTCATCCTGGTTCTAATAACTTTATTTTATGTTTTAGAAGCTATTTGTGTATACATGCGATTAAATTTCAGCATAGTTTTACTTCCATAAAAATCGAAGATATATGGGGCAAGTTTAAAATTGTCCTTGTCATTTGCTTTTATTGCTATTTTTGAAACAAAAAAGGTTAAAGGCATGATCCAAACGAAATCAATCTGGTAGTCGGATGAGTTTACGAGAAATTCATGGAAAATGATTATGTCCATTTTGACTTAAAACTAACCAGTTTGCACATCTTAACAAATGGGCTCTAACGATAAAGCAGCTTATTCTTCTTGAACTGACCGTGTCTCTCCAGCCAGACAAACTCAAAATTTATCTCACCATTAAAGACTTCAGACGAAAAAAAAGAGTATTGAGTCCTACGTTAAATCAACAAAAATTTGAAAAATTACTAGTGAAAACAATTGTGTGACTGGCAAAGAGCGTGAACCATTCACATTGAAGCAAATTCTGCCTTCTTCTAATGTCGTGGTGAAAGAGATCGACAACCTGGTGGGGAACAGGCCTTCCTAAAAATCGAGAGCTATGGTCGTGGGGGGAGTTGTGCACATTGAAAACGAGGAAACCGACATCGGAATTGAATTAGAACCAGTAAAAAACAATGACTGTTCTGCTATAATGGGAACATTTGAACAGTAACTAATGCAATAAATTAATTAATCAATCAAGAATTTATGTGTTATCTCAAAAACAGATCACTGGAAATGGCTCTTTCACTCCTCACGCCCAAATCGTCTTCCTCATCAGAACCCCGCGAATGTCGCCTTGTAAGTTCTTTTAATACATATATATGTATAATTATGAGGCTATTATCACACTAATTACTATGAAATTTATGCAGCCATGGGACTGGTGGAGATTCACCGAATGCTCGTTAGATTTTCACGAAACACTCCTTCTTATGTACGTTATATAATAGTCATGTCCGTACGATGTAAGGTGTTGCATATATCCAAGAGTAAGAGTTATAAAAAATAATAGAGTTCAATTTTTCTTTCAATTTTCAAATTAACTTAATTAAAAATAAAATAAAACGTTGGTGTCAGTTATTATTGAAAGGGTAAGTGAAATTATTGTCAATAATTATTATATCGTTCTCTAATCGTACGTTAAGAAGATAATTATTTATCTAATTTTCTTTTAGAGTGGATATCACATCTGTGTAGTCAATTTGTGGACGTGGTCAGACGGGAACAATTTCCCGTCTTATGAAAGGAGTGTTAAAGAACAAAACCATTTCGTCCGAGTGTCCAATTCCCACATAGTTTGGCTCTTTTATGCGCAGGATATCAGGACGATTGAAATCCTGATAACATAGAGCATTAACACAGCCCCTAACACCTTAACGGAGCATCTGTCGTAGGATCTTGTTATTTATTCCTTGACGTAGAAGAGACAGCCCTCTCAGCAGGGAGTAGCGGGACGGAAATCGCTTTCACTGAATCAATATAAACCTTCAAAATGTTAACTGTGACAAATTTTGGTACAAAGTGACGAATGTGTAAACTCCGTCCCCAGTGAATCAAAACTTGTTTCTTTTCCAAGCTGGCTGAAAGACTTGAATTTAAATTTTTCGGAGTCTTCATAAAAACTGTGATTTCGTAATCTTCATAATTTTTATATTAAACTAAATAGCTTTCTCTGTGAAAAAATTGACACACACATCACAAATGACTACGTGCTATTTAGCAGTCGATCTGAAACAGCTTAAAATACTTGAGAAGAGAGTTACATACTGACATCCAATTACACGTACAATATCAATTTTGTACCCACTCGGGTAAAATATTCAACAAACACTCATAACATTTTCTTATTGGTGTGGGTGCGTGGCCAACAGCCGGTGCACTTATCAGCCACTCTGGTGTCGTCCCTTCCCTGCATGCTGGCCACAACCACAAGAAGAGAGAGGAAAACTGGAGTGGAAAATAAAATAAAACTGGAAGAAAGTGGAAGAGACAAGTCTGGAGGAGAGGAGGAGATGCTGATGCCACTTTCACTATTAGTTACGGCATCCCCTAGAGAATCGTATTATCTAATATGAGAACTTTGGTTGTGCAAACTATCCTATAAAATCTTTTGAAAAGAGATCTCATGAGTTTGAGTGCCTTAGGACTTTCACCTTCTCCTCCTCCTCCTCACAAAACACGCTTTGCTACTCCAACGGCGTCCACTTTACACTCCGTTTGAAAGCCCTGGTCTCACTTGACATTAAGGATATGATCATTCAAATAAACTCTTTTGTCCCCGACCAACCTTGCCTACCCAACACACAGAGACACACATCTCTCATAAAAACGCATTCATTCTTTCAATCGCCACCACACACTTCTTTTTATCCCACACACGCCTTTCATCAACCAACTTTCTCCACTCCCGCTTCCGCCTCAATGCCCGTTTTGTCAATGCAGGCCCACACAATGGACCAACCTGCATGAATAAACTTCCCATTTACACTGAACTTTAAAGTCCCTCTTAATAACAAATGCGAATGAATCGTATGCCATGGTTCAAATGACGTTCATTCGCGTGTTGACAATTCCTTGGTACAATTTTCATATAAAAATATATAAGAAGCGACAACATCTCGAAGGAGAGGTCCATAGATGCAAAGATTGGAAAAGTGCGATGGAGAGAGTCCATTCGTACAATGTGATAAAAGTTTTACAAGAAATTCGTCACCAGGAAAGTTCAACCAGTGCAAGAACAATGGTATTTGACACGTGTGTATGAGAAGACACTCACTTCTACTTATGCGAGAATGGTGAGGATATTAAAATTTACATATCACAGGAAAACATGCATTTATATGAGAGAGAGAGAGTGAGAAAGAGAAAGTGGAGAAGAGACAAATAGGGGAGAGACCAAATATATTATATTGTGAATTCTTTGCACAACGAAACGGAGACGTGAAGTTTGATGAGGAAACATGAGGAAATTGCGTTCCGGCAGCTCGGTTTCCTCTTTGATTCAGATTTGTCCCTCAAATGTCAGAATCCTTCAAGCAACTTCTTCCTCCTCCCAGAAGGGTCACAAACGAGCAGAGTTCACAACATGTTTTGGGGAAAGGTTATCTATTTACTTTCTAAAAGTGGAACATGGGAAATATGAGTACAATGATGGAAACATTGTTTAGTTGCTACATGTCAAGGTCAAAAATTTATTAATAGCTTTGAAATCAACCACTTTACTTTGAAATGTAAGACAAGTGTTCTGCAGACCTTTGACTTTTGTGTTCTTTAAAAAAATACTACTCCAAACTTAATACAATTACAGCTCAAAAGTCGAGACGTCCTTATTGAAATAGACAATTTTATTCATTGAAGAACCACTCTTTGTTTAAGAGAAAAGTGAACTTGTCTCGTAGGACAATGAAAAATTTAATTTCCATCAAACAAGTCTTATTGCGTGGAAAAGTTTGAATCGTACTACATTTTCCCCATGTCTCATCTTTCTCTCTCTCTCTGCTTCAGAAAACTGCTCAAAGTAAACTCAATTACTTACTTCGAATGTTGAAGGACTTTTCTTTTTATATGTCATCAATGGAATCAGCAGAGACATTTGACACTACTCAGTCCACTTTGTAGTTTGATAGGATCATAAAAACGCCAACTGACAAGGACGCAGCGTGCAAATTCTGTTTTGATTATGCAAAACGAGAGAAAGGAAAAGCATCAGCATTTCCACAAACCACTCTTCGCTCTCACACAAACACACATTGACTGTGGAATAAAACTGCTCAAAATCAAAACGGTCTGGTCTGTCTCTTCCAATGAAATTTTAGCCCACTCTGTAAAAGCCTTGTGACTCCGACATATTTTAATTACAGGTTTTCTGCCCAGCATTTACTTTGTATGCTAAATATATGAATCAAGCAACTAATTAAAATCTCTCTCTCTCTCCCTGAACACATCTGTATTCGTCTCTTTCTTTGATCAGAACTATGGTAGCTCAACATAATATGTGGTGATCACTCTCCAACTTGGAGGATGAAGTCCATGTTTAATCGACGCACACCGTACAAATGTATAAATGTATCTATATCTGTATATAGCTATAGCTCGGCTATTCGGGCAGATTGTACATATTCGATATATACCATTGTGCACATACAAGTCTTAATTAATTCGGTATAGAAACACTTTTCCTTTGTTCCATACGTAATTTCTGGACAAACCCGGAGGATCCGCTCAGACAATAATTATACATAACGCGCACAACAAATTCATGAACTACCACTTTAGAAACTAGGAACAAGTGGCACCTTTTCAAAACTTGTTCGAAATTTGATGTGCTCAGTTGAACAAACCTGTTATTACCAAATCGTGTTGACGAATAACTTTCAACAAAAGCGGTTGATAAGTTTTCATCTCAAATTTCTAGATTCGTGGAACTAAATATCTGATGAAATCATCTCTACTACGTAGAAATTCTCCCCGACAGCAATCAGAAGTAGAAACGCTACAAATTTCCATTCCATTCTAACCAACACATTAACTTTCTCCAACTCATTTGTAAATTTCCCTTTTCCGTCGACCATAATACGGTATTACTCCAATTTAAGAAATAATTAAAGTTGGTTGGGCAGCGTGATTTGGATAAAGTTGGATAGCCAGGGAGGAAGGGAGCAAATTAAATATATGTAGCAAGGATTCTTCCAACGTGTATAGGAATATGCAGCCAGTGCACAAATAATTAATTACTTTTCACTCATGGACCACTGCCCCCTCGGAACTTGACGCATTAGTTAATTATGGATTTCTACTTCAATCTTTCCTCCAGATAATTCATAGGGCATTGAAAGTTAAAACTTTCACCCGCACTCTCTCCCCGAGAGAGTTCACTTCACTTATAGAATTACCAACAACGAGTCTCCCTGGGTTCAAAACAGCACAGCAACCACCATCCCATCTCCTTTCCTGTCTTGACCATGTTGTTGATCTTTTCCTGGAAATCATCTGTTCCCTTGTAGATACTCGTTCTAGTTGAGCCATCGTCGTGAAGGAACATGAAATACAATTACTCTCCCAGCCAACCTTATGCCCTCACCATTTTCGAAATGGTGAATCGAGTTTTCTTCCCGATCAATCTCCTTGTCCGGTGTGGAACAACTTTTTGCACTTTTCCCACCACAATTTTCATCTTGGAAAAGAAACGAGTTTATTTACTCTGCTATGCTGCATGAAACAAGGTCAATCAATCATGTTTACTCTAATATGACAGTGGCAATTTACAGAGGGGCCGATCTTCGTCATTAGTTGTAATTTGGGATTTATTTTTGTAGAGTCAAATTAGAAAAGTCATGGAGTTTGATGGCCAAATCAATCAAGCCGACGGTATTTTTTTCTCGTCTATTATGTATACCGACAAACTATCAATTACTAACTTTGAAAACCATCTTAAAACGGGATGGGAACCAGTATTTCGCGGCATATTTTTTGAAATATGAGTACCTACACCTATGTATAAGTGCTTAAATAAGTAGTGATGCGAAATCAGGACGGGGATAATTTGCATATGCATTCATTCAAAACCATGACTCACCGAAAGAACAGGCTCAAACAGCACGGGAAGAATAGAAGCTTAGGAGAAACTGCCACTGATGGTTATCATGTGTGCGATCATCATGTGGATGGCTGTTTGAAATCACTTTGCACTGAAATTCCCGTATTCTAATGGCAACGTTACGTTGGCTCGAAAGTGTTTGCTGCTTACTTCGATCTCCTCGCCTTTGCTTTGCTATATCGTTATTGAAGCAGTGCTAGTTCTGTAGTCCTCTCTGTAGTGGGGACGAGGTGGGTATGAGTTCAGAGGAGGATGGGATTAAATATTAATTGAGAAGCCATTCCTCCGCCAACAACTTTCACCGGACATGGCAATAAATGTAACCATTAAGTTAAGCTTACACATGGACTACGTTCATTTGTCACTTGAACTAAATCGAATTCCCTTCTGCTCGTCAGTCCTAAACGGAATTCGTATTCTTTCTCGTCAAAATCACAAACTTTACGTCCTTACGACCACTTATTTTAAAGACTGGACAGTAATTTTGGTAGTTTTTATTGCAAAGTTTAATTAATCACTCTTTTTTATACAGATGTTGGAATGTCTTGATTTGATGTTTTGGTAAATACTGATTTCAATGGAATGTATGTACGTCTTTACTTTGGTTTGGTTTTTGAGGAGAAAGCTGTAATCACAAATTTTATTCACAACACTTGTTATATATCGTCCCCAAAAAACCTAAAATACTTTATTGGCGTTGTTCCTAATGGAGAGATCGGTTAAGTTTGGTTACATTTCAATAAGCTTTTTACATTTATATCGGGTAGCTGTAGTAAGTACTTAATCGTCGTCGATTGATTGTGGAAATGTCAACACTGTTAAGTCAAGAATTGAGAAGCCACTGTCAATTCAAATTGAATTTCGCATTAAATTATCGTTTTCTTCAAAATACTGTGTATAACTTGCCGATTTCTATAAACTATTATTATTTCTACGTTTCGACAGGAAGCAATAATAATACTAACTTTCTACTCTGCTTAACTTAACTGCCTAGTCTTGCTAGGGTTGTTTAATTCGGTGGCAAATAAATTTTGCACTGAATTTATGTATGTATGTAAACCGAATGTGGCTGTGTCTGTGCGGATAATAAATACTGTGTAAATAGTCGAATACTTAATAAGCTTGTATCACTTTTGAGCGATGGAATAATGTGTACTTGTATTTGCTGAAGAGCTATATTTTAATACAATTTGTGTCAACTTGCAATTATTATTTTATTGTTATTTTTACTGAGCTAGTGCATTGCATCGCTTGGTTGCTGGTAAGTACTTTTTTTAAAATTTAATACTTGCACAGATTTAGAGGCTTCATGGAAAATTAATATTTTTATAATGAAGATCACAAACAAATCAAGTTTGTAATAAGTAACTTAAAGTAATATGCAGTTGCAGTTCGTATGATTAAACTTGTTAAATGTGTCTTAATTATTTTATGTGATTAATTGCATAATTTTTTAACCTTAATTATTATCGGCTTTATACTGCATGCTCTAAATTTATTTAAATTTCTTAAATATGTATGCACTTTATATTTTATCACTTGACGTATATTAAAATTATTTATGTTGCTAAAAGACGGAAATTTAGTTGAAGTCTGTTCATACGTTTGCGAAAAGTTTTATAAAATGACATTTATCTATTCTATTTATGTTATCTGTCCAATTTCCACTTGTTTAAATATCAATTCAACTCTGGAAATGAAATGAATAATTTATCCCACATAAGCCAGAGTTGGTTTGACTTGATTGACACTGGGGTTTTCTTTATGGATGGGATAGAAAATGCTTTCACCACTTTTCTTCTTCTTTTAAGTCGAAGAGTTTGAAGCATTGCTTGAATTGGCTTTTTTCGGAGGAGGACCAGAGGGTTCTTCTTCGTCTGAGAGAAAACTAAACTGGAGTCTTCCTATCTAGTCATGACTTGGAGGATTTGGTGATAGCAGAGCCAGAAAAGAAAGAAAGACAGTCTCTCTGATACCCGGATAGCATTGGATGATGTGCTACTGCTGCCCGTCTACTGCTGCTCGCCAACTTTCCCTCATGCCGTGTAGTGCACACACCGAATGAAGTCACCCTGAACCACTATACCCGCTGGTCATGCAACACCTTGTGATCAATACTGGCCAGGTAGATGCCAAAAACGTATAAATGCATCCTCATTAACAACTGGAACAATAAACCTCATCATCATCAACATCACACTTTCATGTTGAAGCACATATGCATTTCTGCAGGAAGGAGGACAACGTTGGTTCCAGCACTGGCACGATATGTCGTGTGTACTTTTGTTTGGGAAAAATTTCGTAGAAAACATATTACATGTCAAAAAAGTTGGATTCGTTTTCAAAAACGAACCTGGTCACAGGTGGGCAGGTGTGAGATATGAATGTGTGTCCAGATTCTGGTCGGAATGTTTGGATGCAACAATAACACACCAGTGCAGCAGTATTAAAAAGATGTGCAATATCAGGAGTAGCAGCAGGAATGATTCTCTCCATCAGAAACCCACTTTTTGTGAGAGTTTCATGGGAACATTTTAGCAGCCGTGTAACCACGCAAGGTATCTTGGCCCGTGAAGCCCATTTCTAACACTCTTTACAAAAGTTGGGTCTGGAAACCAGCTGTTCAGTGAATGCAAGAAGGTCAGCAACCGAAAAGGGTTGCTTACGTGGGAACAATGCATGTCCTGCGCGTTTTATGTAATCTCTCCAGAAAATCCTGGAGTTCTGCCCCCATTCCCGTTTTCAACTGCTAAATCGAGAGATCGTGCGAATCGTTTGTGAACCGTTTAACTCTGCCAACTTAAAGGGAGGAAGTGTAAACGATTAAAAATATGAATATACTGATGTATGATACGCAATACACATTATTTCATACAACACATTGATCCAGATTGTCGGCTAACGTTGCTTATCTACGCAATTTGTGTACTACCAAGTGATTCACTCTCACTATATTGTGTGCCTCATACCAATGTTTCGTATTTTACTCAGATTTAGCACAGTCTGCCTGCAATCTTACCACTCACCCGTCAATTAAAGTAATTGACAAGTAGCAAGTCGTGAGTGACAGATAAGTTGAAATATGAACACAGATTCGTCATGAATTCTCATGTAGATAATTCATTTTAAAGAGATCTGACGGTAATGTTATTCACCAGATGATGCTGGTTAGTATGTGAAATGATCTCATTTGAGGAGATGTCCGTCTGGCTTGAAAACCTTAGTCTCAGGCCCCATTCGGAATTTGCATGATACACAAGTAAAATTTATGTACACTTCCGGTTTCTAAATTGGACTAAAAGAAATCACGATTTAATACATCATATGTACGTGTTGTTGAAATTTGATCAATTTTTCTTTCTCCAACCATTTTTCGTGTAATATCGTCATGCATGCAACTGGAATATCGCCTTGCATGCAGAGCATGCATCATGGGGAAAGAATCGTGAGGTGAGGGTGAGTTAGAGACCGGGGGCATGGAAATAGGAAGTGGAAAGGACTTCCGAGAGGTATATCGGAAGCCACTCACTTATTATTACACTTTCAAACTTCCATGATGTCTAATGGCATATCATGACTAATTCAATCAAGGTGTCCGACCCACCGCCGAGAATTCATGTGAATAATTATTCTATTACCTTAACCTGCCTTTCTACTTCTCTCTCTCTATGTCGGCACTGGGCTTTTGTGTGTACGCATTTACCACAATTTATATTCAGACTGTTTTACATTTTCTAATTAACATGACTCTATCATTAGTCCGTCACGAATTTTGGGTATACAATTTGCGCATAATTCGGAAAGTTGTGGAGAAAGTACGAGTAGCTCGACCCGATACATAGGTAAACTTTACAACTTGGAGAAGTATGTACCTAGTTTGCATACTGGATGTCAATGTCATTTTGATTCTGAGATTTCAGAATATTAATTTCAGTTCTATGAAAAAATGTTTCTGAAAAATAAAAATAGTCCTTTTTCAAAAGGAAAAACTGAACTTAATAATCTCAACAAATTTGTGTTTGCATATTGATTAGGACAATATGGCATACCGGAAATTTCTACACTAATGCCAGCCACCACAACTCTAACTTTGATGGGATTCTATTCTCTGAAGGGAACACAAGCTTTCGCAACATTTGAGGTAATATGATTATGATCCGGTATGTACATAGAGTTTTGACCTACACACGAAACAATTTCCTTATATAGTTCCTGTCTCAAGTCTCTCGGGAATTCGACCCGCAACGCTAATGTTGTCTTCTTGGCTCGCAATTTTGGGATGAAACCACAACATTCTCGCTAAAGATGTGAGGCGAAGGCGAGGCGAGGTGAGAGGATGGATGGATTCATAAACTTTGCGATTTATTTCCTCCTCCGTTTCTGCAAACACCACAATTCAATGTTTTCTCGAACAAATTGTCAATCATATGAACATTGACGAGTTACTGATGCCAGCAAATTGCATTATTCTACAAATTTGTATCTGTGTGTAAACAGCTGTCTCTCATCTCATCCTTGCCTGGAAATTTAATCGATACTAAAATCAAACTGACTCCATGAACTTATTAATCAATTTTATATCCATGTATATATTTCTTGGAATATGTTTCTATGCAAAAATATATCTTAAATAGTTAAAAATATATTTCATAACATAGATAAATACCAAATGAGACAAATATCAATGCTGAAAATGTGTTAAATCTTAATCAATAAGTCTGCCTTAAGAATTAAACTTGGGAGGATTTCCTCCAAAGCTTTCCCATCTTATCGCCAATAAATGCAAAATTAATTTAATCCCCTGAATGGAATTTATATGCAAAACTGAAGTTTTTCATAATTCAGTAAATGTATAAACGGGCAATGTGATATAAATCCTTTTGGCAGTTGCAACTGCCAACTAGTTGGAAATTTGACACACACTGACTGCACTCACCCATCCGGCCTCTCTCCAGTTGCGCTACGCTACACCCTGTTCTCGACTCCTCCAAACCAAAATACAAATATTTTTCATTTTGTGACAAGGTAATTAATTACAATTAACAATTTATCCTAATAACTGCTTCTTTGTGACTCATGTTTTGCCCAGTTGTCATTTCATACTGCCAACTTATAGTCTACAAGTTGTACTGGCAAGCCGCTATCTTATATATAATGTGACATTTTGGTAGACTTATTTAATTTCATATATGCTAGTTTGTTATTAGATAAATAACTTGTTCATTTCCGAGTAAATTGATCCAAGGATTTTTACTTCTTGTTTTGTATCGCAGGTGGAAAGACCGAGCTGAATTTCATCATAATTCTTGACAAGGTGGACGTTGACTGTTCTAATTTCTAAAATGTTGGACAAAGCACGGAGCGTAGGTTTGGCTGGTCATGTCGGGTTCGATAACCTTCCCGACCAACTTGTGAATAAGGCGGTGCAAAAAGGATTTGTGTTCAACTTATTGTGTATAGGTAAAATTTTCTCGGGTTGATAAAACGTAGATTTTAAATTGTGTAACTGCACTAATAATGCCGACTGTGTTGTTTGCTTAGGGGAAACCGGAATTGGAAAGTCTACTCTTATGGATACATTGTTTAATACCAGTTTTGAAGCGAAACCAAATTCTCATAAGTGTGCATCGGTAATTTTGAAGCCACAAGCATATGAACTTTTGGAAGGCAACGTCCAGATGAAAGTACGTAACAAAGACATTGGTGGAAGGTCGTTACCAATTTGTTTTTGATGGTTTACCATTTGTAAAAATATCTACAGCTCACCATCGTTGACACTGTCGGGTACGGAGATCAGGTCAATAAAGATGACAGTTTTAAGCCAATAGTGGATTATATCGATCAACAATTTGAAGCTTACCTACAAGAGGAACTTAAAATCAAGCGATGCCTTCAAGCATATCATGACACTCGAGTGCATTCATGCCTTTACTTCATCTGTCCAACAGGGCATGGGTGAGCACAAGCACATCGTGCTGTTGAAGGAAAAACAGTAGCGTTTTTGTCAGCTATTATACAGGCACGTTGTTAATATTTTATTATTCGTGCAGGCTAAAAGCGATTGATTTGGTGTGCATGAAGAAACTTGATACCAGAGTAAATGTCATTCCTGTAATCGCCAAGGCCGATACAATTTCCAAAAACGAGCTGCTGAAATTCAAGGTATAACTAAATTAATAGCGTATTTTAGTGAACACCTTGTTCAATCGCATTCCCCAAATAACGATGTATTATGACCGTAGGAAAAGATTGTGGCCGAGTTGAATGCCAACGGAATCAAAATCTACCAATTCCCAACGGAGGATGATACTGTCGCCGAGATTAACACTTCCATGAACACACACATTCCTTTTGCTATTGTTGGAAGTACCGAATTTGCTCGGGTGGGAAATAAGATGGTGCGAGCACGACAATACCCATGGGGCACTGTCCAAGGTACTTTATTTGTATCCTGCCTATTTTACACAGCTAATATTGAAAAACATTCAATCTCATTACAGTTGAAAACGACACGCATTGCGATTTCATCAAGTTGCGTGAAATGTTGATTAGAACGAATATGGAGCACATGAGAGAAGTCACTCATGCAAAACACTACGAATTGTACCGAAAGACAAGATTGGAACAGGTTCGTTCGTTCCCCATACTAATTCTTAATGTACACAATATCATAGATTCACTATCCATCAATTCCATACGTTTAACTCTAATACAAAAATTTAAACAAATTTAGATGGGCTTCAGTGATGTAGACTCTGACAACAAGCCAATGAGTTTCCAACAGACGTGCGAAAAGAAGATGCATATGCACCAGCAAGAACTTGCCCAAAAGGAGGAAGAAATGAAACAACAATTCATCCAGCGAGTCAAGGAAAAGGAAGCCGAATTAAAAGATGCTGAACGAGAGGTAATCTTTAAATCTTGTCTTACAAACCTTAAGCATATCTAATCACGAAATTGTGCTACATAAATATTCTGTTATCTTATCTCTTAACCAGCTCCATGCCATATTCGATCAAATCAAAGATGACAACGCCAGGGAGAAGAAAGGAATGGAAGATTACCAAAAACAATTGGAAGATGAAATCAGTGAATTTCAACGACTCAAGATTCAATATCAGACAGCCCAGCTTTCTGGTTCTCATACATTGTCACTTGGAACATTGAAAGGCAAAAAGAAGTAATGTCCAATTTGCAAAAAAAAACACTCGCATGTACATTAAATGTGTTATCATCATTATCTTTATAAATTTCTAATGTGTCTTATTAGTATTGAGTCGCTTTATACTTCAAAAAATTGGAGAATGTATATAGTATTTATAAAATATATATATATTACAAAAATCCTAATATTATCTTAACTTGGGCAATTATCCAAATTAAAATTTTGCAGTTATATTAATCGTTTGTTCAGCTTATCAATTTTTTATGTTTTTACTTTTATAATTTTGCAATATGCGTGACGTAAATTCCAACTATAGTAGAGCTTTCTTCGTAGAACTACCTGGTATAAAATTGTCTATTTCCTATACATGAGCCAAAATCTATAACACTTGAAAATACAAAATCACTGCCTTGAAGTAATGGTGTGTTTTGTTACCAGATGTTCTGCCAGGCCTAAATGTATACCTGTCAATGATGTTAGCATTAATTAAACGCTTACTTAATTTATTAAAAATAGTGACCAAGGACATTATATTTACACTTTTCGTACATAATCAATAGCTGGTTACTATATTGGTTATAGAGTGGATGATACTCCTTCTATATATTACTACATATTACTCAGGAATGTAAAATTGACATGTATTACTGACAGTAAATATTTTTAACCTGATGTATATCTCATTACATTCATTTTTTAAATCATGACACTTTATCATGTGAAATTCAGGATTATTTCAGCATTTATGTATAGTATGCGTAATGGTAATTGAAAGTTTATTTTATGGCAAAGTTCCTTCCAGGCATTTAGGATGGCAAACAATGAGATACAAATTGCTTCAAGTGCAGTGCCGTGGAATGCTGTAAAACATGATGCGATAAGTGAGAAAGCTGTCACGAAGCAGTAAAAAATACATCAAACATTTTGTTAACGATCCTAATGTATGTTGGATCGGACGTGCGTGGGAAAATGTGAGCCAATATACCTACACAAAAACTTTGGGTGTAAAAACATCGACCGACGCTAATCCGAAGCTTGTTTAATTCACGAATTGCGTAACTGATATTTTCTCTAATTCACATTGATGATGGAAATAGAAAGTTGTATGTAAACCGTTCTTCACAGACCACAATATTCATACGCATACCTAATCCATATCGATTCTGTAATAATACTTATAAAGCAATGCTCTCTTAGACTTGCTAATAAATATTTAATCTGTCACCATTTATAAGAAGGATAATCCCGGAATAATGCAATTCATGGAATGACGTTAATACACCTACTTATTTTACAAAATAGCGATTGTGTCACAAGTATATTAATAACTACCCATTAAAAATTGCCTACGTACATTTATGGGGCCACCTGCTGGAACATTTTAAGCCCAACAATGTTTCACATTTTTAGTACTGATTTTTATAAATTTAATTCTCTGTAAAGCAGCCTCGCTTAGCTGAATTGGTAAGTACATTTTGGTTTTCAATTGTAGTATGAAGTCTTCAAATCCGATATCATCAAAACCACTGTTAACGAAATTACAAGGTCAACAAGCTTGCGAATTCATAATAGATTCTTGTCAAATTTTGTAGTCTCGACGCTTGATTATTATCTCCGACATAATGTCCACGATGACCATAATGATGTCCATGCATAATGTCCATGGAAAAAAAATCTTTTTCCATATCTACTGATTTTTAACTAAATATCCTGGCCATCTATAACCGATTAATAATTGTCGATGCTGAAGGCTTGATTATTTCTTGTAAAATAGCAAGATGTGAAGCTAAATAATGAAAATTGTATCGTTTACAATTCAAATGAATGCTATGCTCTCTTAATACCGACCTTATGCACATATGTAAAATTCTTCAGCCACTGGTACTCCAGTGTATTATTCAATATTTGCAAGTGAATTAATGCCATGATAATGCATGCTGGGAGTGGCAAGAGAATAGAAAGCTTCCTCCTCATAAAACATTAATTTAATTGATATTCTTCTATCCGTACCCAAAGGGTCGTCAATTAATCTCGTGTGTGTAACTGTCACAGAGTATTGCCTTCCAATTAATAATCACCTCGTAGAAGCGAATGCTGACTAAATAATTCAACAGCTTGAAATACAAGATCAACGATTTACAAGCGTAATTTATCACTGATGGATAGTTTCATACGTACATTTTTAACTTGATATCAAATACATTGCATAATCCGGAATTTTTTGGAGGAAATCAAAGCTTAAATATTTTATGAAATTTGATATGGGGACAAAAATTAATTCCTGTCTCGCATGAAATCTTCCATATGAAATATCATCCACATTTCATGCACATTAGCCGTTTGGAGTAAAAAAAATTATGTAAAAGATACAATCTACGAATGCAAATTGTACAAATTCGAATCCATTCCAGTTCGAAATTACAATTTTATGAACATTTTATCAAGGTTGAAGCGTCACTCTGTGACAAAAACAGTTACATGACTTCCACATTGATCAGTAATTAAAATTCAATATAAAATCCTTTCGTCGCACTTTAGAACAATGTAGGCAATTATCGTAGGCATTATAATTTCAGTTAACTACGATTATTGTCATTGTCAAGAATTAACTTGAAGGCTAAATCACACGTAAGCAATAAATGGGAAGGAAATCGATAAATTATTAATTGGTCTTTTGTAGTGTTGCTTGTTCATATGGATGGTTTATTCAATACATGATTTTTACATTGCGTAAGAATTACTCGAAAATAATTGTTTATTGGAATGTCTGATAGCCTTGAACAAATAAACCGCAAATTCGGTTACGTAAGTAGTTAAAAATAATAATGACACCGTCGTACAATTGGAAAATTCAAAGCCACGATAAATATGACCAAGTTAAAACTTCGGCAAATATTTCAAACCCAAGTTAAATTAAGAGTCGCGAAAGTTATGCTTTTTCCTATAACCAACATGAGCTCGTTACAAGACATGAAATAGTACAAACTGTCAGCTCCTTTGTATATATAAAAAAAGTCATGTAAATTAATAATAATATTATTATGAAGATGACGCAAGATTTGATATTGCACGAGGGACTCATGAATTGAGGCGGTCCCAATCTGAAACAATCTAAAGGTCTCATTTTTTCAGAAATTATCGTTATATCATATTTACAATCGCACATTGATCACGACCAGAACAAGCGACTCAATTTTGGATTAACCTCAAATCAAGAAATCGTGCTTTTGTAGGGGATCATAATTCAATATCTGTTATTTGAGCAGATGGCCATAAATTGTCATCGAAGGATCCAATTTATGTGGCTCATCACTTAATCGTGGTTCATGATGTAACTTTGCTCGTTTTTATCGTGATCTATTCGAACAAATTCAATACATTACGACACTAAAACAAAAAAAATTCGAATGATGCAGATGAATTCATCATCTCTTCAAAGTTATTTAACTCCGTCGTCAATCTCTCTCTCTCTCTCTTCTTGGCAGGATTTCTTCAACGCACAACCACCTAAAATATGTGCTTATGTGTACCTGAGCAAAGTCCCACAATGACCAATTACTTTTCCATGTTCACGAATTTAAAAATTGTTCATTAGGGTTTGTCTTGTTGCAGTAAATTAAAACAAAAATCCTACAGTGAGTTGATTGCATTATCAAATTATGCATTTTATGCGACAATCTATGATCTCTTTTTTATTACATGTTTGTTCAGTGTAAAAATTAATTTTACATGATGGAAAATTAAGATTGTCTGTAGTCACTGCTGCTTTTGCCTAACACCATAGTTCTCCGTATGCAACATGGCTCGGTTGAAATGTAATGAAATGAATGAACGATGAAGTGAGATGAATCGGGATACATTAATTGTTGATCGAATAACGAAAGGGAATTTTAAGTTTCATCATTGTGCACGACAATTGAACCGTGGACATACTGTAATCAAAGGATTTGAGCACGATTAGCTTCTGAAGAAAGGAATTGAGTTTGCTAATTCAGACAAATTGACAATAGAAGATGTGCATTATTTCCTTGCTTGTTAAGGTAATGCTGACATTTTCATGCGTGCCAGCTCATCAGTTGCGCCATTTAGAGATACCTATGTACGTTCGTAGCTCAAGAGATATCATTTTGGCTGCAATGATAAGCAACTATTTATTTCTTCTCTTTTTCGTATTATTCGTCATCATCACATTAAACGAAGCTGCTATACGTAGAACTTCATCATGTAAGCTAATTGTAAATTGGAGGAATAAATCGCTCCTTAGGTCATCCCATTGCTCCATGTAAACCTAATTCGTCCTGCTTGCAAGCTCTTGAATTCAGGGATGTTATTCAAATTCGTAGTGGAAATGTAACTTGCCATGCAAAAAATAAGAGTGTTACACCATTTGAAAAGAAATTCTCCTTTTTTAACACACGCTCTTGACGATTTCTAAATTAAAATTCGTTATTGCTGTTACATTATATAAATTTATGTGAGCATTTTTTACATTACAGGTGGAGTATAAAAGGTCATTATTATAATTCTTGTGCCCCTGATCCTCGACATTCTGGTAAAGACAGCCGTAAATGAGTACGAGTGATCCATAAATGTACATATAAAGCTCAACATGTAGGAAGAAACCAATCTGGAACTCGCATTTTAAAAAATCAGAGCAATTCTCCATCAGAAGTTTCGCCCAGCAGGCAATTAAACTGGCATATTCTCATACAATGTATGTCTATATAAATATAAATAGTTGGTACAAACTGGTCTCGAATTTTGCACGCCGAGGAATCATGCAGTCTAGAAAATGATTTCTTTGCAGGAGCAGCAAGAGCGAAAACTGGATTGATTTTTTTTATAAATACAAATCGTAATTTAGTTTGTGCCAACAATTTACTAATCCCAAGTTGTTGCAATGCCTATATGCCTATGTATGTATGCACACTCATTCGTACTCCCATCCAGCAAAACATGTGCACTTTTTTACTCTCATGAAGAATGCATACACCTCACAATAACAATGTCCAATTAGAGTGTTAAGAAGAACATTTTTCAGCGCAGGTTTTTCGTGTGAAATTTAAAGATGAGAGCTACAATTTGTGCAAAAATTTACATTGCAATAATTGCCTTGATTGGTGGAGTAGAATGTTAAATGTTGGCACAGTACAAGTAATTTCCCAGGTAATCCTACTGCAATCCTTTTCTCATGGAGTTTACTGCTCATCATCTTCTTCTTGGCTCACTTAATTTCTACCTCAGCATGATTTTGCTAACCACTGTATAAATTGAGGCGTAGTGGGCAGAAAAGAATGGATAACATGCATACATACATATGCAGAAGCCTACGCTTAATTTACTACGTTGGAGGATTAAGTGTATCTATGTATTTGGCTGAAAAGTGGAGTATGCAGAGTGCAAAAAGTGTAACAGTTGTCACGTAGGGATTTCAGTGAGTATAATTCTTGATTGTTGGAATTAACAATGTGTTCTAAATTCTCACCTACACAAGATTTGCAACCAGCAGGACAGTCGTACGTACCACATATGCTGAAAAACCATCATGCGAAAGGGTGCTGAATGGATGGATGCAGAGGTGAGTCAAGTTTACTTTACGCAATAGTTTGATCGTTGAACGTGAAATGTGGAGACAGGAAATTGCACATGTAAATGAAAATAATCACAGTCCTACAACCAAGCAAGCATCGTATGTACATAGATACATACATAATAATAATAATCATTAATTTGCAAGTTGTGCAAAATCTTGAGCTCAGAAGTAAGTATGCAGTGCAATGCTTGAACATTGAACTGGATTCAACTACTCCAGTCTCAAACTCGACTGTACGTAGTACGTGCCGCAGAGTGTTACATAAATCCAATGGTTATGAAGAACATGTATGTATGCATAAATATATTTACATCAAATAAGGTTGGAGACGACGCGAGTGAGGTTTTTCTAGTGGATCAAGACATTATGTGTGCCTTCTGAAATCAAAAGTAGGAAAAGGCCAATCCCCACGAGAAGAATTATAGTGGGACGTATTACTCTAACTCTTATCTTATCTTCATTAAAGCAAAGTTTGTGCCAGTAATTGTCCTGAATATTAACCAATTTTCATGTGAAGTGCAGCAAGATGAAGAGGAAGGTGTGCATAGCAGGCCTTTGATGTGATGAGATGTGTGCACAGTTTACATAACCTGTTGCTTGTATTATTAGCTGATTATGCTATGAGCTCACTGACTTACTCCTTCTGCTTATTTGCGATCTGTGTATGCATGTGAGACGAAGTTAGGAGTTGGATGCGATGCATGATGAAGTTCGACGCTATGAATGACTTGTATATTACGACGACGATGGCTACGGAATAAGCACGGCGACAACGACGATGGCGATGATGATGATGAGGAAGGAACTCCACAATAATAGAATAGGTATAAAATCAATTGGATTGTTTTTAATAAATAGAGAAACAGGTTTACATTCTCAATAGATAATTTTATTATGATGAATGGTTGTGGTTGGACTAGTTTGACTCAAACTGAACGGGTTTATTACTTTGCCTGCTATATTTGCACGGCTGGCTCATCACACTTATGTTTTGCCCCATGCACCCAAACCACACAGTTTCCTTCCTTTCCTTTTCATCAAAATCCATCCTTGATTAGGACATTCCTTCTTTACTTATTTATTAGGAGGCACGACTGCGACTACGACATGCAACCTGCGTGAGAAACGGTAAAGGTGGCAAGCATTAAAAGAATATCATTATAAATGTTGTCATTTGGTCAAAGAGTCCTTGACTTCGGTGCATTTACTTAGTTGTGACATTTCTGGATTAATTAAGTCACACGTTTCTAAATTTTAAGCTCAATTAAGAGAGTTGCATATTTTAGTGACATGTCATGTTTTAATCTCATTAGGAGAGTTGTTTGTGTTGTTCCTTATTGAATATACCGACCACCCGACCAACTATTTACTTGGGCTTATTGGCACTTTGCTTTAGTCCAAATTTTGTTCAATTTCCAACACCTATGCATTTGTACCACTTTTTAATTTGGATAATCACCAATTTTTGTTTATGCGCGCAGTCTAAATATATTGCATAATAGTAAATCGACCTGAGGAACCAGTATCTTATCTGCACTTCAAAAAGGCACATGGCTAATAGATTCCTGAAATTAGATGCCAACAATGATCAAGAATGAATACAAGCAATTACGATGTGTGTGTATGTCGTCGTGTCTTCCTTTTTGTAGATTGACACAAGAGCGGAACCAAATTTGTAGTGGTTGTTGCACTGATTTTTATTTGAGGCAAATATTTTTTGCACCATTTTCTGATGCGTTGAATGATTGCTGTCTCATCCTGATTGCAAATTTGGTCTATCTCTACGTACGCAGCCCATACCGATGAAAAATATTTGCGACCACAACACAATCCTCTCTCATGCGTATATCAGCAATGTGGTAAAGGACTGGGCGATTTATCCTCAAACAAAATATTTCCGGAGGAAGTGATTCAGAAGGCTTTTTTACTCGTTTACATTGAATATTATCCAAACTGAAAAATCTGCGGTGTGGAAATAATGACCTTAGTTTTTTTCATCCAGGGATTATCCACACAACGTCATTTGGCATAAAATAGATCCTGGTGCATCGAAATTCTTCATTGTCATTTCTGACGAGGGAGCAATACGTGCATATGTACATACATACTACGTACATTGATGATGTTGTAGATTTTTGTGCTTAAAAAATTACCTTGTCATGCAAATCGAGTATTTCAATGTTTGTGACACCTAGACAAGGTTCCACTGTGTAATTACTGTGCAAGCTAAATTATCATTGTTCTATGACTACACTCGTGATCAATTCTGGTGGTGTCAATTGAAAAACTATATATTCTCACTTCGTACGAGTAAGTAGCAGCAAGTTTAAGCATTTAAAATGTGCAAAAAACTATTGCAAACTATCAAACCACCAACTAACCAAATATCTACGCAGACCAATTAATGGAACCTCGCTGAGTGTCTGTGTATGTGTGTGCTTCACCCATTTGAGCCATTGCATTGCTTAAACTCACAAAATGTCGCAAAACGGTGTATGGCTTTGATTATGCTGCACACAGAATTTTTTTTGTAACGATTACAATAACCTCAACCGAGCTAATATTTAAGAGAAACATTTTTGGACTTTGATAAAAACTATTTCAAAAAACAAGGAACTTGTACCTGCATAATTCCTTTAAGGCTTTTTTGTCTTGCGTCTTGTGTCAGTACACTACGTGAGATTACGTTCCTCGACTGTGCGTAAATATGTGCTTTGAATGCTATCATCCATGCATTACCAATTTTTTAATTCGCAATTATTTTATCCGTTTGATTAAAGAATAAATGTTGCTATAGCTAAAAATTTTAAGCTGAAAAATTTTTGAGGATGAGCATAATAAGAAAAAAATCTGAGAGCAATCAGTATCCAGCAATTAACTCGGCTAACCAAACAAGCTGCAAATGTTTAAATTTTAGCGTTAAATGATATGATAATTTGTCTATTGTATATCCAAAATTAACAAAAATAACCATGTAAATTTACAAAAAACTTAACTGATTATATAACTAAGCGAAGGCAAAATAGTTTATCATAATGAAAAAGGATTGTTTTTTGCCACAAAAAGTATGAAGCCCAACGAAATCCATTACTGTTGGACACAGGGGCACACACAATTTTGTTTTGCAAATGCAACGTTTGTCTAAGCTTTTGCCCTACGATCCAGATACATTCGCATGGACGGTTGTCACCCCCAGTGGGTGTGGTCGGGTTATATTGGGGGGTGGCTAATTTTGTGTCAGAGTTCAAGGTGTCCAGTTAGAATACATAATAATTTCGCACTTCACTAAATATAAATTTTTCATGAAAAATTACCCCACATAAAAAATATTTTATCATGTTTCTTGGTATAAATAACTGCCTTCCACTAGCTCCTATGTAGATACTTGCTGCGAAAGGCTTTATAACTTGGGTCGGTAATAAGACTTGATGTACAGTAGGGGTTGGTTTTTGCTGCATTGTGGTCGTACAGTATACGACGTATGTACACCATACCACATTACAGTCTTTATTCTCTTCAACAGCACTCGTTCGCATGAAAGAGTTTGAAGTTGCAACAACAAACTCTATCCATTTAAGTGATCAGCAGTTCTCGACTGGCAAGCCAACTAGCAAGACGTTGTTCTGTACCAGTGCTGTGTGGGTCCACTCCTCGTACGGCTACGATAGATTCCAGAAATCCTCCAGTCAATATACCAGCTTGGATTATGCAAACAGGATTTGCATCATTTAGTTTCTTTGATAGATGAATTTGCATTCGGTCATGGTGATGACGACACTGTTCCTCTGCGGGGAGGGCAATGGTGCCAGTAGCAGTTACCCCATCGAGGGTGGGCCGTCAAGTCACCCTGTGATCCCGGGTGCCGTGATGCACCTGTTCCCACGCTACGGTTACCTCAGCCTCAGTATGAGAGTGGTACCCAGAAACGATACACAAAATTGGATTTTCCTGGAACCTTCCAAAGAAGTGTTTCTCCCCTCCACTGTTCGCATTCAGCAACAGTCTTTCACGTCCAATGACAACAGTCTTCCCCTCCACAACGAGTTCCATATCGATCTCTGTGAAGATGTTCAGCAACTTGTGCAAGCCTATTTCCGGAGGTTCAACATTGAAGCTTTGGATAAACCATGGCATGCGTTTGCAGGTGATGGGTTTTTTAATTTGTAAAGTCTTTACTATGTGTCTCTAGCAATCGGGAACCATTATTCGTAACCGATACGTATTTTTCCAGGTGGTTGGAGGACGCCGAGTTTGGCGAAATATTTTGGATTGGATCCCGTCTTCGTCCAAGGGGACTATCGTTACATGCTGGGTGAGTATTCAAAGTAATTAGTTTTATTCGAACTCTTGAAAATCATTAGAGTTGGGACGAAAGCAAATATGCAATTTAGTCAATATTGCGAGTAAATTCATAACTATGGCCTACTCATTACCACCTCCTTTTAATACGCATTTCTTAAATGCCGGATTTTTGAGGAGGGGAGAGATGGTCATGAGGTAATTATGAAAAAAACCCCGACTCTTCGAGGCCTGTCAGATTCTTGAATTCAGAAAAAAACCCTTGATTCTAACACTTTTGTCCCCCAACCTGAATTTTTTTCCGGATTTGATTAACAATCTGTAACACAAAACAGATTTATTATTCGCAAGTGGGAATACTTTTCAATTTTTTAAAAATAAACATTGGTTCATAGTCCGAGTACTGATGGTTCGAAGTGCAGGAAGAGCCGATCCTATGCCAAACTCCACCGTGATGCCCAACTTTGCAAACAATTTGCACTCTTTTCGTGTCAAAGATTATGTTTCCTCTTTCAACTTTTTCAACGATGTGGGGACTCACTACATTAGCTCCTACCTTACGGGAAATTCCATTTATCAGGTAAGATTACACCACTATCTGCATATTCTAATCCCCCTTGGGCTTAATTTACTTGAAAGCACATTCGAGTTTTTTCCGTCATTTATCGAATTGCTCATACTCAAGGAGACTTCCTCCTCCTTGGACTAATTTTGGTTTATTTTGCCTCTGCAATCATAAAACAAAAGATGAGACTTGGTCGTGGCATGGTCATAGGCCATGCGTCTTCACCAACTCGAAATCACAATGACAAATTGTGTTTTAGCAATTTGAAATATTTACAGAGGCTCTGCTTAATGTTGGTAAAGACCTTGTGACAGCGGAGAAGATATGCTCAGAAGATATTCCTCACATTTTTATTTCATCCTATTTACACTGTTTTACGAGTGGAAGAAGTTTTACCAGAATGTGTGCAGTGGTTGCGTGATGCGAGCTCTATTGTAATCACGTAGCACGTCCGGCTTGATTCTAAAACTTGCATTATTGCATTATGATGGCGATTTAATTTTGACTTGGCAAATATGTATTTCTGGTAATTCGCTGTCCCACCACCCATAGCGAAATGAACGTACTTGACTAAACCAACTCATTAACGGTTTCTTTCTGCTGCAATAGGAAAGAAAGGGAAGGTGGTCAGGCCTGTGTGCATGCATACGTTTTTACGTACATAGTAAAAAAGGTGCACTTGGCTCTTCCTCTACTACAAACATGAGTACTTACTTACTTGATTATCTCCTGTGGTGTGGTGGCTTTTAGTTGTTGTGTGTTGCCGAACACTCATAATCTGGTTATAATAATTCCCACAAAGTTCTCACCCACTTGTGACAACATTTGTAAGCAGATTGGGTTGAGGTCACTCCTGTGACTTTGACTGTTTATTTAACTATAATCCGTGTCTTACGAGTCTTGTTCAAATAGATCATCATCAGTTTCCAGCCAAGAAAAGTCATGATACATCAATTTCTAGTATTGCTAGGATTTATTTACATATACTTATTTTCGATTGATTAAAGTGGTTATTTATTTATAAATGGCATGGTCATGTACACGTAAATTCGAATTTGAGACTACACCAACGCATCTAATTTGAACTTAAAATCGTCTGATTGGTGTCATGCCTAACTTATCCGATGCATACGACTTTGAATGCTGAGGGAAACAGTGGAAATGTTTGGATGAAATCTAGTCAACAATGTACAGCAAAGAAAACCACTTTTAGTGCGAGGCCCCGCTTAATCATGCCCCCAGTAAATTGTTGTCGAGTGAGTGAGAGATGACAAGAAGTGGTTTAGTTCTAGTGAAAATACACAAAAACTGATTTGGGTAAAATTAGGTGAGCTGTCGATTTTAATTTTAGCCTGCCATTGAGCTCTCCCTACGTGTTGCCTTTCTACTGCACTTTTACTCAACAGAAGGCTAACAAGAGTGAAACAGTGGGATCAATAGGGTGACTTTAGGGCTGACGCATTTAAACTCGACGTCATTGAAAATTAGTGAAGCGGTTAAAAACTACTGACGGATTGGAGGCATTACAACAGGCAATAGTGCAGTGAGCGATTGTTTTGGTGGTCGTATTGTTGCTGTATCTTCGCGTTGTCGACGAAATGTGAGGAAAGGGACTGAAGGTGGTGGAAACAAGGAGGAAATGCTGGTTGAATGGATGGAAGGAAATGGGGGCATGAAGACCTAACCTAGCCCACTTTTGAGGCTGCTCTGCTGCTGCTGCTGCTGCTCACTCAAGTGCCCCAACTGAAAGGGAAACATTGAAAAATGGCATAAAAAAATAAACCTTACTAATGTTTACATCATATCATACTTTTACAAATTAACATGATCCACATCTCCAATTATACAACAAACTCTTCATTCTCAAGCATCACGGGGTCCTCGTTAATACATAAATTAGGCTAATGGAAATGTTAAGTTAAGACTTGATTAACCAACTTTGCTTGGCTAAATTTAAATTAAAATTTAATCTTCTGTCTCGAAGACTCGAATATTTTTTTTCATGCAGTTCATAATTTCCACACGATTTCCATATTCCGTATTAATTTATTTATAGTAATCTTCCACAGGATAATAACAATTGACAACTTTGCGTGTAAGGCGGCAGGTAAAAGTAACAGTGTTCTGAAGTAGGGTACAAGTAGAGAAGGTTTATGATCATTACTTGAACAAAAGGTGCATTCCACGTGGGACGACGACGACGGAAGTGACCATTGGGCAATAAAGATTTAAGTAGAGTACCAAACTCGCCATGTTAATAAGTACACGGACATGTACGCATGCATCCAAGGGTTACTCCTCGTTGTGTGGGAGTGCAGTAGTAGGATTACAACTTACAACCATTTGATGAGAATAAGATAAACAAATTTTGTGTGCCGCACGATACAAGTTTATTTACAAACTGATCCTTAGATCACTTGATGTAAATGAATGGAATAACACAAATTGTGGAACTTCAAACGTATAACAAGCTCCTTTTTTACACGGTTTAGTGAAATCAGTGGCCGATGGAAAATTGGGCAATAATAATGACGCCCTTCCACTAAACATTAATTATCTCATGTCTCTTCCTTCAAGTTGGAACTTTGTTTAGAGATAAATTGCATAAATTTAATGTTCTGAACGTGCATGCAGAGCTGTGTTCTTCACGATAAACGATATAAGCAAGGGTATAAATTAAAATTGTCGACGGCAGAATGCATCACTTTTTTAAGTCCGTGCTAATAACATTGAAATTTGATGGCTAAAGAAAAATGTACTCTTTTCGACGACGACGACATTTTGAGTGATTTTTTTTTAGAAACGTTTTTTTTCTCGTCAAGTGAAATAATGCTATTACAGACTTTGTGTGTTTACTTTTTATTAGCGTATTAAATCCAATGTCTCTTTATTCGTTAAAATTCCACTTCCCTTCTCAGCCAAGAACGACAACTATTTCACGAATTATCCGTCTCACGTTCAAAATAATTTTGAACGCCATGAATCTGCAAAGTTACACTCTGGACGATTTCTCTTGTCATCTTAGCATTTTACTGTTAGAAATTCGAAAAAATCTGACTTTGAATGACATAATCGTCAGTCAGCATCATTTTATATCGACGGAAGTTCACGTGCGTGACAGTGCAAATCCCGACAAGCATTAATTGATCTGCGAGTTTACACATTATAAATTCCTAGAGCAAACTTTCAACATGAGGAGTTAATCGAGTCGAATATTATGTCAGGGAGACTCTCACGATGACGACTTTGGGCAATTTATTTCCATTAGAGAGAAGAGAGGTTCGTTTTAATTTAGACAAGCAGACATTTCAATCATGTCGTGAAATGCTGGCAGTTTTGAACTCGTATGGATGCGTGTTGAAAGAAAATTGCACTCTTTTGTTTGTTTTGTTGCCCATTTGCGAGGCAGGTAAGTAGTGTTGACAAGTTGAGGGCAGCTAGTTTTCAAGATCTTGTGTAAACTTTTAGAAAGCCTCATGTTATGGCGTAAACGTGGTGCGGCGACATCTTAATTTTCAGAGATTAGTAAGCAAACTGAACCATTTTTTATACTTATGAGTATGACGAGATAAGTGTGACTCATCCTACGAGAGGCACAGGTAGGCATTTGCAAATTTTAATTTTTTGCTGTAGCACGGGACGAGTGACTCGGTAAAATTAAACTCGTATAAAAAAATCTTGAGGCGGAGTTGCTGACGTGGTTTCAGCATCTTAAACTGTTCCGTCGATTTATTTAATAAGTTTAGCAAGCTGTCAACTGTCACTTTCCTATTTCCGAATTTATTCCAAGTTTAATATCCAAAAATGTCATGTACATTTACACGTACAGAAATTGGGTTCAAAATCCTAAAAGTTATGGAAATTGGGTGAAAGCTCGTAATCCCAGAAATTTAGGAATTTTAACATATACGTAGAGCACCTTCCGTAATACGTCAAATGCATAAATGTTGTTCCATCAAATGCGAAAGTTGCATATTTATGTCTCAACGTGCACTTTGGCCCTGCAGCAAATCACACGTAACATTTTGCAGTCAACGCCATATAAATTTCCAGAGTGTGAAGTTTATGAGATCATAAGCCAACTTCATTCAAGGTTTTAACGCACATAATAAAAAAATCTTGGTTATTTCCTTTACGTATTGCTAATTTAATTCTTGAAGGATTTTCATGGGAAATATTTCCATGTCTGGGATGCATAGATATTTGCACATCACCTTTTATACCTTAAACTATTTACAAACCGTACAAATTTGTCGCAATTTCCGTCGAAACTTGGCAATGTAGACTTTACTTTGTGGCACGAATGCAGCTTGTAAAAAGAAAGTATTATTGATCAACATGTCCGCTGCGCACTCGTTTATCGAATGAAACAGAGATCCAGAAAAGGTGTGCATGCATCGTACCATTCCCATTGTGAAGGTATGCACCATTTGAAAGTTCATCTGCTACATGGTTCATTTACCAAATGATATTGGTTGGTCATTGAAAAATTATAGTGTGGAGCACACTGCAAACTAAATACTCTGGTCTTTTAATTTCCATTTTATGCTCTGCTTGATTTCATAAGAAACCCTCGACGTGGGTTGCATCTTCCCAAATTCAAAGGCAACATTATCAGCGGATCACACTTTTCGTTATTGGGACAAATAAGTAAATTCCGTAAAATTGGAGCAGCATGCTTGCACATGTTCAAACCAACGTGAGCCGTTTGTTCTAAAACAATTAAATCGAGACGACGATACACTTGACTTGGTAGCGATTTAAATCTTGAGCTGTACCGTTTTTTTTATTCCATTTGATGCATACTCCCACGCCCATTAGATTAGACGGTCATCGTTTTATTGTCATTTTCTCTCACTGGTATTGACGTTGTACTACTTTTCGAGTGGGACAAGTGCATTGTTGTAAAGACAAGCGATATATGTAAATCCCCGGAATTATTTGTATTGTAAAATGTGCACGCAGAAAGTCGGCAATTAAGAGATGGTTGCAAAAAAAAGATCAACTATGTATCAGGTTGTTCAAGTCGTTAAATTTGAAAGAGCGGAACAACATATTATTATGCAAACACGAATTATTAAAGCGACACATTCGAGCTTCATATTCGTTTTTGCAATATATTTACTTACAACAATGCGATGGAAGAAAAAATATTAAAATCTGTAACTTTTATGATGAAAAGCTTTCCATTGTTTACGATTCGGGTGAGTAGCAGAAGCACATTTGTAAATCTTTCGTAGACGCAACCTGTAATGCAATAATTTTTTACACATACTTTTTTTTATTCGAATGCTCACTCAACATTTCTATTCCTCAAACGCGGTGCCTCCTAAGGAGTTTTACTGTCGAAAGTAATAAGTGTGAATGATACACTTGACACAAAACGCAGGCACAATCTGCAGGCAAAAACCGTATCAAATTTGTGATTGGAAATAAAATGTCAACAGGTTGATTTAGATTTTAAAAGTCATGACAGTAAGTTACAGAGAAAATGAAACTGCAACAATTTGGACCATTTTGTGTGCGCGTAGTATGTTCAAACACATAATTTGCGGTGCATAGGAGTTTACTTGAAAATTATGATAGAAAGTACGTAATACTCAACTATTTGAAGTGTGGATTACAAAAATGCAGTTGTTGTTGTTGTCTGAATGGAACTTATTATAAAATCAACTTTATAAACTACAATGGAAAATCAGCATCCATTGCACGACTGATAATGTCAGTATTGCCTAATCACAAACATGCAGAAATATGAAAATACATAAATTGGTAATGTTTGACGAGAAAATAGAACGACTGATTGTGAGCGGTGGGATCAAAGCTCAAGAAAATGATGAGTCTTCTGCAAACTATTACAGCAGCAGGGAAACAGAAAGTGAAAGGATGTCGAAGATGATGCCTCGAGTCCTGTGTCAATAAATGCACGAGTAAATACAAAAGGTTTATTTTCAAGAAATAGGAATAGGACCAAATCTTGTTGTTGTCATATTTAGCTCAGAATCTGAAAATAATGGAAAAGAGGCACTTTAAGTCCAGCCATGTCTTCAGGTGGTTATGCTATTTTTGGAGAGTATAAATCATGATGGTTAATTATTTTCCGAAGGCCAATTCCATAGCCGAGCTGAAAAATTAGACTTATCTTTAAAATGTCATGACGCCATTGGAATCTGATATTGACTGAACTGCATTCAAATAAAATTGGATAGTTCATTCTCTAAATCATTTCCAGTTCAACGTATAGCCTTCAGAAATGAAATCCTTTTTGATTGACATCGATAAGCTAGATGCAAAAATAGTCTGCATTCGTATGCAATCAGAAACCTCATTTTCATTTTCAACCGTCCATGTACAAAGTGAATTATTGGTTGATCTTCTGCAGCATTATACTCATATTTTCTGTCTAACTCTGTACCAAAATTGATGCAACATGAAAAAATCGTGACTAAACACTCTTCATTAAAATTAAACTCTTATTGTTTTACGAAATCTTGCTGGTAGGCTTGACATAAAAATAAATGCCACGGACAAAATAATTATGTGTATTCATTCGCTAGGTTTATTTAGGTAAAGGAAGGGCAGCCACGAGTGTGTTTGACACATGTCATTATCGAAGGGTCGAATTTTATAATGTAAATTTTGCTAATGATTCGTAAAAGATGTGGCAGCGGCATTTTAGGTCATGAGTTTGCATAATAGTGAATTTTTGATAAACCTCAAATTGCACCTTTGGTTTCTCTATTAAATAATTGTTAACAATTATAATGTTTTTTTGTTTCACAGGTTTTCGTCTACGATAACCAAGGATTTGAGGCTGTGAAACGGAGACTGAGCGAGACTGGCTGGGTGCGGTCATCCTACATGGCGCAACTGCCTTACCTTCTGCCCCTGTGGGTCAAGCACATGGGGAAGGTCATGGTCCTTAATGGGAAGCAACAAACGGTGCAAAGCATACGAGAAGCACTCACAATCCGCTTCCTATTTTCCGTCTATCCCAACATTTTCAAAATGCATGACAATGCAGAGTTGGTACGCAAGGTGGAAAAGTACCTCAAACATGAGCCGGATGGCCTCTTGGGCCTGGAACTGAAAACCCTGGACGTCATATTCAAAGACCAGGCCAAGAGAAAGTGGTTTGATGAAACACTTCAGCAAACACTGCAGTTGTGGGAAGTCAACTTGAGATGATTGTGAACAAGTTTAGTCAACCAAAGCAAAAGTATTGTCTTCCAACGACATTAAATAAAGCCAACTAATTAATAATAATTGTTAGGTACAGTATGTAGGTTATTATTGCTAAAAACATTAAATAAATTGTATGTCGTTCCTGAAAATGAAGTGAGTTGGTAATATTATTCATTCATCTGTCATGTTGTCCATCCATCCGACGTGAAGTTGAAATAAACCAATATTTGTGGTATAACTGATAAGCGCGCAATGCAGATTTCAGTTTTGCCTAACACAAATTTGCATCTGTAAATGAAAGGCAAATGGCAGTTAACCGTTTAGCATATATTTTCTTATTCTGCAACCTTACAACAGTTTGTTCATGCAGGAGGACCTTCAAGGTCAAGACGGTTGTTTCAAGTTTTGGTACTTTTCCACATTACATTATACATTTCTGTGTACAAGGATTTTGACATTCTACAGGACAATAGGGTTCAAGATCCTTATAAGTAGCAATCATACTAAAATTTAGCTAGTTTTATATTCCAATCATGTCTAAATTAACAAAATCTACAAACAAGTCCAACCTGGAAACAGCTCGAAGATCAGAGCGTCTAAAAACCAAGGTTCTATTCCCATCCAATGTTTCACCGCAGAAATCTATAATAATGAAGCCGGTTCCACTTCCTTTAGTAAAATTGGAAGTAAAATCGGAACCTACGGACGAAGAATCAACTAGGTAAGTGGATAAAAAGTAGGTTTAAAGAGTTACAATTAACTAAATATCTACATTCACCCTTATTAAATAAACTGTAAATTGAATGTATCTACATGTATGTTTCTGTAGCTTTTGTTGCAGCCCAGTTGCAAAACCTGGTACATCAGAAGGTCCCTTCATCACTACGATGAATTGTTACCTTTGTCCTGCACTGCTAGTATATAATGAAGGTAAGCGAATGCTAAGCTTATCATACAACTTTTAACCGTTCCGGATAATTTTGCAAGTTTTGTGCATTTATTAATCAACTCTTCTTATTCTTTATTTTTAGCAACCGGTGTAGCATATCACTTGGGAGATAACGGCTGTATCTTTGCCTCTCCTACAAATTTTACGGAAGAAGAGTGCAAAACCTCGAATACAACGGAAAATGCTCCTATTGAGAAGATTGAGCCGTTAATCAGTTCATATTCCCCCGCTAAACTAACCAGTAAAAAAATAAATGCTGCAACAAGAAAGCCAAAGATCAATTTAGGAGACAAGAAAAGGCGAGCATCAGCATCACCTTCAAGAGAGTCGGAGAATCGTCAAACTGAGAAAATTCCACGAGTAGACGGCCCGACTAATGATGGCTCGTGTCTTCTTCGTCCTGTGAAACTTTGTTTCACAACCACCAACCGGACGTCTTCTAACCCCCCGAAAAAATGCAAACTTCTTCACCCGTGGACTTGTAGAGTATGCCAAACATTATATTGGAAACAGAGGGATTATATGTATCATTCATGCGGGTCTGTACCGAAAGTGGTGATTAAGCGTCCTTTGGATGAAGTATCCCAAAAGTGGACCAAGAGATGATAAGCATACTTTATAGTAACTGTGATATCGAGAATTGACGTAATTATGACTGTGATGCACCTAATTTTACACAATTATTATGATAATGCAATGCAACATTGTTTAAAAAGAGATGGACAATTTTATTTTTTCACATTTAATAATTTTTAATCATCGATTTAAATTCACGACAAATACAATGTACACAATTTTCACTTTTACCCTTTCTTGACAACAAACAGTTATGCAAATTATTTATGTATGTATATGTACTATATGTGAGGAAGATGAGAAGGAAACTCATTGAATTTTGAAAAGCCAATTGAACCAAGAATGAGAAAAAAGTTGCGAGCTGGCCGGAATCGAACCGGCAACCTTGGTTCTTGGTTCAATTGGCTTTTCAAAATTCAATGAGTTTCCTTCTCATCTTCCTCACTTAATTCACTCATTACCGCAATTTTCAAATCAATGTATATGTACTATACACTAATATGTTATTCAATTTACTCGAATTAGTCCTTAAGGTTGAATAACATTTTGATTGATGATGATAACACTGATCTTAATTTTTTATATTTTTTTTTACAAGACTTTAAATACATGTATAATTCCAATCTGAACTTATTTATTTTTTGTATATATTTCCTTTCTGCCGCAATGGCCAGCATTCGGCAGTATGCATTTATTTCGAATACCGATCACGGCAATTATAACATTTTAAGTATCACTAGTATGTTTCGGAAAAAGGTACCATGCGGCGACGGTGATCATTCACGTTGAGACAAATAATATCGTAATTTCATTCAATTATATATAGTGTAAATGTTTAAATGTTACAACTTCCGTACGATGAATTGGTAGATGATACAATTTATTTCAGACACAGGCAATCATAGTCACCATAAATTTTAAAAACTCGATGTAACAGTATGTATGTAGCTCTTGTTATGCGTAAACTCGAGAGAATGGCTGAAAGATGCAGTCAGAAAACGTTGAGGAATAATACTTACACAAGTCAAAATTGTATCGTAGCACCCAAACACGTACTTATCTGTATAAGGTCAGTTACACATCATTTATATGTAAATGGAGTAAAAGTAGGCTAGGTGTTAAAGAGGAAAAATTCGATATTATATCGAGTTGGAATGTATTATATATTTTTATGTATAAGCATAAGGTTTGGCTTAATCAAAGAATTACTCAATATTAGATTAGACATTGGCAAGATCATCATATTACATCATACTTATCATTAGTATTCACATATCATAACATATTTTACCCTTTTTAGACAAGACATCCATAAACATATTGACATTTCAATTATTGAAATATCCACAATTCGGAAAATTTATGAGAATCATTTCATGCACGTGAATATTATGTAATAATGAAAAACGCTAAGATTACCAAGTTTGTAATAATATTTTTGTAATGTGATGTTGCTGTTTCTTTTTTTGTAGGTGTGAATATTTGTATAGTTAAAAGTTACCCTTATTTTCATTTCATGAAGCTCTTGCTGGAATTAGAACTACCACCCGTCATTGTGTTCGCCTTGTCAATTTCGTTCTGGAGATTTGACTTATGACCACGTGACTGGAATATTCAATCCAAAGATTGAGTTTTGTTTGAAACTCGTAGTACGTCGGGAACAAAAGCGGACGGAAGACAACACTGAGTAAAATTATTTGATATCATTCGAAATCCTTGCAAAGTAAATAAGTAGAGTCGAGTCTTGCTTAATCTATTGCATTGAACCCTCATCACCTATTTATACATATAAAGAAGTACCACGCAATACAGCATACAACCTTACTTACAATCGTCGTGAGCATTACAATTTAATCAAGCTTTCCAAGTTCATACATCTTGATAATCACAAATGGCATGGGCCAGACAAAAGGGGCAGAATTCTGTGAAACGCGGTTATGTCTTCACCACTGGTTTTCAGGTAAAGAAAGGAACAGATAATGAAGTGTGACGGTAACCGAATTTCTCCAACCCGGAATGATTATGTGGTGGCGGCGGTGCGATGGTGGTGCTGGAATTGACTTGTCTCATTGAATTGGGACATGACCAGCATACGCTCACGAGTACAGAAGATCTTTCGTCTTGATACCCACACTTTTACCTGGGGACTTCCAACTGATGCGGTAAACAAAATCGTCATCGTCATGCATTTCATCCTCTTCCTCATCCTCGTCGTCCTCCTCCTCACAGTCGAGAGAAGGAGGAGGGACAGAATCCTCTGTTGTGGGAGACACGAAAAGGGGATGGGCCGTGGAGCAGTGGGGGGACACGGACATTAGGCTCGTCGTCTGACAATTGTGGGGCGACGGGATCGGTTCCACGTACACATCTGCAACCGACTGGAGCTCCATCGTCACTTCTTCTTCTCGGGAGTGAGTCTGCGATCCTGAACCGGAGGTGTTAGCGTTGGCCTGATTTTTCTTTATTCTATCTCGGGAACCGCTACATGCAGAAGGTAAGTTGATCAGCGATTCCCAGAAGCCTGAACGTGGTAGACAATACAAAACACAAATTTGTTTAATCGAATTAAAATTTCTAAAGCAAAATAGCTCAATTTTATGCATATTTACCTTCGCTAAACACGATTCTCGCATTCCAGAACCAGCACTGAAACATCAAAATAAAGAAAAAACTAATTCTTCAGTTGTTTTTTACAATGATTTATCATAAGGAAATTGCCCCCATTTTGCGAATTTAATTAATAGTGAGCATTAATCAAAGCAGTATGAATGCATCCCATAGGCTGCATCACAATTCAATTCACTGACGTATTACTACCAGAGTTGAGCCTATTTCATGATTCTGATCTGTATTTATATCATACTATTTAGATTGGCTCCCTTCATAGCAATATGATTCGATTATTGCAACACACACGCCACCGTAATTTGTTAGACACTCACTAATGAATGTTATCAAATAACTTGACTACGGGCCATCCTCTCTCTCTCTCTGACACATTGTTGGGAACATTGCATGTCATGAAAACATTTCCAACTTTGGGTGCTTTCTAACTGCCTGCCCTGTACGTTGAACTCTTGAATTGAATGGCAGGTTTACTCAACAAATTACACAATTTTGATTTTAAGACCATATCCACGTTTTACTGGAATTCCTGCGGTATGAAAAGAGCACCCCGTGCCATGGATAAGGATCAGGTTTCATTCACATAAATAGTAATACGTTTCAAAGATCATTATCATGGGAGCTTCTCGTTACACGAATACAGCATTGTATGATTTCTGATAGGATAAGTAGAACATTTTTTTTCCTCCTTTCTCTCGTAGTTCAGTCGAACCCTACGTTGTATCGTCAGGACTCGTTGGTATCCAGGAAATGTAAAGCTTACATCCTCCCAAGGAGAAATTGTGATTAAGACGAGTGGCTGCTCAGACGATGACGTGGTAACAAAGCAGCGTGATCGCCTTCTCAACCTCATTACGATTTGAGACAAGCAACGCAAAACCTGCGACGATGCGAGCTGCTTGGGAGAAGAAAGTCGTCAAGTGCAAGGGTAATTTACTGTCATTATATTTTATACATTCATGCATAAATACATGACTAAACACTTTGAACTTCGCTTAAGGACTTTTCTCCTTTCGTCATGGACCACCAACTACCCACGCCTTCTATATTTAAGGAGTTTGTCTAGCGTGGAAAAGTGTGAACCTATTAATGAGAATCTGCCCTGGAAAGGCACTCAAAACGTATCGTCCATCTCGCTAGATTTAAATTAACATATATAAATAAGCATTATGAGATTCCAAAGTTTGCATAGAGTAGTTCTTGAGCAGTGTCGGAGAATTAAGTGTGTAATGTGTACATTTACACTGAAGATTTCTTCATCACCACCTTCAAATATACATTTCTGCTTAGCCCACTCATAAAGTCCGATTAATGCAGTCCGTTTGTTTGTATATAATTTATATTTATAATGTTAATTTTAAGGTCACGGTTGCAAAATCTCGAGAATAAATAGCTGAACCTAAATAGTTAGTTGTGCGTGGTATAAATTCCTTGAAAAATTAATGGGCTATCGTTGGTGGAAAACTGCTTTATGGAAAAGGGTGCAGCACCTCTCTGGCAAAATCAGGTTTCTTAAATTTCATTTATGTAAAGCTCACTTGAAACTTGAATTATGTCGCATGCAGAACATGCAGTGGAATTGTGGAATTACTCTTCCAATGTACTATATTGACCTAACCTTAGGATCTCTACACGTAGCCAAGGTTTGACATTGGAGACATTAATATTCGTAAATGGAGGAGTCCCCAATGCCAAACAAGCGAATGTCTGCAAATGATGTGGGCGGCAGGAGAGTCTCATGATGCACAACTCTGGGGGAAAGCTTCACTGCTTGCAACTCTTAGATTTCGATGCACTTGGGATGTGGTAGTATCCCGTGAGTGAACAATGACCCCCACGTGGTTTGATGCAATGGAGACACTTGCATTCGCCACACCCACTCAAAGGGACAAAAAAAGTCAACGCATTCAAGAGATCGCCAAAAATCCTATTTTGTTCGGATCTTGAAAATTCTTGCACAATTTTAGTACGAGATAACAGTTTCATCATATCCAATATCAGACTCCAGTTTTTTTTACATTTTCTAATATTTTTGAAAATTTCCTGACCACTTCTTCGAAAAAATACAAATTTTAAAAAAGTGGAGTTCAACATTGGATATGCATGAGAAAGCGACTATCTGTGACATTCTGAGAGCGTAATCTTGTAAGAATTTTCAAAATCCGGGTAAAATAAGAATTTTGGTGAAAGTTTGAACGAGTGAAAGCAGCGCATTTTTCGCATTTTTGGCCCATTTTACTGGGTGTGGTGGGGGAAAATGTGACCATGGCATCAAAACACCTGGGGTTCTTGTGAGTCATTCTCATGGGATACTACACGACATCCAAAGGGCATCGATTCTGAGAATGACAAGCAGTTAAGCTTTCCTCCTCATTTCATTCTGAATCCAACCAACAAAAACTGTCAAACCACGACCATCACAATCACAACCAGTGCCATACTTGCTTACTTTCTTTCATGAACAACATTTTCTACGAAAGAACGTAAACGTACACATCCACCAGCTGCCTGTCTACGAACATGTATGTATGGACTCTCGTTGTTGGAACGAACAACTTTCAACTTTCTGCCACATTTTAAAATGTCTGGGCATGCATGGCGAGACTTTTCCGTATACTGAGAATATATCACTATGCATATTTGGGAGCAAATCACCATGTAAAATTTGCAACTCAGAAGAGACTTAGGAGATTTAGTTGAAAAATGGAACCAAAATTGGATAGGACTCCCATTCACATTATTCTTTCCTCTGCTATACTGACCACTTTTTTGGCAGTGTTGTGGGAGAAAAGAGAGGAGAAACTATCGCACGAAAACAGGTCATGCAAATACCACCCTCATTTCTCTTCCCTCGAACGAAAGCCAGTTCCACTCCTTACAAACCCGACAACTTTCTCCAACATTGTCAACACCAATCCCGAGGAGGAAATATATTCCAGGTAAAATTAAAATGAGGGAAACGTGATAAGAAAGGGCAGCACTTGAGAGTGCTTTTGGGTCTCATTCTTCTTTTCAGATTGTGTCAATTTGTCAATCTTTGTAACCTTCTAACTCTTCAGAGTAGTGGGTTGCAATGTCCTCGCATTTTACGCCAGTTAGGATTTGATATCTGCAGCGGAAGCCGATGTGTACAAATTATTTGGTACTTTCACTCCATCAGCAGCTGCAAGTTGCTATTTACTACTTTCTAAATTTGAAAAGTTGTTGGAAACACGGGAATTTTCCAACTCCCCTCCGACTTCGCTATATGTCAGTCAATATACGCATTTACGAGTGTATACAGGCTAATACAATCATGTTAGGAGTTTGCTTTCACTTGGCCCCAAATTCAATTCGATAAATATTAAACGTCACTTTTTACAGTCTGTTAAACCCAAGAGTTTTTGCCACATCATAACTCAACTCAACCCTGCGTGTCAAAGCGGAGGAGGAGTGGGAAACAAAAAAATAACAATTTGAGTGCAAACCCAAATGCTTTTTGACGTTTTTGCGCAATACGTCGAAAAAATTAACAACAAATTTTGCGATATTTTATACAGTATGATCCCTTGTTTACTAAAAAAGGGGAGGAAATGTTTGCTTGTTTTTACTCTACTTTTATAGATCCGAATCTGTATATGGAAAATGACGACCTAAAATCAACTCTCTGATGGGAAAATTTTGCTTGTTTCTTCCGACTGACAGCTTTCTTTTTTGTGCCGTGCGTTTATCCGCTAGAAGACTATCAAGTAAATAACTAAGGTGAGTGAGACGCAGAATGTATTTTCGTGCTGTCCCACCTGCTGTCATCTTGGCAGTCTCTGGTGATTTCAAATGCAATAAACTATCGCAAAGGAAGCAATATCACAAAGAGGAAAAGTCAGAATGAAACCGACTGTCACAAATCATAAACTCTGATAGTGCGGGATCTGCTTTCTCTTTTTACAGTGGTTACGGGATTACTGGGAATCCAGGACATGGAGTAATACGCACTATCTCGCGTTCATTCGGTAATTTGGAAAAATAGGTTTCTCAGGTAAACCATAAAAGTAACAGTAATAATGAAAGGAGGGTGAATCATTGATGAGGAAAGAGGAGGAAGCAACTCACCGGACTTGTTATAAGTGCTCCCTTGAACTCCGTAGATGAGACTGTCATTGGCCGAGAGGTCAGATCCACGTCCAATAGTTGGCGGCCCTGACTTGCCCTTTGTACTGGTCAACTGGAATACTTTGAGGAATGCTTGTCTGAACTTCCTATTGAGGAAGCAGTAAGTTATCGGATTACAGCAGCTGGATACGTAGGCCAAAAGCTGGACTAGAACGACCCCCAGTGGACCAATCAGCTTGTAAACAGTTTCGTTGTCGAATAGATACCAAGTGTTCTAGAAAAATAGATTCACAACAAGGTTAGTTTACTCCTTCCATGAAGGATAGGAAAGAAAGGGTTGAATTCTGTGAGAGTTGTTAAGGAAGACGAAGAAGAGAAAGCCCACAATCAATGGTGGTAAGACGAACACTCGTAAAAACCTTTTCAATATCTCACAAAGGTTTGACGGATATTCTCCTGGGATGGGAAATCTAGTGGTATTAGTCGGCAGAGAAAATAGTGTTCTCTCCGTTCAAAATTATACAAAGCCACTGCCACGACGAGAGTAGGCATGCAATGAAAATGGAGACTTACCACAAAGTGAAGTGGAGTCCAACATAAAAAGAATTCCGCAACCAGAACGAACAACATTCGTATGACCTTCTTCTTTGACTCGATGCTTTTTCCGGTGTACGTGCTTCGAATGGCACGTGACACTTTGGGACCTCTTGGACACTGAGATTTGTGGGCAATGGCTGCCGTGGAATGGTTAGTGCTGCTAGAGTGACCGTGGTGATGTTGGTTCATGTGGTTGATATCCATGCTCGATTTGCCTTGATGGTGCTGCTGCTGACCCTCCAACACCTCAACCGCATCCTTCCTCTTCCACCGGACGACCACTCCCTTTCCACCTCGAAGCGTGAGGATCTCGCTCGTCACACCTTCCCTTCGTTGTAGGGGGTCCGTTTTGTAGGTTGAGTATTGGCTGTGTGTACTCAGTTCCAGTGAGTTGTCCCGAGGAACCATTGTTTGTCCTCCTAGAATTTGAGACGCAGAATTTTAAAGATTTCTTTTACCCGTAAACTTTTATCATCCCTAATTTTGTAGAGTTGAGGAGGATACATGACGGGACTTCTTATTACAACCTTTGTTGTCCTACATTTTTTTGCATAATACTTAATAATATTAGCCCCAGTGGCCTTTAAGTTAACTGTCGGTTCTTTCTCTTCTTTGTGAATTGGTGGTTTACGATCTTGGTTTAACCCGTTGATGGAACAGGTCTCTCGTCCTGTCCTTCGTCCAAGGCCAGAGCATAATAATAGTCATCAACACCACGGGGGAAGAGAACAAGAAACTTCATTACACACTGGCAAAACTCAGAGGCAAGAAGATGAAGACTTGCACATGCCAACCTTTTCTTCTTCTTCCCCTTCTCAACATGAAACTTGAGCCAATCTCCTGGGTTTCATTGAGAGTGGAAAGTAGGTGGGATGCTCAACTCGCCAACTAATTGTCGTGGCCCGTTATCATCATTAAGCCTGGAGGAACGGATGTCTCTCTTCAACCAGCCGCCCAAAGTTCCAACTTTCCCGATGCAAAACAATGAGAAAGTGAGACGTCCATGCGAAATGAGGAGAGATTGTGTAATTAATCTGCCATTATACAAGCAAGCGCCACTATTGGTAATTGATGGACGCCACTTCAACCTAACTTTCCTCTCGTCGTGGTCTAAAATTAACTCGATTCGTTTTACAGAACTTGTACAGTAAAAATTTTCAAATTAGTAGAGTCACGATAAGTCTGGTCTAAAATTTCCTTAGAAATATTCAAACTGAACCCAGTAATTTTCTTAAACGTCTTAACCACCAGCTAGGGAAATATTCTAAAAGTCTCAATAAAAAAAACTTCCAGCGGTCCCATATCATATCACACAAAAGTATCTTTTTTTCGCCCTACAATGAATTTGCATAAGTCAGATAAGATGCAAAAAAGGCTACTGGCATGTAAAAAAAGTATATTTCTCCGTCGTATCATTATGTCACTAGTTACTATCATTAAATTTACACCGGAAAAACCGGATTTTCGAGGAGATAAATTACTTGTATCTGGCAATCACATTAAAAGATTTACTGTCGCTCAGGATTTAGGAAACGTAGTGAGACCGAGATTTCTAAGAACGTATTCTTCTCGGGATTGAACTGGGTTCCTCTTCACTGCATATTATTATTACATCCTGGATGCAGGAGGGAAGAAAGTATGCAGAAGAAGGATAAATTTTGACCGGGGAAAGAAAAGGATTAGCCTTTTAAACTGACTCCTTCCTCGAGAGTCATTAATAAAACACAAGTAAATTTCTCGTTTTATTGCCGCAGAGGACTCTAAGATTAGAGGAAAAGGTTACTGAGGATGAGACACAGGAATTTGTCGGCTGGTTTCTTCCCACTTGACTCAATTCGCAAAATGAAACGAAACTTCAAGGTTCGCTAAATTTACAAGCCGTGTACAAATTTTGTTCTACTCTCGCAAAGAAATTGGTTGGATGCATTCCCCAGTGAACTCATAAACCTTACATCCCACAGAGTTTTGCATGGGACGACCCACCTTGCATTTGTATACGTAGCTGGCCCACCACCACTGACAGCAAACATCATTTTACTGCATACCACGGTTTGCCTACTCTAAACTGATTTAAAAGGAATCAGTCTCTGCGGGGTAATTGCAATTGTAAGTGGAAAACAAAAGAAACTGATCGTTGGCGTCGCTCCTGGGGGAAAGTCTACTTCTTCACATAATCGGATCAAGTGCAACTTGTATGAGTAAAAGTTTATTGGAGCTCATGTCATGTATCCGAGTTTAAGACATTTTCCACAAAAAGAAAACCCATCTAACCTCATCCTGACTCTATCATACCACGACTAACACCAATGGTTTCGTACCTCGGCTTCCTCTTAAAAGGGAATGAGATAAACCTCGTTCTAATGAAAGTCTTCTACAGCAAGAAGCACACCTTTCTCTGATTTTCTCAGCCTTCACGCAACTTTCAGACGTCTCACTGTCTGCACCTGCCTATTGAAGAACATGATCGTTTTTTGTCTGGAAAATTCGATTGTAGTTGTTACGACAAAAAATTTAATGTTTCCTCGAGTGATAAAAAGCAAACTTGAGAGGTCATATATATCGGCTGTTGGGAAGAAGTGTGGATGATGATAAGATCGAAATACTGTTACTGCTCTATTGTACTTGGTTCCATTCAGCTTTGCATCTGCTAAAAGTTCACTTCATATGCAAAGATCATATCATGCGGTGTCGCGGCCGCAAATTACAGATATTTTTGTTAGTTTGCCCTATAAACGTGCAGGCGCTTAGTGGATATATATCTGCATTTATGTTTACGCCAAGTCGCTCTCTCTTCCTTCTCGTCCACGCCATGAATGGGTAGTAATAGTAATAATAATAATCAGCAAATTCTTCATGGTCGAGATAACACTCACATTTTCAAAATACCTCATGCCCTCCTCAAATCCTATCGTCCATTTGCCTAATACATACCAACTCTGCAGTTTTTTGGTACGCAGGGAAAGGAAAATAATATTTTTAACAGGAATGTGGAAATAGTGGAAAGCAGCACTACTATCACAATGGATGAACAAAAGTGCAGGTATAAAAAAGAATGAGATAACACATAGTGCGTAGCCAAGAACCGAAAAGACTGCCTGGAAATCCCATTCCTAGTCATTTCTAAGTACATGGAGTTACATTGCAAGTGCAGATTTGCAAACCATGTGCCCCCGGAAATTATTTTATCGCAGGGAGGAAACATATTGAAGGTTTGAAGTACACTGAAGCAGAAGGATCTACATCAATCCATCGGCAGCTTCTGAAATGTGAAATCTGAGGTGATACTTTTTCCTGCCTCGCTCATAGATCTATTTCACTCGGGCACACATTTGCATATATATTTGCATTTCCAAATGTAATTTAATCCCAAATTATTTGATGTCGGGCAAGTTTGACACCTCGACACGAGCACATCCCGTCAGATTTCACACACACATAGGACTTGATCTGTAGATGGAAATCACAAGAGCTCGGGAGGATCTTTTCTGTCGTCCCCATATGTAACCATGTTGACGTAGGAAAACTATGGGTGAGTAAAGTACGCAGTAGGAGAAGAAAAGAGGTAAAGTCTACCGTATTTGTGGAATGAGCGTGTGTGACGAATTTCATTCCGAAGTCCCTTCCAGAGTTTGGACACGATGAGAGAATACGCCATGGCCATGATACCGAGAGGAAAGATAAACAAGAGTCCGTCCAGAATCAGGTTGAAGGTCTTTTCGCTCTCCGAATTCGGCCACACCTCGCGGCATTTGCTTCTTCCTGAAAACCAGAACATTATCCTCAGAATTGAACACAAACAATTGTACCATTACTCACATATTGAAGTAATATATGAACAAATCTCACTTTTAAAAAGTTTCCCGACATTGAATCAAAGTCATATCGGGACACTTTTTGCAATTCAGCCATAATTTTCCGCTCTTGAAAGTTTCGATTGCATCACGAACGGAAATCAGGATCGATCAAGAATGAATCGTATTTACCATTTCAATTTATGATTTACACCGAGATGGATACATAAGATGACTTCATATTACGAAATGTAGGTCGACAGAGCAGAGTGGGCTGCGTCGAATTGAAGACGAAAAAGAAGAAAAAAAAAACTTTTTTAAAGTGGAAAACATTCCAAAAAACATGTCAGTCTATTCTGGGACGATGTTCAACTTAAGCAGACCAAATCGGATGCATGTGCGGAGAACCTCTTATTATATTTTTGGGTGTACTTCAACTTTATTGGTGGAAACCTTGATGATTGATAATAAAATAAGGCGTGCATACCAGTATAGGCTGTATATACACGTAGATAAGTATATGTGCAGATATGTATGTGCATGGGGCTGATATCTATGTCTATGTATGTAGCAATCAGCATCTGCCTGTCCTCCGGGTCTCTGGAGACATCGCGAAGAAGGAGATTCAAGAAACTTGGTGAAGTTGGTTGTTTCATTTCCTGTGCTAACTTTCCATCTATCTCGTCGTCCCCCGCCTCTCCCTCTCTCTTTCTCTATCTCTCACTTCTCTTGGGGTTGAAAGCATTCAGCCCGAATGGATACACACACCTTGACGACATCAGTCTCGCATGGACATTCTTTTATTGAATTAATGGGGATCTTAACAGGGGGGAGCTAATAATCTGACCTACTCACTCAGTCAGTTGGACTTTTTGAGGAAAAAATACGCACAATATGAAATGCCATAGTGTAAGTACACATACGTGCTTTGTTTGATGGAAATCGCTACAACTGTCCTTTGGGGATGTCATTCTAAATTATCCATCGAGTTCAAGTGTTACTTGACAGCCAATTCCCCACCCCTGGCTTCCATGCATGGCATAACCATCGCAGTTGCCAACTTTCTTGAGATTTTATTTTTTAGGCCTCTCGAGGAAAAGATCTTTTAACATCTTTCTTTTATCTGCAGTGACACGACCCAAACCAAGAGAAAAATAGGAAGACTCTTACCCAGACTAATGCTAACCATTTGCTTGTCATTCGCAGCATTCCATGAGTTCTCTCACGAAACAATCTCGTACACAATCACAACAACTGCACAACGCGCTAGACAATGGCACATTTCCCAACTGCAGAGTGAATTAGAACAATATTACCCAATAACTTTTTCCAGTTTGATATCCGATCAACCAGAAATACAACTTACTTAGTTTACACAAAGGACAAAAGCAAGCGAATTAAAGACATGTTTGCTCAAAGATTTTTTGACTTTGTTCTTTTAGACGCGGAACTGCCTCGTAACATCAAAGGGAACTTGGCTCAACAAATAATACCAATTTAGCTGCCATTTGTGCAAATCCCTAAGTTTTCTTTCATCCTCGATTGCGCAAATTGGAATTAACTGGAATGGTGAGATCATGATACTGCCCGAGTGACAAATTCCTTAGATCTTTTCCTAATTGAATTTACCAAGAGAAGGAAATTAACTTATTTACAATCGGGCTGGAGAGTGATGACAGATTTCGTCATCAACACTTATTGGCACCTTCTCCATTATCTAAAATACTAACAAGAAAAGTTCAAAAAAAGAAAAAAAAGTGTTTTCATAATTCACTTCAATATTCACGTAACGACGCCCACTCGCGAACTAATGAGAAGATATTGCTTGACAAATTGGCAAAATAGTTGGCTCTGAATTCTTGGTCTTTTTCCCAGCCAAGGTAATTACAATCTTGTAATTATTGCGGAAGCGTTCATCAAGAATCTTTCTCCGTAAGAACGTACATCCACCCACATACATTTACATGTAACTACACGTATACATGCATGCATGCGTGGGCTATTAGTTAGAAAAGAAGCATCCATCCTGAATTTTTTGGTATACGAGTGAGCGTATGTGTGAGCCATGCATAATTATAGAGTTCATTTCCCTAGTGCAATTTATTACGTTGCTAGATTATTTTCCGGAGGCGTGGACCAATTTAAGTCAAGAGCTACATGTTATTGCGTCTGTAAAATCTAAAATGTCTTGTAACTTTTTCTACTGATTCTAACAATGGTTCCCAACTGCTTGATGTGTCCAGGGTATCCACTATTATTAGAATCTACGAAGGCCCTTTCATTCATATTTCCGTGTAAAACTCATATTTGGCGCCGTGGCGTGGTGCCAAATTTGCTAAATTTCCATGTTTTCATTTTTAAAACCGTCATAACTTTTGAAATCCTGAATGAATTTTCAAAATTTTTTGAACTAAAAGGGGTTGAATAAGGGTTGCATTCATACATGAAAAAAAAGTTTTGTTAATTTTCTTGAAAGATTTTGCGATTTTGTTGAGCACAGGGTTTATCGAAAAAATTTCTCAAAAGTTAAAATTTTTCATTTTTTATTTATTTCTTAAAAATTTCAATTTTTGAGATCATTTTAATCCAAAAATTTTGAAAATCCCGTGGAAACGTCAAAAGTTATGGAGGTTTGAAACTTAAAAATCCAGCTTTTTAAGTTTGGCGCTACTCCATGACGCCAAATATGAGTTTTACACGAAAATATGAATGCATCCTTCATCTAGGACCCTGGAAGATTTTAAAATCATAGTGGCCACCCTGGACACAACAAACAGTTGGGAACCATCCTTTGCAAGATATTAAAATAACTTAATTTATCTTTACCCAAAATTATTTACCAATTTGCCCCAATTAAACGTCACATTTGACAAGTTCTGTACATACAAATGGACTTGATGATCTCAAGATATTAATAACTTCATAAGAGTCGTACAAGTAAGTTAATAGCAACGACTCTTTCACCCAACACTTGTCTAACTTTATGTGACAATCATTCGAGTAGTTGGCATGAGGTCGTCACATACATCAAGTTGATTAAGTGACACTAGTCACTGTAGTCGACTGACTAGTGTCCCAAGTATGAATATGCATATATTCCAAGAATACCTATTCGGTAACATCATGGTTTAAAATGTTACCAATATCTTTGAACCAAGTATCCGATGATTGTAGCATATATTTGATCATGTTTTTCATAAAGTGATAAATATGGTGATGATAGTGATTATCACACAACTACCGATGAACTACATCGTCAGAGTATTTTATGAATGCGGGCGTTGGTTAATTGACAACAACGCCCTAATGTGACTTTTGACGCTGGTGTCTACATAAAATGCATCGCTTAGTGTGCACCAAGTTGAACAACTTTTACTTTGTTAAAGGCCGAAAAAGGATCTCCGTTTTCAGGGATGCATAAAGACCATAAATCAAAGACTCTCACGACCTCAAATACAAACAGCAAACTCGATTCCGGTCTGCAAAAGTTGATAAATTTTCTGCTTTTTTGTATTTCCTCGCAGCAGAAGCGCCCGCCCGCCCGCCTTTAAACTTTTCTCTCATAACTGACGACATTTTTTTCCCAGAAACTTTTCTGCAATTTACTCCAACTCCGGAAAACGACTTTGTAGTGGTAAAAATTTCATGGACAAACCTTTGAAACTTTGTGTATTACTAAATCCACAATATGCAATTGCGGTTGAGGCTGGGAGCAGAGCAAAACCAAACCTGTCATTTTCCTATAAAATATTCATCCCACTTATTTGTGACTTGTGCTGGCATGCTGATAGGGTTTCTCTCTTTTAAAACTTTATACTTTGATGGCCTGAGTGCCAAAAGGTCGCTTCGGAGCGCAGATAATTTTACTCTGTGACACTAACTTTGTGATAATTAAAAAGTAACAACCAAGTTTCACATTGTTTTTCAAGGCTAAACACGGATCGCAAAGACTCGAAATGTGAATATCTACTCATCATTACGGGATCAAAAGAACAAGGGATTATGGGCTAAAATGAGAATCAAGATTTGTCAATGACTCGAGGGTTTTCAAGTACAGCTTTTATGTAATTTTGGTAACACGAGGCAATTTTTCAGGATGTGCATGTATGTAATCCGAGTATTACAACTTTCGTACAAGGGGTTACGTATGCATTGTTGTAAATTAATCCATCGATCTACAAACTTAATCATTACGAAGGAAAAATGTGTTCAACATTATTATTTCATAATCATGTTATGAAACTCAACTCCTCAGCACTAAAACTTTAGAGTACATCATAAGTGTATTTTGCCACTTACCAGAATCGCGGATGGGCTGTAGCTCAGAGAAGATGGCGATCGGAATGTTGTACGTAAGAGCAAAGAACCACACCGTGAATATCATTTTGCAAGCATGCGATCTCGTCTGCCACTTTCGGGATTGTAGCGGCCTGTAACAATGAAAAAACAATTATGCCTCCTTTCACCACACATTAGAGAAGCTCTTCTCATACATACCTGCAAATTGCGAAATATCGCTCCAGAGAAATGGCCACCTGTTAAAATTACAAAATCACGCCTTCATCAGAATATGTTCGTTTAAGGCCAGTTGGACTGACGGGGGTCTGGAAATGTAACTAATGATAATGAGAAAACTTGCCAGCGTCCAAACCGCAACAGAGACAGACACGGCTGTAAATTAATTTAAATAATCACAATTTAGAGTGTTATGCCATCATTTAATAACAACAACTTCATTACGAATGACTTTCGTACAAGTCGCAACCAACCAACGTTACCAATGGACAACAATTTATCTATGTGCGAAACTCTTAATGGACCAACGCCTACTCAAGTACGCAGTCAAGGTAAAGGGTATTAATGACAAGTCCAATTACGCTTTCCCTCCTCTTGATTCTCAAATTGGTTCCGACGTCAAGGTCATCGACAGCACTGAAGACAACGAACAACTCATCTCTACCACGACCACCCACCACTCAATGTACATAATAAATATTGATTGGAGCACAGTTTATTCTATTTTACGATCAATATTCCCCCGTTTACCGACGAATTACAGTATTTTCTCCATCTATTTATTGCACACTTTCCCATTAAAATATTCAATTTTGCCAAATTGGCATCAATACCAGCCTCAATTATAACAACGGTGGAAAGATATCACGCATCTTATTTTTTCGACAAAAGACTGGGAGCATTTTGTCCTCAGGCCGACTGTTTTTATCCATGTCGAAATATAATAATATATTTACTATTACGTTCTTCGGAACAAAATTGGAATATCTCTTTGACTTGGACACGTAAAATGTTGGATTGAAATCGAGCTCGAATATTGTGGATTTCACGGCTCAGCGAGTTTGGTTGGGTTCTTGTAGAGTCAAATCCGTATCAAATAAGTATGATTATTATCGAGATAAATAGACCAATGTTCGAGTTGCCCTCATGTCCTCGGATGGTTCAAGTTGTCTACAACAGTAAAATCTAAATAAAATACTAACGATCCACCTACTCAACACTACATATTGGACCTTTTACAACTACCACTTGTACTATTTACTGCCATGCACTATTTACTTGTACCACGATAAATAGGATGGATTGATACTTTCAAGTCTGGATTGAATAAAAGTGATTTGATGAAATTTAAAAATAACACTGTTTTTGTCACCAGCTCGACACAACATTGATTGGATTTATAATTGATGACACAACTTGTGCGGTTTTGGCAAAAAACAGAACTACAGGTTCAGAAACCATTTGAACCGAAGGACTTTTGTGTGTTTGGAACTCTGCATCTACGTATTTTCGAATTTATTTATATAAATAACTCGAGGCTGTTGTGGTTTCAGAGATTGCAAATGCAATAAACTCGCATAACGCCACAATGCACTTGCATGCTGCAGATGAGGTCATACTTACATTCATACGTTCATGCTGTCTGACCCCATATTTGCAAATTGCAATAACAGTAAAATTAATTAGACAGATTTCAAAAGTAGTTAAATATTGAAAATCAAGGTCATTTATCCACAATGCTAAAATTTGAAGGTAGCATTCGCTTAATTTCAAGTTTTCACTTTCACCCACCACAACATTTCATAAGCATTCATATTTCAAACCGCAAAATTTTCATCGTTCAATCATGTGGCTAATGCTCTCTAAATGCATATTTTACTCGTTTTGTCAACTCTGCCTTGTCAATTTAGCATAATCTAAGAGTTTGTTTTTGCAGAGAAAAGTTGGATCATTCTAAACTCGTAAATTGAGCCCACTGAAATAAATCCCATGACATTATCAAATTGCATGCTCACAAGATGCCAAATGGTTGATAGCAGTTGTTTCATGGTACTGATGTACAACTGCCGATTATATGGCAGGCATTAATTGCGATTTGGACTGAAATGCTGTAAATCTTCCGAAACTTTGCATTTTCCCTACGGGTTCGTGTCATACTCATTTATACTCAACAACGATAATCTGCGATAGATTTCTGAGCAAACTTCAAAAACCAGTGAGAAGCAGAAAGCCAAGAACTAACTGCATCATCGAAGAGCATGTATCCCCTTGACGTACATTTGCTCCAAGAAGATATAGAAGTCGGGCATGGTCACCACCACCGCTCGCAATGCAACCGTTGCAAAGTAAATGAACGGCCCACATGGTAGTAGAAAGTGCACTTTGTCTCTAATCTCGCCACGGACCTGATACTCAGATGAGTCTTGTAGTACATATTTTAATGTTGGATGACACCTTGACATTACCTAATTCCGCTTATTGCCTACTTGTGCATGTGAACACGTAGAGCAAAAATCATCTGCAATTCATCTCCCTCTCTCTCTCTCTGCCCAGCATGCCGACTTGTTTTGCCATAATTTCTGAAAAAGCTATTCTGTGCTTTGGCAAGATCTACTCTCTTGTTATCAGCTCGTCTTCCGTCTCTCTGGGTGGAGGACGGATACGCATTTACGACAGCTCTTACCTCAATAAGAGTAGAACATGATCCATTTTCTCTCACACCCACACACGATAAATCTCTCGGGCTTGATTTATTTTGACCACATGGTACAGACTCCGGATCCAAGTTTTTTCCAGCTTTTCACAACCACCGACTCTTTCACTTACTGATTCCATGCCTGGCGTGTTCTCCTTGTCATTGTTATTGCATTCTTGGGTTATGTATGGCACTAAAGTGTGAAGAGATTGTCCTATTTAAAATAAATGAACCAGCTTCTTACGGCTACAGATTTGTAGTTGCCTAAGGTTGATTTATGGCCTTGGAGTAAAATTCAAAATTTTCAAAATTCCGTATTTATTTTTGCTAGTTTAAACGTAAATTCTGCAAAAGAAAACAATTTCAAATGCTGTTTTATACGATAGCATGAAGTGATATGCACGTGCATGTTCTTTTTTGGTTCGTAGAATTTCAGAATTAAAGAAAAGTGTTGAAAATCCGGCACAATTTTAATTCGAGAAAAATGGCTTCCATCATCTAATTGGAGCCGATACAATTGTTTGGGAACGGCGAGAATACGTAACACTCAAAGTTTTACAAAACACCACCCCAACTTCTAACAATTGACAATGGTTTCCAAAACCTAAGGGAAACAAAATTGTTTTTAATCTGATTAAATCCCACACAAAGTTGAAATGTGTTTGTGGCATTCAATGATGATAAATTTTCTAAAGATCGAAGAACCATAACGCTCCCTCCGTCTTAGGAACAACAAACTCCGTGTTGTGTTTAATTGGATGGAGGCGTATCTGAGAACCCTCTCCACTAATGGCTTGCCATATTTCTCGCAATGTAATTGATGCTTATAGTCCAGCCGTAATGTGTCTGCCTGACAACTGAGAATGCTCAATCTCGTAGCCGGAGCAGAAACTAACTCGCAGTGAGTGGAATGCTCACTTTCTCCTCATGTTCGCTACCTTTCTATCAATTGTTACACTGCGATGGACAGGATGACGGACGTATCGTACAATCAACACTTCCACAACTGCTGTTCTGGTAGGTCAAATACCGGAACTGTGAAATTTTGGGGAATTTATCTATCTTATAAATAGACAATTCTCATGTTGTTCTAATGGCTCAAGCGAACCATCGTTACTGCATCGGTGGGAGGAGGTGATATGAAGCTTCATCCGTCTAAACTAACAACTCCTCAGAGCCCAACCAACCTTGAAAGAAAATAAACCGACAGTTCATCAAAACAAAAAGAAGAAGGAAGCAATTGGTGCAAGAGAGATATGTACTTGTACAGCAGAAATTTCTCTCTTCTTCTGGACCAGAAAGGTGGTCCCGATGATGATGACGTCAAATTGATGTGACAGTCCCATCAAAAAAATGCTGTACATCCAAAGAGCAGAGGTGAAGAGTAAATTTAGGCATTTGCAATGGTGTACAGTTTGAAAGTGAGAAAGGGTTTGGAGAAATTTGATCCCATGACTTGACTCTGAACGAACGGAGCATAAATCTAACGGCGGCATGAGTTGCAAAATTTCTGAACGATTGTTGCGGTGGTGAGGGAAGAAGCACTGGTGCATGGAGGCGATAAACGGATTGGGGACACAAATGGAATGTTGTAACGGTAATTGATGTAACTTTCTCCGCCCCTCCGGCACGAGGAATGAATGAATGAATGTCCAATTCTTCTTGGGATGAAAGTTGGTTGCGACTTGTGACTTTTGCCAGCATTTGTGTAGCTTACCTTGGAAATATGGAATTAAGCGACACATTAAATGTCCGAAGATGAAGTTCCTCAGGATCTGTCCAATTAGGGTAAATGGCATGCAGAAGACTCCCAGTAGCAGGTCGGATATGGCCTAAAATAGACAGAATAAGAATACATTTTAATAACCGCTGCCCACCACGCGGCAAACTCCTCTGACAACAAAAAGTTATTTATTAAGCTGATAACGAGACAGTGAATGACATTTATGAATGAAATTTTCATCTTGTATGATGCAAATATCTTAAATTTGGATGTTTATGGATACGCGTACTCAGGTATTTTTCTGTCAGAAGGGAGACAGGCAGTAGGAAGCTTCAACCTCGTTAAGTTTATAATTTTCATCTTTACGAAGAATGACGTCCTTTGGCGCGTTCTTGAAACAATGAAGTAAGAATTTCATCTTCAAGCTTGTCTGAATTTCTGGAACCTTAAGATTACTAAATATAGGTCAGCGCTACAAGGAACCGAGTATAAATACACGTTCAGCCATGTATATTCATGTATACATGGCGTCCACTATTACTTAGAACAATAAGTACTTGTGTAGGCCTGCTGGGTGCGAAAATTAGGTTATCCGACTAAACATAAGTTCGTTCCGGCCGACTTGTTCATCATTTCTCCTTCTTCCACACACATGGTGGCGAGAGGGAAACCAATTAAAAACTTCAACTCATTATGAGCCATGCTCTAATTATAAATTTTCCTACTTGTTAACTTGCTCAAAATGAAATTCATACTGTTTTCAGCATATTTACACGGACGAAGACAATTCTTCCTGAAGGTGTGTGTAGAGGAGAAGCTTCCTTTTCGTGGTGCGGTGGATGTGGCGTAGACGGTATTTACATATTTGGGTAAAAGAACTATACCTAATGTGTGTCTGAAAAATCTGCATGATGGCCACACGTGTGGATTATCGACCCTGCCAGCTCACTGGTCTATGAAACTAAGTTGGGTGGCAAAATTGGAAAATTCTGACTTATCCACGCCACTATGTATACTTCCATACATATATTTGAAAATGCAGGATGTGTAGGAACGGAAGTCGGAATAATGAAGCACACACAGGTAATATTCTTTTGTTGTTGTTTGGAGAAAGTTAAACTCTGTGGGTTCTTTCTCTCTCGCTTTCTCTTTCTATTAAACTAAGGCAGCGGCATCCGCATGCCGAGATTTAATCTTTATACTCTCCACCACAACATGGCCCATTTTTTGCTGAAATTATCATGCCTATGTCCATCCCACAATTACCATGGTATGAATTTCCTACTATGCCAAATTTCAATTTCATACCAATAAAATATTCAGCAAGCCAAGTAAGTATTACGATCCACTGCTTTGACTGACACCACGTACGTACGTACTCATACAACACAGTTTTCATTTTCATTATTATGATCATGGTTCCTCGTCTCAAATATTGAAAATAAAAATATGCATGGCCGCATCGGATTTTCTATCCGCCGCCGTCGCATTCCTCCTAAACGCCTCAGTCATCAGGCCAGATCGCGTGGTTTGCCTTGCCTTGAAATGCGAAAGAACGTGATATACATGCCAACCATGCAAGACACATGCTCTTGACTAAATTAAATATGTTTCCTGGAAACCTGCTGGATGGCTTCAAAATTGTAAAGAGAGCCAGATAAGTTTCGTTTAGCCAGCGAAAACGAAAGTAAAGAAGGATTAAAGAGATAAAGGGATAAGATTTGGGGCATAGTTTTCCGCTCGGTGCTGGAAGAAAATAGTTTTAATTCCTCGCACACATTTCCTTCTCCGTTACGCTCAACACGCTTAACACAATTCCCTTCCTAATTCCTAAGATACTTTTTCACAATTAAAATTTTCTTATTCTGCAGAACAAAAAAACACGACCGGCCGTATAATTGCACGAGTTGGTAAAAGTTGTCGTTATGCATCTCAATCTTAAACATTGAAACGTTTCACTCAATCGTGTGAAGAATGGGTTTGGGGCGAAATGAGTTTCGCAAAGTTTCACGACTCTTTGTACATAAATAGCATTACGCTGTCAGTTTCAAGAGCAATTCACAAAACTAAATGAAAGAAGGGTTTCACTACATTGTGATTATTTTTAGTCCAAAAAACAATAAGACGTTTCAAGTTCACATGGTTCCACTAACATGGTTAAGCTCAACTATTTACGTAACATTTATTAGTAGCGATGTATCTACTTAATAAAGTCAAAGTCAGGCTTTCAAATTTAAACTTACATAATGCAAAGCTTTAGGAATTATTAGCCAGCTATATTAAAACGCCTTATAGTATTGACTGATGACAGGAGCATACATATCTTGCCTCGTCGAGATTATTTTGTCATATTAATAATAATACCTCCTCCTCCCGAGACTGAAATGCACGAGCTGAGACTGAGGAGAGTAGTATTAGCTTTGAGTATGAAACCTACCACTATTCCATACGTAAATAATTTCACGACGAGATTTAGACTTTCACTCGGTGGTGAAAATATAATTTGTCGCTTATTTAACCAGAAAATGCACACTCAATTATTTCCATGACTGGAGACTGGAGGCAATATATTCTCCTCTGCATGGTCCGACCCAAGTAGGCTCAGCCCCACTCGATAAAAAGCAGTGGAGGAAGAAGCCACACACGGATGAGGGGATGTATTAGGACAAGTTTTAAATTTCATTATCGATCAGTCAGTAGCATTGTCTGCAAATAATTCACTTGTCTGCGGCCTGCAATTTTGCTTTCTCTCCCAATTTGCATGACCTAAGCTGGCGTTGGAGCAATAGATAATTTCGAAAGCCCTGCACTCGACAGTATTATTCTTCTCGATGTATAATATATATACGTTACAAGGCTCGTGCTTCCTCCACAAGGCAATCTATTAACTTAATATGTACGAGGAGAGAAGCACTTACTTGGGTCGTTGGTTGGGTTGACTTTCATTGTGATGAATACAGAAGAAGAAGAACTTTACGTAACCGCCTAACCAAAATGATAGACTGTGATAGCTCATAAATTGCTCCAGCTTTTGTCAAGGTTCATTGAAACTTTGAGAAAAAACTGTATTGAGGTGGTCGTTATACGTTCGTATACATGTTGAATCGAGGGTAATGACTGTGATGTCTCGAGTGTTATTAAATTTCTTTGTTTAAGATTAAATTAAAGTCTAAGGGTCAAATTCAAGTTATGACGCACATGGTTAGATCATATCGAGTATATAAATATATACGCGTCCATGCTAATTTTGTGCAATGTCTATCGTCCCAGTCTCACAAAAGGTCTTTGTAGGCTGGCATTATTTTCATGGAAATAGTTTGTGCACATTTTTGGCCAACTGCACAAAGTGAAATTGACGTGGCTATCTTCACCCAAAATAAATATGTATTGATACCACAACAGTTATTAAGGAGATGAATACATTTCGGAAAGTAAAGAAAATAAAGAAAAAGAAAGCAAGCGATGTTCTCGAGGGAATAAAAATTTTCATGCTTAGGCATTCACTTAACACGATTATACAATTTACGACTTGTTTGCTGGAACACTTTCATTTTCATTTAAACAACCGCAATCTCAAATTCTACCCATGAGATCCATGGCTGAAAGCGTTACATAAACACCCTTCAACCGTTCACGATTCAACGAGGTTTATGGTATTTGAAAAGTTGGAACAATCAACTTCATCACCACTGCTGCTGCCATTTTATTGTATTAACAAAACCCAGCAGCTCCTACTTTTCCCACTCTGACCTGTTTCTTGGCTTCTAAAGGATACACATACCGCAACAACTACGTCTTTATTTCAATCCGGATTGAAAGACTTGGTTGTTCACGCTTTTCGGGATTGCATTCATTTAAACGTGTTCCTTATTGTGCTTGGAAATATGCTTCCTAAAAAGTTATCAAACTAAGAAGTTGTTGTGCTCTACCGGTATTTTTCCTTAGCTCGACGTAGCTTTTGTATGCGTCCGACTTGTTTCATTAATATATCGAGCGAAGAAAATTATCCCATGCTAAAATATTTTAATTATTTATTCTTGAATATAGTTTCTAGCAACACAATGAGGAAAATTCTTGTTCTCGTTGGGAATGCGAAGTTAATATGGCGAACCAATTGCTTTCAAGACTTTCGCAGGAGCGCAAAGTGAGTATGTATGCATACTGATGGTTGTGTACGTATATATTCTCAAATTATAGGTATTTCATAGACATATATATACCAAGATGACTTGGTGTTTTCCTTTGTTAAGAAAATAATGTGGATTATTCTACGCTACTAGAACAGAGGTCGCTTAAACCCCTATAGTTAACTAGATAGGAAAACCCAAATTTTTATTTTCTTACGGTATTGGTTAATTTGTCGAACGGTCAATTGCACTAATTTTTATGCATTTGGCCTCTCATTCCTTCAGTTCCAACCCATTGGTTCATTTGCGTAAATCTCACATTGCCCATTTTCGGCTTTAAGCGTTAAATAAACTCTATGCCTATCGCGAATGCGTCAAAATATGCAAATGAACGGACAAGGCAAGTTTAATTTGAGAATACAGAGGTAGTTGGCCCGTGGTACTTCAGCGTTATGATGGTCATTAGAATTCGGGGATGTAAAAGTTACAGAAGAAGGAATAATAATTATGCCAAAAGTTGCTTGCTATTTGACTTGTCCAGGAAACTATTGATCCTACGTAGCAGTTCGCGGTAAATGCGTTGCGTTCGTAAATTGCACACATAGAAAACAAAATATGGAACCAGGTGCTGTTTGGAACGAATAATAATTACTGCTTAGTCCCCTTTGTCACGAAATGTTCGCTAAGTCGGGGAAAATCATGAATGAAGAAATTATTGATGGCATGTAAATAATGAGTTGTGTAACAATAAATGGCTGTAAAGTTGTAAATAGAGTAAAATCCAGCAGTGGATAAGCCCGGAAATTTGCACCTTTCGTAAGAACAATACTAATTGAGTGATAATTAATTAATAATGGCCAGCCACCACAGTAAACAGGCACAAGTCCAGATGGAAATTACCAAAAATGTGACTCACCAAGTTGAGAAGAAGGACGTTGGTCACGGTTCGCATTCGTCTGTTCTTGATGAGGGTGAGGATGACGAGAAGATTTCCGAAGAACGAGAGGAAGAAGATAAAAAAGTACATCGGAATGATAAAGTTTTTCCCAGGAAAGGGAGGGAGACCGATGGGAGTTGGGGCTGGCTCTGAAGTGGGCCCTGTCCCAACCTCGGTGAAGTTGGAAATCATATTTTGGCTCATGCTACCTAAAAATGGGAAGAAAAAAAATCAATCAATTTTACTTACGGGTTTTAGATTACTCTTACACATTTTGCAATGCAGTTAACGCTGCTATTTTCACTTTATAAAGTTTTTTTTTACTGAAGAGTTTCATCTCGGGGAAGTTGAGACAGATAAGAATATTCACGGGGTAGGTATGCCAAAATGAGACAAAGTCATTGCAGCACAATGAAACAAACACTGTTCTGCTGCATCCCAGATTTGTCAAGTGTGTTGACTAATTTGTTGGTAAATATTTGTGTGAAACGTATTAAAAAGTGAAAATGTCAAGCAAGAAGGGAAATCCAAGGAATGAGAAGTAAATAGCAAGTATTTCAAGATTTAGAGTCCTTCATTGAAAATGAGAAAAATAGGTCACAGGCTCGAAGAGAAGAGGTGACGTCTAAAGTAAAGAACTAAAGAAGTGTGTAAACAAAGCAATTCTCCGGAAACACGACAGCCAGCATCATAATAGAAACGGGAAGGAAGTTTGTAATTTCGAGATTCTATTAATGTGAACTTTTTTAATCGAAAGTTGTAACCAGCAACTAATTGAATTGAATATGACAGTACAGCACCAGGAAAAAAAACAAAAAAAAATCTGTCATTAATTTGTTGGTGACAAAAATTGTAAGTTTTCCGAGATGACATTGCCACATATGAAGGAAATTTCTTGGGAACGAGGCCTTATTAATGCCTTGCCAATTATTACCACATCAGCAGCGGTACAAATGGAAGAATTAGAAATCTTTCCTGGGTGAAAAGTCAAAGACGACTCGAAATATTACATTTGTTGATAGGCTACGACAAATTAGGAAAAATGGAGTTAGGGTCAGCGTTGGATAATGATGACGGCTCTTATTTAGCATTTGGTACTAGCACTATTATATGATTAATATTTTTAATTTCGTATATATTTAATTAATAATTCATTAAAAAGTTGAAAGTTTCGTTGTTAAAGTTAAAATCCATTTCATACCCATTCCAAAGTCACTCATAAGGACTGAGAAATTTGCAACAATTTTAGCCCAAGAGTTCCGAGTGTTGAATCAAGTAGTGAAATATTCTGAAAGTTTGAGACCCCAATGTCAATGTCAATAGCATATCCGTCACCAGCACCACTTTGAAGAAGAAACCTGTGCGGGCTGGGCCTTCATCCACATTTTTGTCTAAGAGGGAGTGAGACGTCCATTTGACTTCCCACCCTTCGGGGATTATCAATATATCGCTCCATCGCACACAGGAAAAATCTTGACAATATCTGAAAGCAAAAAAAGACACAGTTAATGCAGACTTGTTGTACTTTATAGCAGAGCGACTCCTCATATCCACCAACCAGCTAACTCCCACTCAAGTAAACAAATCCGAGGACTTAAAAAGACCAAATGCGTTGACAATTTCGAGCAGTAAAAGAACAAACTGCCTTTGATAACTTTGCGATGAAGGTTGGGAAATTACCGTCAAATAGCGATTTGGGCCTTGTAGCAGATTCTCTTTTTTTGCGTCAAGCAAAAGAGCAGAATTTTGTGGAAATGTTTTTTTGTCTTTATCTATGTCACAAACAGCCTGAGGTCAACACGGGACAAGGAGTAGTATGGATGATTTCATAATGCTACCTTTGTCCTGTCCATATTTCTTTTATTCCGCACGGAAGACTCATATCTCATGACAATGAGGAGAAAAGTCAAAGTAAAGCCGGCAGCTAAATCCAGTCTGATTTCTGTGTCAACGCTTGACATATTTGCACACACACACACAATTCCTGCCTTGTTTGGGGGTGTACCAAGCAGCTCTTCTCGGGACGAAATAATTGGGGACAAGGCAACGATACGTGTATTCTGTTATGTGACTCGTGTCTTATTTTAAGATGAGGACAAAAGGGGACACGGAATTCGGGATCAAAATAGGATAAAACAGGCCTCGCCTTCTTCTTCTCCGTATTCCCCCGCATTCCTCGAAAGAGCGTCGGCAGAAGAAAACTTATTAACTAAGAAGGCGGCCTGGTTCATCAGATTAAGACTTATTTAGCCTGGTTCAAAAAAGACCCCACTCCTCGTGGAGAACTCAATTTGGATTTGTTGATTGGAACAGTTTTGTCGTCCTTTGTTATGTAATACGTACGTAGAAAAGTATACATATGTAACTTTGTAAACGGAGTATCCAGCAATTTAGTCAATCCTACTTTAAATTCAACATGAGCTGCTGAGGATAACACGAAGTGCTTCAATTAATTCATTAATCATTCCTCTTTTTTATCCGGTATACGTAAGAGGATTCATCTGCATTGCCTACTGGCACTTATCGTCAAGCATGCTAAGCCTAAACAATGCATCAGCTTTGCAAATAACTAACATAATCACAAAACCTGTACAGGAAACCTTTACTGCCGATCTTGCACAACTGCAAACAAATGAACCAATTGACCTTTATTTTGATAACATCACTGATCAAGGATTTGCGACTGCTGATCGTTTTTCTTGACTATCCATCCATCCATCTAGGAGTCCCCTCGAGTGAAGTAATTCCGCATGAATCGAAGAGTAAATAATTGTTTCATCCTCATGTAATCTCTTTCATCCTCACTTCAATGACTACGCTTTTAAGACTGTTACTGCAGTTTACGAAAAACATTCTGCTGCTGCTGATGTTCAACTACTTTTTGTTGTCTTGGCCCTTCTCTAAAATCTCGAAAGCTTGAAAAGGAAATTGCATTTCATTTACAGTGTTCATTCGCTCGCAATTGAATAAAATATAATCATTATGTAATTTCAGGATAAATAATGCATTATTTATATCCCTAGCCAAACATGGCAAACATTGTGTAAACATAAAATTTCTGTGTCATGTGTCCGTGTAAAAGGATATAAGTATTTTTGGTGGGTGCAAAGCATTATGCATTTATTGATGTTACATCTGCGACGCATAAAGTATTTTTGGTAAATAAAATGAAACATATTAGCTCATAAATTGCTCTAAATTTCAGTGTCGGTGAAAAGTCACAGAAAGAGTGATGTCGGTTAACCTCACTGAAGATCTAAATTCAAGGAAAGGACCGAATTTCGAAATCTTTTGCTCTGTATCTGGTATCCTTCAATTATTTCTTGGTAGTAATCGAGCTGGATACAGACATCAACGGGAAAACTGACAGGTTTTCCTGTGTCTCATCAGTGCCTGCCGACTGTCGTCTGACTCCAACTTTCATCCGCCTCATGACATGTCTTGGAGAAAAGTCGATTATCCAATCGAGCACGAAATTTTAGGGAGGCTCGAACTGTGGGATCAAATTACGAGACACGAACGATTCGCCATGGCTGACAGTCGCTCATACCACATTGAGCAAAGTTTCAAAGCTAAGTTTGGAGGCCACTTATAGCCACTGATGACGACGTGAGGTTTCAATGATGCAAAAAAATGCCAATATGCAGAAAATATTTCCTATGAAAAGCCTAAATCAATTGGCAATCTAAATGTGGGAAACACCCACACACGCAACAAAGAATATTGCAATATGGCTCGAATTGTATGTACAGGCTTTTCAAGAAATATTGCTACATTTTTATCCGTGTTTGCTATTTGTTATAAAAGACGGGATCGATCTACATATTTTTTTGAACTTGATTAAAATCTCAAGTTTCATTACATGCTTATATAACTTTTGTTATTTATATTGAAATTTCAGTAAAACCGTAATGAAATTTCAAATTAGTATAATTTCAGATAAATCTAGCTCTGGTATGTTGGAATTTGAGAATTACGTCAAAATCTTTAAGTATACTAGAATTCAACCTTAAATAATGTTAATCTTTTGAGAATTGTGAAATTAAGCGTGTAATTACACACCTTAGTACGTTTGGCTCATGAGGTAATGCGAGTTTACTACCAAAACCTCACTTAAACTGTCACAAGTGAGTTACATATAAATCTATCGAAATGCGAAGGGTATGTATATATTTGCCCCAAAAATACGTTCAGCTTATTACTTGTGTAACTTATTATGTATTACACAGATTAATCTAAGTATCTAATATCAATAAGTTGATAGATTTAGTAACTGGTTGCATAATAGAATATAAATCCCAATTATGAAAGTCGAAAACATGAAAAGTTGTTGACACAGTCGTTATTTTTTGAAGATGCATATGCATATAACTAAAGTTTCCATTTCATGCAAGGAATTTTTATCTGTAGCATTTTTGGTTTTGACATAAAAGACCACCGCTCAATTATATTGCTTTCGATAGATTCCAGATCGGATGTCTCATAAGTTATGAAGCTATGAGCTGGGTGCTCAGGACTGAACAACAAACTTGAAAAAATTTGCATTCAAATTTTTTATTGTTTTCTGTGCCAAACTTGCAACTTTAGATCGTCAATACGGTGAAACTTTCATAATATGTGAAACAGGTTTAACTAATCCTTTTATGTATAGTTATGTAACTGTTTGTCAGACACTGTTGATACAAAAACTATTGGATCTGGCAGTATACATGCATATATGAAAATATGCACATGTATAATATTACCAATTAATCACAGATCCCCCATCTCCCAGTTTAAATCCTTCGTGAGTGATACAGGTATTCGAATTTGCAACTTTCACCATGGAGAAAGTCTTCTCCTAATATTTGCATATACTCAGATTTAAATCAATATTACTTTTACAGACTGTGTGTTGAGTTGTATAAAATCCATGAACACACAATTGTTATTTGCCTCATACATGCATTCACACTTCTAAATTGTTCTGCATTCAAAATTGATTAATATCCAATAAACCAGTCTGGCACAAGTGTCTCATTTTCAAATTTCGCATTTTCCAAGTCTGTAGCAAGTACTTATTTGAAGAGCTCCACTTATTTAGTTTAAACTACTCATGCCACAAACAAAACTAGATCAAAATGTGAAGATCTGTATTTCTCGTAATCCATGGGAATCAATTCAATTAGTATCGCTCACTATAAAAAACACTCGTGTTTATTCACACATTTCTATCAAAATATGAATTTAAGCAGTCAAGTCTATCATTTTTGTGCTTAGTTTTGACATCTTTTATTACTTCCTCCCCTCATGAATCTTTCTTAACTGCACACTCATTGAAAATGGAGATCATGATCACGAGGGAAATGTGAGAATGTCACTTTCTTTCAATTCATGATTCGTAAATGTACACAGACGTGGATAAAGTAGCTCATAAAGTAGCTCAACGTTCCATAATTTTCCCAAGCAAACGATATATGAATGCAACGTCAAGAGCCAAAGCTAATTTATATTGAAACAAGTGCTACACGCGACCGACGAGACTCACGCGTCGTAGTACGAACGAACTCTAAGCAGAATTCCTTCCTTCGCTGTACAATCTTGATTATTACAATGAAAAACATTGGGCGTGAAACTCAGTCAGACGAGTGTAATATGTAGCGTGCCCATAAAGTTGTAAATGGTGAATTTACTCACCTACATACTTATTTAAAATGCAATTCCATGCCATGACGAAGCCAGACATAGAACATAATATTGCGTGCCAACGTTTCTGAACTGTGGACGATCAGGTTCAAATGAAGCGATGCCTCAGCTTCGTTCGCCGTAATTTTGCCCTTGCTAGGATTGAAAACTATTAGATTTCGTAAATTTAGCCCGACTCTCAACGGTCTCCATGAAATACGAATTTTCTTTTAAAGTGAAATGTTTCAAAACTGACAGTTTGCATGAAATGGGATTCCGGTTTAGTAAATTAGATTTACTCCCGTCTTCCTTCATGGAGAGGGACATCATCCGGCGTGTGTCTTGAAAGTGCACAATGTATGACTTGCCCTTGATATGACAAGCATAACGAATAAATAAGATGTTGTGTAAATACTTATCCACATTGCTCAAAGGAAATCATAATAACAATAAAAATAAAAGTGGATTCTGTCAAAGATTGATCCAGTGAAGGCCAGCCAGACTTTTCGTGGGAGCCCAACCATGGTTTCATGCATGCAGTCAGAAACCATACCCACAACTCCAGGGAAATGTAGCATCTTCAATTTCATTCTAAAGCAATATGTCCAACATAATCCGGACTGATCTTGTTGGAGCATTTTTCTCGGAAGTGCACACACGTCTAAGTACAACGCATCCTAGCAACGTATCAGTTTTCTCCAAGGATCAACTCAATAATTTGCTGGCACGATTTGAAGAAGCCGGAACATGCATCGGCTTTTCGAGCCAATGAGAATCTGCCACAGTGCGAGATTGATGTTGGTAAAGTCAAGTGATAATAAATAATGAGAAGAAGGCTCTGATCTAATAAACCGATGGTCTGCATGCATGGCGCAGCCATTCAACTTAATTAAAACCTTCCTGTAAATGTTTCCGTCTTCGTGGCAGTTGTACAACCGTTAATTTACAGTGACATATTTCCCCAACTAACTCTTGGCTCATTCCCCACTCCTTCATCCCACCAGCACCACCATCACCACTACCACTTCTAAATACTACGACAACTTGTGTATTGTTAGTCTTGGAGAAGGTGACTTTAATGCTTCTTTAATAACAGGGTATCCATAATGCCGTCTATTTGTGAAAACACGCTAAATCTGATCCCGCGGATTTATAATAAATACGTGTGTATTAAATTATGAAAATGTGGCCTCCAGTTAATCAGGGTTCAGTCAGAGCCAGTCCTTCATGACAAGTTTATATCTATGCAATTCGCCCATTCAACTATCACCAGTGCATCCGATTGCACCACTAATCATGACACCTACACACTAATCCAAATGACTAAGGGCGTTATTAAATGATTACTATTCCTAGAAATAATTAGCGACATTTTTTGCAACATTTTTGGAATGAGAGGAGAAGAGAGCGAAACCTGTTAAATGCTTCATAACGATGCTGTGTGGTTTTCCATTGCTAAAAATAGTGCATTCACGATTCCCCCGTCTCATCTCACCACCACAACCTTCATTATTATCGAGTAGCAGGAGTAGTAGTAGAAATAGTAAGCCATACTCACCACAAAGATTTCTTTCATTTGAATGTCACTTGTACATACTTCGCAGCAGCGATGCAACAGACCAACCTTGAACTTCACTAATGTTTCAAAAACAACCAGGCAATCCAGTAGATAAATGCGATGAGAATGTGGCTCAACTTGCCCCCCAATTTGTCTCTGGTTTTCTTCTAGCTCTCCGCCGCAGTTCTCACCGAGTGAAGTAGTTTGTCTCACTTTGAATAGTGTGTTCTCTTCGCAGCGTCGTGGTTTTTTTACGTGGAGCTGTTCGAACTATTAAATTGTTGAAGGGTTGTGTAAATTAAGTTGGTTGATAATTTGATAATATCACTCGCGTTCAAAGCTCAGGGATTTGTAATTTGTCTCCAAAGTCGAAGCCAAACTTCACCCTAACTCTTTGAGGAGTTTGGGTGGTTCTTACTAAATTAGCGAAACTGAGAGAGAGAGAGAAACAAGAAGATGTAAATTCAAGACATGCAAGAGAGCAGAGCGAATATGCGAGGACACAATCAGTTCCGATGTGAAAGTAGAACTGAGTCGTTGGGATCCGAAATGCAAGTAAAAATCCCCGAGTTGGTTGGCAAGTTGAGAAAGGAAAGCAGCAGCGGAAGCAAGGCTTCGCCTTCTCCCATAAACGGTGTGCACATATCCCCGTGGTTAAAACCCCTGCGATGATGATGTTGAATTTCTGGGGATCCAATAAGTTGTGCAGAATATGTGCTATGCAATTTACTTTCCCACACTTCACTTTACCATTTAGCGTTCTAATTCATAGCAGTAGTCTGTTCGTAACAGCTTGGCTTTCACCCCGCTATCTACTTTATTACTTCCAGGGGTTGCGGTAATTGTAATTCATAAAACCCTAGCGGGGACGCATGCATTCTAAATTTAGTGGATGTTGAGTGGCCAGTTATTTGAAATTTACAGGTTGGCTTCCCCGAAAACAAGAGCTCATGGGCATGTATGCATATTAAAACTCTCTATTTTGATTAGGATGGTCTCTTCAAAGACGAGAATGGTCTCCTCTTCCGTCCTTGTCTCCATCGTCCAAATGCAGGACTAACCAGCCCAATCCGTCCGGCTTTGTACGTGACAATTTAAAATAAGGATATGCTGATGGGTTTCTTCCATTTTGTTACCGGCCCCACAGGCAGTGGACCAACCGCGTTGACCTCTATTCCATTTAGACACAATTCATAAAGGTTAGTTTCTCAAATTTAAATATAAAATCCTTATGACACTCACCTTGAATATCAAACATTACGAAAAGGTTATCAGCAAACTCCAAGTTTCGTCCTATGACTTGTGACATTCGCCTTGAGACAAAAATCTGAGAAATGCTCAAATCTGCAACATATTTGTCCTCTGTTCGAATCATATAATAAATTTCAAAGAAACAAATACTACTGAATTCTTCTTCTCAATGGGAACCTTTGTGCGTTTCACAAGAGAAACGCAATCTGCACTACAGCTGCATCATCGAAATTCATGGAACAATTAAGTGGATCCACAGGTGCTATTTATTTATTGTTCAGCTTCTTCCCCAGAATCGTGGCGCACAAGAATTTAGCGGAAGAGGCAACCAATATAGCTCTGCGATATGATTAATGATGCAAAATAGTATGCGCTGCATATTTATACGTCCAATATATCACTAGACTGGGTTATTTCATAACAACTCTAATCTTACACCATAATTTTATAGTATAAATTAATTTCTCTCAAGACGTGCAAGCTGTGCAGTGTATGCGTACACAAGTTCAAGTTGACATCTCAAGTTTATATAAATTAATTAGGACAACATAACTTAACAATGTATCGTAAGTCAGACTTTGTTTTATGGGAAAAGACAATTAAGTTCGTGCGCAAACAACTCAACTGAACTCTAGGATGTAAAAGAATAGAAAAATCAACGTGCATTCAGAAGGAGCTATTCTTCAAATAACACTAAACCATAACGTTCTCCCAGCGAAGCGGGCGTTATTAAGAACATAAATCAAATTACAATTTCGTAGGCTTATAAAAACTCAAGATCCACTGCAGGGTTAGGCGACCTTCATTAAGTTTTTTTTCTAGTGGCCAAGTTGTGAGACGCACTCAAAAATTGTGAAGCTGTAATATTCCAGTTAAACACACATTGCATTTGCAGAAACTTACCCACTTTAACGTCTTCATGATTTGCATAGTAAATAAACCATCTTAAACGGAAGTAACAAAGGGGTGAAATAAGACGCAGTTGCAAGTTCGTTACAGGTAAAAAACTGTCAGAACTAAAATTTCGACATTTTTGGCGTATAATATCGCTGTTAAGGTTACCAGGTCATCTCAGGTTAAAATAACATATCCCGTTGGATGTTGGATAGCCCCGCAAAAAAAACCTATTGAAAGTTTAACTCCTGATACATATGATCCCTTGTCCTTTAAAGTATGACCTGTGACCTGACGTCGTGACATTTTGACCTCAACGGTTAGTCAACGACCTTGACCTAAGTCTGACCCTTCGTCTTGATTTTAAAAAAATTGACTAAATAAAGTCGATCCGTTCGAAAGTTATAGCTCGACAGGACGGACAGAGTATGATACATAAAGTTGTTTCACCCAATTAATAACGTGAAAAAAGCTAAATATATCTATTTTTAGGAAATGCTACAAAATTGTGTAATTTACATGTTTAATGAACAGGAATGGGTATGGGCTTGTTTATTAGCAAAAGGTGATTAAACTAATTACCACCATCTTGGCAAATTACTTTGTACGGGGGAGACTAGGAGGAGGAGGAGGAGGAAAGAAGGCGTTGGAAAACCGGGCAAAATGTTTCCAGATAATGGTACCGGCATCAAATGCTGGAGACCTCGCCTCAGCGTGGGAACACAAAACATGGTGGAGAAAGTTTGGTCGATGCCATCATGTTCAACTCCTCACCAAAAAACTGCTTTTCAAACAAACTTTTCATTCAGTTTAACCTGGTGCAAGCAATAATGCACTATATTTTGTAGATTTTCTCGTAACATTTACCCTGCATCCAGATCAGGACAAAGTGGCTGATTTCTGAATAAAATTGTGAGTTGTGAAAATAAAACTTCCCCTTTTGTCTAAACTGGTATAAATTATTCAAAACATGGCACAAGGAAGTGTTAAGTGTTAAAATGTTGCGTTCATAGAAAACCGAGGCGAAGAGGATGGAAGGTCACGAAGTTAACATTCACCAACTCGCAACACGAGTGTCGATGGAAATCCCCCTCATGCTTCAATACAAATCCTTTTCCAATGATCTCCAGGTACGTCAACTTTCACCACCTTCGAGACAAAGCCCTCTCGACTTTGACATTCGTCAGATTTATTCCCATTCCTCGCCTATATTTCCATATTCTTCAATTACATTCAAAGTCAACAGGCTTCAGTTACACGTCTGGTTTTAGTGATAATTTGATTAAATACGCTAAATGACTTGTCTTCAAAGGGAACAATAGAGAACCCGAATCAGGGCAAAGTACTGTACTTGCTTAGGAAAATGGTGACATTTTATGACAAATTTTAGTGTGCAAATTGAGTTTCACTGTGCAAAATTACATTATAAGAGGTTATTAAGCATCCAAATTTTAAAGTAGTGTTACGAACGGATTCCTTGATGACTACTTATTTGTGGTTGAGGGGTTAAAATTCATATAAACGAATTTCGTATGTATGTAAGTGAGATTCGGATTTCAAGTTTTCTCCATTGACAAGGACTTATCCTCAGGCAGGTATATCTGAAAAAGCCTTGAGCCTTGAACAAATTGTCAATTTAAAACCTCGTAAATTAAGCAGTGAATTACATTTCCAAGAAAAACGGTTTACAAAAAAAACTGGATTATAATCCTACCTGCCGTTAAACATGTGTAATATCACTCAAAAAGGTCAGGTAGAAAATGGGATTTAATCCCTTACATATGTAAACATTCAAAAAGTTTGTCATACAATCAGCGCATAAATATAAACTGATTTCAAACTAATTTCACACAGTGTGATTCGAAATTAAATAAAATTCAAGCGGTACCCATAAACCAACGCCCTCGCCCCACAAAATCTATTCTCTGGGCAGCATGTACATTTTCAAGGAAATTAGGCGACAATTTTTTGTTCGCAAGTCTGCATATATTTATGCTGAATATTCATATAATGATGTACATGCATACACACTTCCATTCGCTCAGCTTACTCATTTGGTTCACATCAAATGACTTAAAAAAATGTGTTAATTGAAGATGTTCATTATCATCTGTATCAGTTTGCGCGGACATATTGTCAACATTTTTAATACTTTTTTCGATTCCAAGATAAGCTCGGAATAGTGCTTTACACAACAAGAACTTATTTCAAGAGGGAGACGGCAATAGGATTCGGTAGCCATCTGAATGTAATTTTGTCGTGTGTTGTGTAAGTATTTCCCAGAAGAGACTTGTTTTTTAACAATTTCATCTCATGTTGAGAATAAATCTTGCATTCGTCCCTGTTTTATTGGCAAAGTCCTAACCCTTAGCAACTTTTCAGCCTCTATAATCGAATCCGTAGAATGTTGAGTTTGCAACATCATATTATGGGGTTACCAAAAACTGTTGTATTTTTTATAAGGTCTGCTCATAAAGTCACAGCAGAGTATGTACTTGTGTCCACCTATTGACTCCATGTCTGCAGCTTAGAGATTTTGCTGATGTCGGCAATATCAACTGACAGATAGTACGTATTGTGCTATTTTTATGTACAACTTATTTTATAATTTAAAATGTCACGGATGGTTGAATGCGGGCCCAACTGTGCTTGAGCTGCTTTCTTTGAGTTTATAATTGATGTAAAAGGAGAATGAAAATACATAGTCGACGATAGAATAAAAAAAAACAGTCGAATCAGAGAGCTCGGACTTTAGACGAGTTTAACTTTGCTGGGAGTGGGCGGAGGGTTTTGCAGTAAATGTTATTGAATGTTTCGGAGAACCTTCAAGTAGTCAAGTAGCATGTGAAAGTCTCAACTTTCAAGTCATTGTCAGCTATCAGTTTAAAAGTGTATGTACCTTCAATCCAAGTCGTGGACCAAGTTTTTAAAACCAAGTCTTACGAGGTGTGGGTGGGACGAGGAACCATCAAAGTTTCTCAGAACTTTTGAAACTTGGAGGTGAAAAACACATGACCCCCGACTTTATTACTCACATGCCAATTTAATTGACACACAAAGTTGTCAAATTTACTTTCGTCTCGCTCTTAGGATGAAATCTATTTGTATTGTTCTTTGAGTCTAAATTTAGTACTGCCTTGCCCTTTGTGACCTCCAATTCATGCAATCAATAAGTGCTGTATAAAGAATAGTTTTGTACAGAATAACGTGGAAAAGTGCAAATACCAATTTGATGAAATTTCATGATTTAAGTTAACGATGTGTGAGAATAACTCACTAAAGTCTGGAATGGCATATATTTTTGTTATGGTTTCTGACCTGTATAAAAATATTACTCACAAAATAGTGCAGGTTATTCTGTTTGCATAAACTATTGGACCCATTATTGTGACTAAACCACTCTGAAGATTACACACCCTCACAATTGGCTCACAAAGTAAATATCTTGTAGAAAATCCGAAATCAACTCCATACGAGGTTGTTAGGGTGCCTTCCAGACGTTATATTTCTCCACTGCGTTCATTAGAATACAATTCATCATACACAACTTCTAAAGTTGGCAAGGAATGAAAACCCACGAATAAAATATGTTAAACTTGATCCTCATAGTAATTACAATTCGGGATTTAAACAAAGAGCAAGGAACCTCTGAAATAGCTCCGCTCGCTCCCACGCGTTAAAACTTTGTGGGTGGAGTGACAAACTTTTTCCCACAAAATCTTCATCCCACAAAATTAGAGACGAGCGGCAAACAAATAAAGTTTAATCCGCTCGGAAATGATAAAAAGCTCAAAGGCCAGACAACTTTTTATGGAGAACCGTAAACCAAGTGGAGGATAAAGATGAGATCAATCTACTCAAAAGGAGTGACGGGTTGTATGTCAGAGACATGAATGATTCATCCCATGTCGAATTTATGCATTGAACTCTATAAAAGTTTCTCCGCATGCATTGCATTCATAGCAATCAAGTTATGTTCTGTGGCAAAATTATTGCTTAAAAAAATACAAAAGTTTGTCGTCGCAGTTAAAGCGTCTTGCATTCGCAGTTTTTCAGATGTTCTGGGCGGATTTTAGTTGTAACATGCATAATATGCAAATTATGCATTCACATTAACAGCAGACTCTACATTATCTGTCGTCCTTTAATATAATGTTAGTATTCGAAATTCGTAAGTGAAAATAATCCCCAGTTAAAAAAGACAAGTTTAAAAATGTACTTGACAATTATAATTTACATCGAGGTTACAAATAGCACATGTGGGAGAGCATGTCTAACTTTTGCTCATCCCCATAGACTACAGGCTACAGGGTATTTGTTAAAAGGAAAGTTTGCAGCCAAAAAAAACATTCCCCTGAATATGTCAGTAGCAACCCTTGCGAATTATTCGTGTCCTGTTATCTTAATCTTTTTTCCTATGTATTCCATGAATTGTACTCAGCAACAATGACGACGAGTTCAGTCAGTGAACCTTGCACAAAGTAGTTCGTGCCCATTTATGTAACACGGCTTAGTTCGGTTTATATGTACTCGTCTGTATCTGAATTTGTAAATGGAGACGGCCTGTACGAGACTTTGAAAGTTTACCTAACCTTGGCGTGTTTTGAACCTTACAGAAAGCAGCGACCTCAGAGGAAGTCCGTCTGGTGGACTTTGAACATTCTCTTCTTCACAAAATCAAAGGAGAAAGCTTGGACGTGAAGCTACGGAATATGGTCTACTACTGGCTCAAGGAACGCTGTTCCGGTTTCAAATCATTTACTTCTGAACCGTTGGATTACATGAAGAGATTTCAGGTGCGTGCCTAGAAACGAAACGGAAATCCATCTCCAAACTCGGCACAAAATTGTTGTCACGTAACAACCCAAATCTTGTGCTTTTTGTCAGCATTTATATAAAACTGAAGGCACAAAGGACACTTTATCCAAGCCATCATTAGGAGTTTTGTTGCCCAGTTTATTTGGCAGTTATTAAATTATAAAGTGTTACGTGAGCTCTGCGGAGTTCTGGTTGATAGGAATCGTCACCGTTTTATATGACTTGGATTGGTTGTGGCTTGGCTTTATGTACACATTAGTTGCATCATTCAATTCAATTCTTATGAAATATTTTGCAGCTTTTCCAATGAAATTCGTGAATGAAAAGTTCAAAGCAAAAAATTTACAATTTATTCCCCAAATTTTGCAAAATTTATTTATTTTACGTTATAAATAAGTATGTGCTAACATAAACTAATGAAAGAAAACATCGCCAACGATGAAGGATTTTCATTGCTCAATATTTTTCTCAAATGTCGGACCCACTTTCTCTCCTATTCTCCTTATTGTTCATGTTCGGGAAAGGCCACCAGATTTTGGGATACTTGCTTGAAATTCTAAATAAATAATTGCATTACCATGTTGTATGCAATATACCAAAATGTGAGACTAGTTCTACGAATTTTCCTGGCATCTACACCCACAGCAAGATTTCGTAATTCAAAGACAAACATTCGAAGCGAAGAGAGAGAGAAAGCTTGAATGACTTGTTCGGTTTTCCACCCCACTTATCAAAGCAGCACTGAAAAGTGTAGTCACAGTCGTCGTGATATATTCAGTTTTGAGGCCCTACGCAAATTATTCTCTATAGGTTGCATTGCACGGTGTTGAAACTAATTGAACTAACAATGTGGTCGAACATCATTTAATTATTCCTCCTCACATCACATTAGTGAGCAATTGTCTAGACGAGAATAATTCATCGCGCCGTACACATTTATTCACACTCAAATTCAAACAATAGAGTATCATTAATTGGAAGGTATTGTTTGAATCTAAAAAAATCGACTATTTTCCATCCAATTGTCGACGTGACAATTGGTGCAGGAATCCTGGGAAGCTCGAATATGGAAATCAATTATTTCAATGGCCACAAATATGGGGGCCCCATTGGCCAAAGGCAGACTCAACTCGGAACAAGAGAACGTTGAGGAAAACTGGAGCGAATTTAGTCAATGGGATATTGGTAAAAAAATGGTTCTTGCAACTTGATGTCTTAAGAATCATCATTATCGTTGAATGATTTGGCAGACTTGAGCAGATTCAAGCCGGTCTACTCACCCAAGGACTTCCTGGACTGCATCCTGCATATTTCCAGCCCCAACTATAACTTGAATGGGTAAGTTTCCCATCGACGAGGGGAAAGCTGTTACTCCAATTACGCAAACTACTACTACTCTTCAAATTGTGGTTGTTACGTTCCAGGTCTGAAAAACTGTGGAGTTCATTGGCATCGGTACCCATCAAAGTCAAGTCGCTCAGAGAGTTGGTTCGTGGTTATGACACTCTTCCTTCCTTTTATTCATTCATTCATTTATTTGCACTATCCAACAGTCCACTGGTGCAGTCTTTTGTTCGAAAAGTTATCAGATCCAATTTTTCAATCATTCTTCCTCAAACTTGAACAAATGAGTGGTGGTCGGATGGATAGATGCATAAGCAATGAGGATAAACTTTGTGAGAGGAAACTAAATTTATTTGCCATCCCAGCACTAACCGCAGAAGTAGTCGCTTCTTTCGAGCATAATGAGGTTATGACGGGCATAAATTATTTTCAGGGATGGTATTGAACCGGATTTTATATGGAAAACATGTTCAAAACTTGTCTTTATTATTCAAAGGAAGCTTTTTTAGAAATTACTTAGATGCCAGTTTTCTTGTTCACGTGACATGATTTCTACTCACATATTTATATAAGTCAGAGTCACCTGACGCATTTCGGGCTTCGTGGAAATAATGTACATGGACAGATACGTTAACAAATGAGCCGTCACGAGGGTATCACTGCGATGGGATTGTGGTTGTGGTAAGGCAACTGGAGTGATGAGTACGTAGATAGGACTTACCTACGCCCGTTGTCAAGCCTTGGTTTATGCTGCGTAGGTACATATATCTATCAGATTCACAATAGATCGAAATTTTGGGGGCAAATATCAAATTTCTGGGAACGTTACTTAAATAATCCTACATATCACTGGAATACTTTAATTATTATTAGAATATTCCTGGAATTTTTATTCTAGTCTTTTAATTCCTATTTGTTACTACACAACTCCATAGCTTCCTTATAGTTCAAAGCCTTTTGTATTCAAAATATAGATAAATGAGAACTGGCGAAATTCCGTTATTGGAAAAGTTATTAAAAGGTTAAAGAAATCCCACCTTGCCCCATAGACACCCTAGATGCCTGTAGGAGAGGGACAGATACGGAGAAAGTAAAAGAGCTTCCGCCTCGACGTGTAGAATTTATGAATGAGTCAGCCATTTAACGGCAACTCGTTATCATTTCCATCTTTAAAGTTTAATGAGAGATGAGTAACTTTCAATTTCACGTTTCAGAAATGCTTGTTTGGAGATCTGACCACAGGAGAAACCCACTACGGCCTTATGAGACAGTTGGAGCTCGACGGAGAAAGTTATGCCGTTTCCAGTCCCAAACTCGTTCATTTCCAGCGTGCAAAAGTCGGAGAGATTGGTAAGACACCCCTCAAACGGGGAAAACTTGATGGTTTCTCTGTTCAAAGATGATAAATGTATAAATGTATATATATATAAGTAACATACTGTTTTTGTTGTGTGTGTTCCACATCCTCGCAACCACTTTAGTTCGGCATTTTCAGTGGTTTTTGTTCACCATTCCATTCTTTAAAAGCGTGCACAGTTTATGAGGAGATTGAATCAGACCTTCTCGATTATATACGAGCAGTAGCACACCCACCCCATAAAACGTGCGCCACTGGGCCAAATACAATTCTGGCAGATACAACATCGATTCTAAATTCTTCTGAAATGACCAGAAATCTCCACATTGCGTTGCCTCCAGTATTGCATGTAGCAACTTACGAGGGAAAGATTTGCCACACAGTCATTTCCCCAAAATACGGTAACCCGATGACTTGACTTGACTCTCGGAGGTAACTCTGAAATCAAACTCGGGTTCGACACTGTGCCAGTCCGAGAGCCATTTTTTCAACATTCTTTCCATTTCTTTTAGGTAAGTGCCTCCACTACGAGGACTACTACGACTTTTATCTAAAATACCTACTTTCCCATTTTACGACATCTTGCCATCCACTTCATGATGAATGAGATCATTTACAACATTTCAGTGTACTTTCATTCTTGACGTCTTTCACTTTCATTCTTAAATCCACAGAATCAAATGGAGCATGAAGAGTGTTGATTGTTTTTGCCATTTCACGTCCCTTTAATGACCTCTACGAGATTTTACAACTGATCTTGATTACACGTGCTTCATACGTATTGACAATGCATTAAAAGCCTTCGTTTCACAGCCTAATCATCGTAAAACGGCATAAGATCAAGCAGTAAAATACATCCGAATGGAAATGTTCTTAACGTTAATGATGTAGGACAGGTCTATTACTTACTTCTTGTGTTACACATACGAACGGGAAGCACTCACGGCTCGTCAAAATTTCTGTTTTTGGTCAAGGTCTCAAGTTTCAAGGTAATTAATTATATTGATCGTTGCGAATAAGAGGGGGCGCATAAAACTTACTGCTCTGTTTCCAAAGGGCACATGTTCGTAATTTTGTGCGAAATTTGGTATCTCAAAACGGAAGAAAAACCCAGTTTCCCCGAATACTTAAAACAGGAATTACGTGGGTCTGTGAGCCGATTATTTATTTTGGAAAGATAAACCCCGCAATACTTGAGCTAAGTGTTCAAATTACTTTATACCGTCCTACGCTGCGATTGTTTACTATACATAACTTGACGACTTGATTTATACTTTACTTATAATTCTCCAACATCTCTGATTCTAATTGTAGTGGATTCCAAAGGGTTGGCTCCGGTGGCTCAAGAGTTTTTGAAGAAAGGCTGTCCTACAGCTCTTCGGGGAACAATTTACCAACACATTCTGGGATCTCACATTGCTAAAGAGGTAAAAACGAGTGAATTTTTTATCCCTGTCATCATTCCACATTTCTTAAATATGACAACTCTTCTGCAGCATTTGCAGTACTACCATGAACTGAGACAAGCCGTGATCAAATCGGACCTTCTCATCGATCGCCTTACTCTGAAGGTGAACCAACCACATATTCATTCCACAATCTGACAAAATTGATCAAAGTTCTCAAATGCCTTAGTTTAGAAAAGGCGAAAAGATTTCTTAGTGCAGCATCAAATTACGCATTATGTACGACTGTTCACAATCGTATCGTTAACCGTACGACGAAATACGTCGAGGGGATGACGGGTATTATATTCTACAAAGTTTCTTTGAAAAATAGTATCGAAATGTTACTTTACTTAACATTTACGTTTAGGTATATAAATATATAACTTACATAATTTGGAAATTTGAACTTGTCAGATTTGTAAAATTAAATTAGAAACTATGACGTGGCGTCAGCATTTGAATAAAAAAGAGGTTGAAATTTGAGGTGAGGTTTTATTTAACAAGTGAATGATTCGTTGAACACATTTAATGATATCCGAATTCTTAGTCAAACTCAATTTATTTTACCGCTTTCCAAGATCCATGCCTTGAAATTGTTAAAAAAACGCGAAATCGAGGCTGATGTATGTTTATTTTTGAGGTGTAAAATATTACGATCTTTATATAAGAACATCGCAAATAGTCTTGAATAGGGCCAAGTATACAATACTGACTGAGCAATTCAGAATGTAGGATTACATAAAACTTTACTTTATTTCAAAGAAACTTTTGCATTTACAGGATGTTCAACTAACTGCTGCAAATGATGACCAATATTTCGTATTTGAAGACTCCTTGTACCAAGTTCTTCTATGTTTCAACCGCGACGTTGGTCTTTTGGATCTTTTCGAACGAAGTAACAAAAAACCGTTGACCGCAACCTGCAAAGCCAACAACAAGAACCAAGATGCCATTGTGGTCTATCCGCCAAATGGGATCGTCCCCTTCCACGGTTTCTCCATGTATGGTGAGTTATGCAGTCCTTTTCGATATGGCATTTCCTTTGTGAGGGAATAATTCAAAGGTGCATAGTTTTCCTCAATGTAGAACTATGTATATGTACGAATGAGTGACGAAAAGTTGCAACTTTTTATAGTTATGTTTTAAAAGGGAAATATTGTTTCTATTCAAAAGGACGTTGCCAGCACATTGTTGAATAACAGTAGTTACGAACGAGATGTTCACTATTCATGCAACTTTTTTTATATCGCTCAATGAAATCAAGATGAATCAATAAAGAAGAACCCAATATAAAAGAGATCCATAACTCTTTGACTCCAAAGGAATCCCGACACTTAAACTTTTCTTCAAACCATTCATACAAATTGAATGAAAATGATTGCCAAACCTTTGAGCTACATAGTTGCTTACCTGTGGAAATGATATTGATGCAGAAGGAGAGAAAGAGAGAAGAAAGTCGTTGTGTGTGTGTAATGAGCTGGAGAGACTCAAAGAAAGAAGTGAGAGTATGAAAGAAACGATTTTGTTCATTTTTTCCCGTACATTATTGAAAACTTTTTCCCGACAAAAATCTGGAGGGAACCAATTCATGTTTATTGATAACAGTACTTTGTGTGATTTTTGTCCTTTGACAGTTGCTCCTCTTTGCTACCTATACGACGAACCGGAGCCCTTGTACTTCACCTTCCGTGCCCTTTATTCCCGATACTTTTTTAGACTTCATGAAATTTCCTCTCACGAAAACGGGATTGTAGGACTTTGCATCCTCTTTGAAAAACTGCTTCACCGACATGAGACGCAGCTATGGTTTCATCTCCGATCTTTGCGCGTCCTTCCGTAAGTATGCCTAGTTTTATAGACACATGTGTACACAAGAGTCAATAAATCAAAGCACTTTGCACTTTTTTTTAAAGTCGGGGTGAAAATCGCATTGTTATCGACAAGGTTGATGACTATGCTGCGAAACATTATCAGAATTGACATTCTAGCACCTTATACAGACACGTAGCTCTAGGTAGGCGATTTGACTGTGTAACGAAATGCGATTGCATAAGAGCGATGGCTCTGAGTGGTTCGATATGCTAGTTAGGCTGCATGAAATGTGAGTAAGGACGTCATTTTCAGAATGAAAGATGTTCAATTTTCTTTCCCCTGCATGCGAGACGTGCCGAGATTTAAGTAGCAAAACGCGTCGTTATAACGTTAAAAAAAGTATAGCAAATTAAGGCCCATTTTATCAATGCAATTTAAAACTAAGACAAGAAATCAGGACCAATGTTGGTTTACACAGACATTATTTTCTGCTGATGCACTTGACATGCACGGCATAATTGCACAAGGTTAAAGTGCACTGAAGGTTCACTATAGTGGCACGATTTCTCCCTCAGAATCACAACTTGGCCTCGTTGCGAATCAGTGCTGATTTAGCAAATGGATAGCAATCGAAGGAAGAATTAGATTTAAGGTAAAAAAAAACACGAACTGGGGAAAGATTACGTTTGAAATGGGAAAAATCCATCGCTGGTTGAGCATCAATTGGTTCTGGAGAGAGTAAAAAGGTAATTTTAATTCTAATGTCCACTCTCCCATTACTTTCAGCCTGCTCAGGCCTGGGGAAAAAGCAGGGCAGTGATAATTTGAAAGGTTTTTATTTGCTCGACTTTCATTTTTGGTACGATAAGAAGACTTGCTGCGTAATGTAATAAGAGAGAAAGTGTTAACTCGATCGCCCATCGCACTCGATCCGTGTATTCTTTCTTCTCTCCGGGTTCGACTGCTGCTGCTGCTGCCATCATCTAATGATCAGCGTCCTTTTGGATCCATCCTCCCCTTTGTCGCACGGAGAAAGGAGCGACGTTCTCGCTGTGCTACACTCAGACATCAATGAATGGCACAAATTGCTCACTCATGTGGCATATATAAGTTCTCTTCGTTAAAATAACAATTTTCTGGTCGGCATAATATGTGACCTTGTCCATTCTCTCCGATACGTACGTACGTAGATATCCATGCAGTTTCTGCTCCTAGAAATGGAGAAACTAGAGATATTTCGAGCCACTTGAAAATGTTTTTTTAAGATAAAAATTATAATGGGCTGCTGACAAAGAGTTTGAGGAGTGGAATATTTGTAACTTTGCCCTGAGTGAACAAGGGACAGATGTAGAAGTACATGAAACTATTAACTGGATATATGTGTAACTGGTGACTTTCACCCACACACAGGGAGACGTACGTACGTTGTAGGAGGAGAGCAATAAAAGCCTTCGTCTCGTATAACTCACTCGTTTGAACATACATTAATACATTACTATTGCTGCTTTATGGTTCGTTTTTTGAGATTTAATTTAATTTCTACATTATAATAATTTATGGTAATCGTTAACTTCTTTTCAAAAGGCACGCCCATGACATAAAACGGATAGAGGAGTGCATAGCTTAAGGTACCGGAGTGGGAGCAGCATACAAATTCATCCTATTATCTGAAGGCAGTGGGTCGAAAATAGAGAGAATTGTACAGCGTATTATCATTATTATTATTATTATTACAGGGTATACATAGTTATACTTTGGTCGATATTGGAAGATGCAAATTATCTGATCCATGGTTTGAATGGTCTTAATTTTTCTTTGATAGTTTTAGCAATCAATCATAAAAAGGGAAAGTATAGGCCACGCTGTAAGTACGGACACGCAGTGACCTTGTGGTAGATATTTATGTATGTGGTATTATATGCACGTGAAACATGAGACATATGTAGCTCCTACTTCCGCATGAACGACGAGAAGAATGGTAGGACCTTGGTTTTTTGGACTTGGATGCACCATGTAACTTACACGACATATAAGTAATTCTATTATGTTACATGGCTTTTTCGTGGTGTGAAACAATACAAGTCATCAATATTTCTTTCCGAATTTTGAGAGGATGCAGATGGAATCGGGTCCGATTAGGTGGCAATCCGACCAGATGAAGTAGAAAGTACTCGCGGAAATTGGAGAGGAGAGAGAGAGCAAGGGGAGAGGATGAATAAAGTCGGTGATGATAGGAGGATGTAGGAATTTTGTTCAAGTCCATGGGGACAAAGTCACGAGAAAGCCTCGCTAAACTACTTCACACTCGAATAACTCGCGAATCCACATGGCTTTGACAAATTGGACGGAGACGGGCAGAGGATAAGTAAAGAAAGAAGAGACGAACAATGGGATCATGTCACCATCAGAAAGATTTTCTCCATTTTCCATCTCAACAAACCAAAATTGTACACGTGTTTCCGCGCAGTGTGTTGTATGTGTTTGTCATCTAAGGATTTTTGACTGATGAGCGATTCACGTAGAAAATTGCATGACGTTGTGTCCCATCTGACCTGGCTAATTTAGTTTGCTCAGCATGTCTCAAGTGGAGGCTTGCAATGATCCTCATCTAATAGGGACACAGGACTGTTGAGCAAACATTCAACAGCAGCAGGAGCAGAGATATGTATTCGTACGTATGATGTATGTGTACTTATCGTGGCCACCACCGCTCTTGGGCTGGATTGATTACAAACCAAATCCCAAATTGAGGGAGAAAATGATTGCCACTCATCCATTACCTTCTTTTATTATGAAAGTCTGTTCGTCACAAGCACGGATGACGCTCATCACTCGAGACCAATATGGACTGATTTCCTTAAAATTTAGATCCGACAAGATTTGCATACTACAGATTTCTGGCCTACTGATGGGAATACGTTACTTTACAAGGCTCAAAATAAATATCTTGCATAATGCGCCCTAAAGTTCTCTTCAATCAAAACACCCTTGGCTTCTCCGACAGATAATAAAACTTGAAGTGTGCAAGCAAGTGACTTATTCGTGGAATTCGCACGTAGAGATATGTATCTGCTATACATCCTTTTCCCTTGCAAAAATAGTGTTATAAATAAAAACCCTTAAATTATGCACTAGAAGCGAGCACATGCCAAGTTGCAAGTTAAGACTTGAGAGTTAAGTGAGTCCCGAGTGGTTAACTTTTAATAGAAGGTATTTTATTGCGAATTGGCAGTTGGTGGATAGAGCACGTAAACACCTCCTCAAATCCCATGTCAGATACATGCATGTACATATCTTAGAGATTCAGCTTTATACAAAAATTTGAATTTTTTTCGCCACTTTCATATTTTCATGAATGTGGTTAGGTTGTGTTTCTGTGTAAAACTATGTGACGCGCTCTGAGGCTGGAAATAATTTATCTCTCTGCGCTTATCTACCCATCTATATTCCAGCAGTGATTGCAGATATTTCAGCTTCGCTTGACCCAAAAGCTGGCCATTACCTATTCAAATCTTGGCCTTGGTTCAGTAGGCTCTCTGTAGAATGGTTCGAATAAGTAAACCAGCCAGCAACCCCAGACGATGGATGAGATGCGGATCGAATGAGTAAAATCTTAAATTGGGTTAGACTCTGGTATATGCAACAACAAAGGGAAGGCGATTGTGAAACGTATAAACAGAACAAGTATATGCACCTCTTTGATTACGGAACCTCGACTGCAACCAACACACAGCCGGGCAAAGTTTGTAGTAAAATTTTAGTATTTTCAATTCCTTATTCAATTTACTTGGACATTTCCATCTCCCGAATTGACAAGAAGGCTCATAAAAGCGGTTGAGGAGAGGGAGTGCCTCGTAATTTACATCGTCTGGGTTGACACTATGTACAAGGGAAAAAAGAAACCCACAAACGAGCTGCGGCAGACATTTTCACCAATCATAATTAGCACAATGCTTCATTTGAGTACATTGTTGCTGACGCGAGAGCATCTTTGAAGTTTAATTGAATTTTTATGTTGCAGTTTGCGTGTGGTGTTCAAATGGTTGATGAAAGGATTCAGCGGCTACCTTCCGGCAGAGCAGGTGCTTCAACTGTGGGACCTTCTTCTGGCCTACGACTCCATCCATATTTTTGCCCTCTTTGCAGTCGGAGTGCTCAGCATTCGAAAGGAAAATTTAATGAAAGCTCAACAGCCCCAGATCGTGGATGTAAGTCGGTTGGTTTGTTGGCTGGTTGGTTGAGTTGGGTTGGTTTTAGAAAAGTGGGTGCAGTGCATTGTAATAGACTTTCCTCACGCCTCGCTCGCCAGTAATAAATCCATTCAATTGATTCCATTTTGCATTTTACTCACACACGCCTAAATGATTTATTCCATTTACCAACTCTCTCTCTCTCCCTTTCTCTCAACCACATTTCACCCACCACAAAGAGGTCTTTTGCTTGTACTCAACACGCTTTGTTCTTCTTCTCCTCCTCCTCCTCATGGGAGGTGGGTGGTGGTCGTGGTGGTGGTGGTGGTAGTGCTGAAGCAAGATGCACATTTTCCTAAAGACTGGAGAGAGCTCAAAACTTTTTGAGTCGACCCATTAATTTTATCTGGTGCTGCTAACACTGAAACATTTAAACCCTCGTGAAATCAAGTGGGCCGAGATTGTTGAACCATCGTGCGTGCTTTAGTCATTTGTGAATGCCTCCTTTGCCAATTTCTCTTCCCATTCATGATGCTGAAAGTAGTGCACGTATGTACTAACACTAGGAGCAGTAGTAGTAGTAAAGTTAAAGTAGCACCACCACACCTGCACGAAACTGGGGAAAGTAGTCGTGGTGGTGTGGTGTCGCCAGTTGGTTTGGTTTACTTGCCGGTTCCTTATCGCACAACTTTCTGCATGGCTTTCTGAAGTGAAATATGTTTGCACAGTTTGCCACATGCATGATTCCGCTGGGTGTGGGTGCTCAAAGCGGAGCAGTGGGTGGCACATACAGACGACCTGGAATTAGCTTAGGCTTCCGTATAATAGAGAAGGAGGAGGTTCCCATTCTACATAACACCTGGAATAATGCACGAGCAATCTGATCTCCTGAGGTGAAAATTAGCTATTAGTTAATGAAACTTCACAATTACCCACCCATTTGGTTGTCAAGTTGTTGGTGGTACATTACATGTGTAGTATTGGCAGTAGTATATAGCGCCACAGTTTATGGGTTCCGTGTTACGAAACACGCATTCAAAAGACAAAGTTTTAGCATGTTAGTGTGTCGTACAGAGCATAAATAAACAAGTATGACACACACATTCCCTGTTAATTTACTGACTTGATCCTCCTTCTTATTAAAGCGGTATTATTAATCCCGCATCACAAAGAGGTTCGCCCTCATATCACAACATGGATACATACTTTGTAACAAGGTTATCAGCAGAAGCGACTCTATTGTTTGAGAAAGTGAACGAGATTTTTATTTGGCAAAGATCCGACAAGACAAACTGTGCAATTGACAATGAATTCCCAATAGCCAGGCACGATTTCTCCAATTCAGAGTTTAGAAAGTTTTGTCGTTCCAGACATCCTGGTGGCACTACATTTCCTCCTCCTGTCCATTACGCGGAGCAAGTTGTGACTTTCTTATACAAATAATAACGCTCGTGACATGCAGTTTATATGGCTCCTCATATCGTACACCTATTGTAATGCACCATCACGCCGAGCGGGAGGAGGATGGGCTGAGGACAAACTGTATGTAATCGTCTTGGTCGATTCGAACGAAATTGACTTGGATGGAGCAGAATGCAAATTGAAGTACAGTTTATCGGGTCATGTTCTGTTTCGGGAGCAATAAGTTGCAGCATGTGGGTCTGAATTCCGAAGAGTATAACTGTCACTCAGCACGCATCTCTCATAAACCTCCACCTCCGCAAACACTTGGATGTCATGGAACCAAAACAATCTAACATGCTCCACGCCAAAATTAACGGCGATGGAAGGTCTCCCTATCATTATTAGATGGTAGTAGTTGCCGGACCCATTACGGATAAGGGCATGCATTTTTATAGTCATTTATGTAATAATATGGGCAAAAAGTTACAAGAATTTCATCGCGTGATAGTTTACCGCTGCCTGATTCACATTTCATCTAACGAGTATGTATCCCAAAGTTGGGGGACGAAGACGAAGTAGAGGCAACATCCGATATGATAGGGTAACACTATCTGCTCAGATTTCCATAGCGGAAAGTTGGTTTCTTTTGGGGATTTGAAGTGAAGAGAAAAAAAGCCCATTGATTTTCTTTTGAAGACATGTGAGGAAGATATGGAGAGAGGAGCTCGTAAAGGAAATGGGACGATGAGCCAACTATTACTACCACCACGAAACAGTTCTTGTACTTCCTCCTCCCAGAATACGTACGTACGACGACTACCCGCTTAGGTGATGGATGCGGAAAATTCTAGAGACTAACGGGTATCTGGCGAGTAACATGCATCTGTACTTAGACAACAGTTCATCAGATAAATGTACATGTCAGCGGAGAAAGTCCTATTCCTCGGCTAAGAGAGAGTGAGAGTGAGAGGAGGGAGATGACTTTGTAGCCCATTCTGCATTATGTAAGGGTGGTGGTGACGAGTTATTCAATTTATACAACACAGGATGATACCATGTCAGTCAGTTTCTCATCACCATCATCCCAAGACAGTCATCATGAGTTTGTACATAAAAAAATTCGGGGCCGTCCTACATTTCTAAACTATCCAAACAGATGTATCAGTTAGGTTTGAATTTAGAAAGCCATAATTATGATGAATTATGCACTCGCGTCATTGGAAACATTTATTTTTTACAGAATAATTCCTCCAATGGTTCCTTCTTCATTCGCATCTTTAGTTCAGTGGCGTCTATTTTGGGAAATGTGGTATGCAGTGCATCGCCTGCCTATTCAACTGAAATTACCAAATTGTAGAAAAGGATTCCTCATGTCATGCTTTATTCAGTTTTCTGTGCTGTTTATTCACATGTTCTCAACTTCTCCTCGGGATGTAGATTGTCTCCGGGTTTCATAAATGAATGATTTCGCATGAAGGTTTTCTACAGAGGGGAGGAAAAACTAGGTTTTTGTGATTGCAAGTAAGGCAATCTACATTATTGAAGAAAATAATATCAGCCTCGTTTGGTTTTGGAATGGAGTGGAGATCAAAGAAGATGTTCAGCTCATTTTCCACCTTCTTCCTTCATTGATTACGCAGAAGAGCATGCATACATATGCATGCTGGCTGCATGTAGCTTTAGCAGAAATGTGGGGAAATGAATAAATGAAAGTCATTTAATAGCATGAAATTACAACTTACCGCATGAACGTTCTCGTGGCGTGATTTGGTTTCTTTTCAATCAAGTGGTTCAATTTTGGCGTTGCATTTTGGATATTACTTTTTTCTTTCTATTGAATATTACAGGCCGTGCTGGCAGATTTGTCGTCCATCAAGGTTCTCCCCGTATTGCAACTCGCCCTTTCCAAGGAGGCCTTTTAATCAAGTGTACCAGCGCATTTCCTGTTTGTGCACACGTTTTTTTTCCTCTTCATCATCACAATTATGTGTACATACAAATGTACCTACGTGAATCACTGGAGTGCTGTACGTACATATGCGTCTCAGTTACATAATTATTATTTCAGCAAGTATGTATCACTCAAAAAGCTCCGGTGGGAAATTAGATCGATGACCCGGTTTACATGGAACGCAACGCTTCAAGTACCGTCTCTGATTGCTTGAATATAAAAATCCCTCAGTACAACGCGGCACAGTCCGGCGTTCTGTGCGCCACGAAAATACGACTCCCTTGATGGGAGTCATCCTCTTCGTTGGTCTAAACATGGTTTTATACAATGCTAGCCTGTGACTCCACACTTGCTGACAATGTATCTACAAGCTACTTCTACCCACTATTTCTAATTTAGCCAACTATGTATGAACTTGAAATATGATAGAAATTCGTGAAAAATGTGTTCATATGAATTATCGGACCTAATTTATGGCGTGGTTGTACAATGTGAAAATAAAATTTAGCAAACAACAGACAAAGTTTTCCAGAGATTAAGTAACTTTACTTGTCATATTTAATATTTAGATCTAGAGCACAATGTATGATGTCAAATCATCTACACACAATAATTAATAATGCCTTCTTCTCATTGTATCATTCTAGAAAATAATTTACATAGCACAACAATACCACTCTTCAACCTGTTGCACTTTAAAGTAGATTTTAAAGCTACTTTTACTAACTTTTATTAACTAGTCAGCATTTGTCGTCGTAAAACTTGTCATTGTCATTAAGGCAGCACATTGGACGGTGTAGTAATAAAATAATTATAATTGTAATTTCTTGGCAAACTTTTGATAAATATATTGCTAATGCTGATCAAGTATAAAATTGCAAAAACTATATAACTAGTCAAAGAATAAACCAGTGTTCGTAAAATAAGTGTTCGTTTAACTCTTCAGAAGTTTACACAAGTAATTTTACGTATCTGTAATCATAATAATTTGTTGTATTGCATTCTTGTATTGTATTTTGTGAGTGTGAATCATCAATGTCAGAAACATTTATTACTTCAATTCAAATATGTCACAACTTGGCGTCAGTATTATTTATGTGAGGATGGGCAAACGCGCATTTTCCTTAAAAAATGTAAAACTGGAATGCTCATTTTAAATAGATCATCACTTAAAAGTGCATATTTGTCTGATAAAGAATTGTTTATGTTTGTGTGTATTTATACGATTAATTTAGCATGGTCATAATTACACTAAAAATTAAATTAAACGTTTACATGTTGCAGAAACCTAAATTAATACTACTAATATTTCGGAATAAATAAAGCCAAACAATGTACAATTACATATGTAAAAAATAGTGATAATGAGACATTTTAATGTTTAGCTCGATCAGTTCTTTTCAATTCAATTAGTGCATTTTTGATCTCTTCATCCTCCTGTTTTCCAAGTCTCTCACTGTCTGGGTTTGCAAATTCTGGAAAGTGCTTCACATAGTCGGGAATTACTGGACGATGAACTACGCGTACTCGTGTTGTACCATTGAAACGATTTTTTACTCCAAAACTACCCGGTCGCATGCGTTGCCTTACACGAACGGTTTTGACAATTTTGGTGCTTGTGCTTCCGAGTGAGGGTGTTGTTGAATCATCTGAAGTGCTGGTTGTCGGGTCTGACGTGGTCGTCGTGGTGGATACCGGTGCGGATGTAACAATGTAAACCGGTCTCTCCACGTAGGGCACACTGGGTGAAAATTTAATCTCAACTTTCTGGTCGTCACTTCCACTCGGCACTTTTCTTCCCGTTGGTTCAGAAATGTGTTCCGAAATGCTGCTGGAAGCCGTGCCTCCTCTCTCCTCCGAGACGGAAAAGGAAGAGGATTTTTCCGTGGACATAGTCGTTAGAAAGGGTGCCTCTTCCGTAACCGCAGCCGTAGGAGGATGAGAGCTGCTCGTGTGCTCACCACCATCCTCCGTGGTGGTGGGAATGGGTCCAATTCCTCCCGTCTCGACCACCAAGGAATGTTGTTTGACCTCGCTGTTGGCGTAAATATCGTCAAGAATCACGTTTTTGGGAGGACTCCATTTATTGTTGTTGAAGCGAGAGTGACTTGGGACTAGGTGAGCTCCCGTCGGAGGTCGATATACTGGAATGGAGATTGAAGCTGAGCCGGGGTTGTGAGAATCCCCACTTTCCAGAGAACCTTGTTCGTAATCCACTGGTGGAATTGCTGTGGTCGTGGTGGTAGTCCAAGCGTTGAATGAGGTTATAGCTGGACGACCTGCTGGGAATCTTGTCCCTGTAAAATGTACCAAAACAACCATCTCAGATGAGAACATGTCAACTAGGCTACCAAGGCGGAAGAAAAAGGACAAGTGCTTGGTTGGTTTCCAAAGATGAGAGTGTTCAGGTTTCGCCCTCAATTCATCGTGGCAGACTTTTATATATTTCTCCACGTCCTCATAAATGCTGGCTTTTAAATTGCCATGTTTTTAACCCTCCGTCTTTGCCAAAATCCCCTCATTATCCACAAAATTCCCACAACTCCCACTGACCCACTTGTCAGGTATATAAATATAGCATGTGGACGTATAACAGGCACAAACCACATTAAGGAACAGAGGGAAGTGCACGGAGGAGTCATAATATATTATACATCAGCTCGACTCACTGCACAAATGGAAAACTTGTGTTGGTTATAGAAGAAGAAGAAGGAACCCTTCATCTTGGGTTAAAATCAGAACGACTTTGTTTGGATCAAAGTGCAAACGACTACATATCGACCGATTGGATTTAACCTTCACTAATATTGCCTCAAAAAACCATGAAATCAACTACGAAAATATCTTATGAAATCTGTAAACTCTTTAGAACTCTTACGTAACAGCGGATGGAGAGGAAGAACAAGAATAATAACTCAAACTCGTGCCCATGGGAGTGCATGTTGTGGGTGGAATTGGTATAAAATTGGATAAAATAAATAAATGTAGACTTTCAGAGGGAAAAATAGGAAGCCTTGCCTATAACATTTCTCTACTAGAGAAAGTTCTCCTCCTCACAAATAGCCACTCACATGGTCGACAAGCGAGCGAGCACAGAGCAAACTTTATTAAGCAAACTTTCCAAATGTCATCATAATGCCAGGCAGGAAGACGGGAGTCGTCGTAGCATGTTCCATACCATTATCATTTGCCCGCAACAACAAAGGTCGGTGCTAAAATATTTAATATTATAAAAGACCACCACTCGACACACTCACCTTGGCGAAATCGAACTTTCTCCGCTTTCTCCTCATTCTTAGTGGAAACATCTTGAAGCCTTTTTCCCTCCGCAGTTTCGCTGGATGCCGTGAGCAAAATTGGTTCTGAATGAGCCTGAGCACATTCGGCAGCTGTCACCAGGCCGGTGGCTACGTTTTGATACTGCACGACTTTGGTGTTTGAGACAGAAGCCAAAGACTGCTTGTCATCCTCCTCGTCATCGTCTACCTGTTGGTACTCTTCCACCAGTTTGGGAGACTTTAGCTTCACCACGTTGTTGTTGAAGCTCTGCCAGGAGTGGACATGTTGACTCTGTTGACCATAGTCTTCCTCTGATGGGGCAGAAGAGGGCTGACTTTCACCAAACGTGTCAGACCCGGATGATGAAGAGTCGCTGTTTCCTTTCGTAAAATCATGAACAATGACCTTTTGAGGGCGGAAGGTTTGGTGACCGAATGATTGAGACGCATATGAACTTGACTCTGGGGAGTGAATAATAGTAGTGGAGACGGGTCGGATTATGTAATTCGGATGAGCAGGCGGAGAGGAACGATCATCTTCAAACTGAGGAGCTTGATTATTCTCGTTTCCACCCGGAGGAGCGGAGAACTCATTCAGACCATTTGGGTTATCACTGCTGTGGACTTCTTGGGATGATCCATCGTACGAATTGTGCTCCGAGGACGACGTGGGCCCTTGAGGTTGGTAGTCTACATTCGGATTGGACTGTTTTTGCTCTGGCTGCCCCACATTCTCCTCCTCTGGAAAAACATAAAAGGAACAAATATTTCATACGGACAAAACAACGAGAGACAAACATGGCGAAATTTTACTGCTCCCCTCTGAATTATGTTTATTAACGTGCATTATTATTACGGACACACCTAAACTTTGAACCTGGGAGTCATCCTTGCCACCAACGGAAATAATGTCGAATGGAGTTACAGTCGGCCGTTTTGAGAGCTTTTGGCCAAACGGAATATTTATCGAGTACTGTTCTTCTTCGCTGCTTCCCTTCAAGTCTTGTTGTCCCCTTCCACCATTTGTCGTCCCTGATCCGTCCTGCACTTGGCTCCTCGATTCCTCTTTGATTGGTTCCTGTACTTGGTTGTACTTATTTACGCTTTGGGTTTGAGACTGGTCAGCAACTTTTGGGGTCGACCACTCATAAACAGGTTTGGAGAAAACTGGACCATCTTTCGACTTGTCTCCTCCAGTTGGGATTTGCTGCTGCTGCATTTGCGGTCTCAGTCGAAGGAATCCTGAATCTCCTTGATTGCCTTGTTGTTGTGGGGGCTGAATCCAAAAAATGGAAGATTGTTGGACTGGTGGGGGTGGAGGATAGTACATGAGATAAGGTTGCTGTTGAACATGTTGTTGTTGTTCTTGCTGCTGCTGCTGTTGTTGTTGCTGTTGTTGAGTGACTTGTGGGGGGTTTGTTGGTTCATTCTTTGAGTTGACCCATTGTTGATGATTTTGGCAGTTTACAGTGGTTTGGTCTGAAATTCCGTTATGGATATTTTCATCCTGAGTCGTGTCACCCTCTACAGAATTGAGGTCGGAGCTCGAGGCTACCGGAGATGATGAGTCACTGCCCCCTTCCAACAAGTTGTTGTTGCTCACTTGAACCTGGGGGTATTGAGGACGTACGACTGGGACGCTGTGAACATAAACGGTTCTCCCACCCGGACCTGCATTCCCGTTGGCGTTGGATTGCCAATATTGGTGAGTGAGATAGGAGGTCCTCTGGGCGTGATAGAGGGCCGTGCTGATGGAGGCGGGCAAAGGGTCAAACTGGCTGTCGGGATGAGGTCTCAAAACTATTTGAGGGTGTTGTTGTTGTGGGTTAGGAACGGGTTGAGATTGAACCTGGGGGGCAAATTGGTGCTGTTGTTGCTGTTGTGGAGGAACATTGTTGATTTGCTGTTGTTGTTGTTGAGGAGCATTGTTGATTTGTTGAGTATTGTACTCTACATTTTGTGGTGGACTTCGAGGAGGAGGTTCTTGTGACACACCTTGTTGCTGAGATTGAGCAGCAGCCACTATCGGTTCTGGTTTATTTTTCTGTTCCTCATGGTACGTGATTCCATGTACGACAATATTTCCGTGAATTTTGGGGTCATTCGGCGATAATGGTCGATTTCCTTGATTACGAACAATGAATATGGGAGATTTGGCTGCATGTGAGTCAGAAATGGGAATTGGCACGGGAAGTGGGACTGGGACGGTGGTGACCTGTTTAGTTTTTTCCGTTGGAGTAGTTGGATTTTGGAAGAGATGCGTAATGTCGGTCTGTACTGCTGGGATAATTTCCCATCCACTCTCCTGCACCGAGGGGGCAACAGTGGAGGGGTTATTGCTACCACTGCCTTCCGATGCTTTTGGAGGTGCTGGGGGCTGTATGTTCTCAATGGATTGAATGTGAGGATTTTTTACAACTCCTTTGGGTGGACTGAATGGTACTTTGGGTGCTGTCTGGACAACATAGTTGTTGGACGGGGTTTCTCTCTGGTTCTGTATCGTACTTCCTGATTGATGGTAATCTGGAGGAGAAGATTCCTGATTTGGGACCGGAATTGCAACAATGTTTGAAGAGTGGGATTGTGACGAGTCTGCGGCTGCTGTTTGAGGTTTCGATTGTGGTTGCCCATATTTCACATCATTGGAACCTTGATTTGATTGCTGTTGATTTTGCCCAGACGGTTGAGGAGATCCGTATTGTTGTTTTGGGGCCTGCTGCTGCTGTTGTTGTTGTTGTGGCTGAGGTTGGTTAGGGAAGAACACTTGTCCACTGGGGAAAGGTCGTTGACCTTGTTGTTGTTGGGGTGCAGGTTGTTGGACTGGAGGACGCAAATTAATGATATACTGGTTTCCACCCGGCTTTTGTTGACCACTATGTTGAGATTGTTGTGGGGGAAGATATCCTCCTTGTGGTGGTCTATTTTGTGGAGGTGGAGGCAAATATCCGCCAATATTATTCGAAGACTTTATCTGCTCAAACTGTCCAAAAGGTGGTCGTGAAATGATTGGCATCTTAATATTTTGTGGGGATGGTGGGAATGGTTTTCCGTATTGAACTTGAGGCTGAGGTGGATTTTTATACGGTGCAATGTTTGGTGGATGAATCTCCGAATGCTCTTGATACACTAGTTTGGCTGGAAGAATATTTTGGAAATTGGAAATTGGAGCATGCTGTTGTTGTTTAGGCTGCTGCTGTTGCTGTTGAGGACGAACCCCACCACCGCCATGCTGAGCGGCAACAATGGTGCTAATCGTAATGGGTGGAACTGGTGCTGCAGAATTTGATGATGATGCCGATGACGAAGATTGTTGCTGCGGTTGTTGTTGTTTTTGAGGGGCATTTCTTGGAGGAAAGTTGTATCCACTTTGTTGGAAAGGTGGGGGCGGAGGAACCATGCCATAACTTTGACTCACTACTGGCTGAAGTACGGTGGGTCGATAAGCGATTTGAGGTTGGAACTGGAACATTTGCATGGGGCGGATCTGATAACCTGGTGGGGGCTGCATGAATGGGGCTGGCTCATTAAAATATCCACCACTTTGGTGTTGCTGAGGCTGCGGCTGCTGCGGGGGCGGCGGATTATTTCCCACCGGTCGCAACACAGTGGGCTGTTGTCGAGGCGGATCATAAATTTGAAAAGTGATTGGTCTTGTGGCAGGATCTCTATTTTTATTTGCATTGTCATTCGTGGGCGTATGCTCCTTGAATTGTTGCTTTTGAGATGAAAGTTGATGTTGCGGTGCTGCATTATTCTGGGATTGGACCGAGTCAAACTGAATGGCAAATGGTTTCCTATTTGCTGGTTGCACCGGAAGCGGAACCCCATCTTGTGCCTGGCCTAGAGCGCTAATAACAATTGTATTGGATGGTTGGACATTGGCATTTGAAACGGATTTGGCCGGATATTGATCAGTGGGCTGTTGTTGTTGGGGCTTTCCGGATCCTGCCACCGGCATCCAAGGAAACCGTTCGCATGCAATGCATAAAGCTTTGGGCACATGAAAGTTTGGATTTGGTTGAGAAGGTGACTCATTGCCCAGGGGACGATTGTTGTACGCCCTCAGCCCAGACTGCACTTGTTGTTGCTCGGAGGGAGAGCCGACCAGTCTGGAGTCTCTGGAGGGGGCAGTGTGCTGCACTTGTGAGGAGGACGAGGAAGGGGCCGGGGACAGTCTTCGGAACAGAGATTTGGGAAAGAAAAAGCATTGAGCTGGAGTCAAGGCATGGCACAAAACTAACAAGACGACACTTGAAGAGACGAGCCACACATGATTCTTCTGCTGGTTTTGTGACCTTCTTGTAGAACGGTGTCCAAATCTGTGACCTGACTTTTTCTCAGTCTCCAGAGAAGAAGAAGGCTGTTGTCGCCTTTCCCCCGTTTCCAACTCCTCGTTCATTTCCGTTCTTCGTTCCTGCAAGAAGAATTTAACATTAGATAAAATTTATTCCATCTTTATTTCCGCTCTGTTCAACATCTTTCATCCACTTTAATTTACATTTATTACAATATATTGAATTTATTTGGAAAATTTATGCCTTCACTTTCTTTCTTCCTCTGGCTGTAAAAATATCTCGTAAATGTATTCCCAATCCCACACGTAGTCGGTCGTCTAATATTAAGATCTTAAATGCAGCCTCGTTGTTCCCTATCATTATATGGAAAATAAATGCTGGTGACTTCTGCGAGGAGATATTTTTGGCGTCATGTGCCAACCAAGATCAAAGATATTCCAAGAAACTAAACATGCAATTTGTCGCTTTATCGTGATCTGACGCGTGTCAATTGTTCAAGATGTTCAATCAAATGCAAAATAATATTATTATCGTCTCCTTTATTGGATGATTGAACAATGGCCTTGATATTGAATGAAATGAATGGGACATGAAGAGCAGACGTAAATTAGGCATGTTTCAGTGGGCGATTAATTTGTTCTGTGCACGTATGCAGTTCAAATTAAATCAAAATTGGGATGAAAGTTCACAATTCACAATGTGCACACGTTGCGAACAGAAGCCTTGGGTTCCCAGAAATCCTTGAAAGTCAGAAGCACAGATCATTTGAAACGTCTCATCCTTTCTCTGTTTACTTTCTTCGAACTCATTGTTTTTTGTCTGTATGTACTTCCGAAGGATCAAAGGGAAGCGTATCTGTTCCACCATTTCCTAACCAACCCCCTCAACCCACACGTGAAGAAATGAGCTTCCTCCACACTTCACGTCATGTCCTGCTCCCAATCCGATTTTTTGATTGGCTTATCGAAATCATTACTACGACAATTAAGGGTTTCAGACCAATCGGATTGGGAGCAGGACATGACGCTGACGTGAACTATGGAGGAAGCTATAACGTTTAAGTTACAATTGTTATTTGATACACATACGTACAAAAAATGTATTAATATTGCTTTGAAGTTGATATGAACTTCAAAGGACCACATACATATGTCTAGAGTGACAATTGTTTGTGCTTAGGTACATATGGGCGTATGTAGTAAAAACACTAGTTTATTTCTGGGAATTTGTCTCTTAACTTCTTTTTACCAAAATTTTTGATATTTATGTCTAAACTTTCACCTAAAGTGATTACGCCGCGTTGAATTCTAACTTTGGAAACAAATTGGTCTAATTTTCTTGACTCATTTCCTCCAGTGAGTGGAGCGCGTGTAGCAAGTTGTTCAGGCTGATTTTATTTAATTTGTGCCAGACCATTCAGAAATTAATGTACTCAGAGGATGATAAATTAGTTGCGATAAATCTTCTAAAAAAGTCGGGCAAGTTTTGATTGATGGAATGAAATGTGAATGCAAGCAGTACATACGGATTAATCTTATCATCCGTCAAAGAACTCTGACTTTCTCAACCTTCTTGGTTGAGATGGATCACATGCATTGAACTAATCACGTAAGATCTCTATGCACATCCTGAACCACTCTCCTTTTGTACCCGAGTAGCCATCTGCATCAATCAATCTGGAAATTATTTCAAGCGACGACGATAATGATTATTTATTGGATTAACACTATAGGACAATACAGAACACATTGTCAATTGTTGCCAATAATGAGCCTGTAGCATAATCAATAATCGCGCAAAGGTGACAATGAGCCCGAAAGATAAGCATAATTACAGCTTGCAAACGGGTGGACGAGGAAAACCATGGTTGCTTCTTGTGACCTAGAATTGCGAATCCCACCGTTGAGAATAATTAGCAAACAATTACAATGAGTGACATGACATTCAATCCCACTGTTTAACGGATAAATGACGTCTTGACATTTGGGATGGGACTCGTACACAATGCATATTCAAGTGTTCGTTAGTGAGGTGACTCGAATGTGAATTGTGCGGTGGTGCTATTTTCTATTTCTATTGGAATGCAATCATCGTCGTCGTCGTAATGTTCCGATGGGTCGAAAAGTTAATAATAACAGTGTAAGACAGGACGTGAAATTATCTTTGGGACGAACTCCTCTCTCCCCATTCTTCCTTTGCATGCATGAAATCAAACTTTTAGGAAGACAGCTAAACACATTCAACAGTACGACACACTTAGCACACACAATCTCAATAATCTCAATTAAAAAATCATCAATTCGGAATTAAAGCATGGTCATGTTCACACTGAAAGATGCAGCGTGCCTCAACCAGGGCGCATGAAGTTGTCCAAATGGAACAGCTACATAGATTAGCACACACAATATATTTCGTACTCTTCCATTTAATGCAATTAATTTTTCTGTAAGCAAAGTAATTGTAGGGTTAATTTTTTGAACAAATCACTCAAACAAATATATGTAAAAATCCATTTTTTTGCTGGTTAATTGTGCATATGTTTCTAACTGATTGATGTGAACTTGCACTTGAACTATGGTTATAGATTCATCGTACTAAAAATATTCATCCATTCATTTTAAGCTCTGAGTGAATTTTATTTAGAATTTTAGAATGCCTTGGGTTTGTTGACGGCAAACACTACTTTCAACCATTCATTGTTTCAGGGTTTTCGTTAAGATAGAGCAAACATAGTTTACTTGTTGAACTGGTGCGTTTGCCAACCGGTGGTGACAAAGCCTGCCTCCTGACCGTTTCTCCTACATTATCGTACATTCCTCTGCATAGGGAGGAAAAGTACATCACACAGAAAGCCTCAAATGATAATGTGGGAGTGTGGAGTGGACCAGACGAGTCAACAATGGCAGAAATATGCTCAAGTGCAAATACTCAGAGTCAATGTTTAACTGTGCCGTGTAGTCAGTAGAACGACGACGACGACGACTCTCATTTTTTAGGCGACCCAAGAATTCACAGGCCAAGTACACAACTTTGACTGCTGATGATGATGACGATGAAAGTTAATTGATGCCATTCATTTCTCCAACAACGCTTCCGTCAACAGACAAAGGCACACTCACATAAAACAAGCATGTTAAGTGGTGCTAACTAATTTTGAATCCTTATTCCGAGCCTGAATTTGAACTCTTTGACCATTTTTATACTTGAACTTCTCGACTAAAAGCACTCGTTGAAATGATATATTACCGAAAGCAATTGTGCAGACTTTGTCACCTGCATGCATATCGTACATACGACGACGTACCCAAGGAAATTTGGGTGTCTCAGAAGACGTGGTATTTTCAGAACACTTTAATTCTCTCTATTGAGACAAAGACTTTCATCTCGACGGATCCATCCCAGTTGATAAATTCGTTAACCGCGTTACAACGCGTCAGTACGGACGGACAGAAAACCATTCAAAGGACCACAATTATCTGGTGTATAGTATGGCCCCAAGTTGTACAACTGTAGCCAAAATTCGAATGAAATTACTATTCAATTAATCCACTGACCCCGTGAAAGACGTCGCTGAATTTCAATGAGACACAAAGTATTTCCATTCCACATAATATTCGTCTGTCAGTTGGTTGAAATTGTCCTCCTATTTCGTACTCTCGACTCAAGACAAAGCTCAATTTGGCAAACCTCATATCCTCAAACAGAAAATAGAAAGGGCGGAGATCTTCGCAACGTTGTTGTGTCTGTGATACTTTTCTCATGTCGTATACGTTGTTTTATTATTATTTGTTGAATACGATATGCATGGACATGGACTTCTCAGCAAATAATCACTCAGCAACAAAGGATGAATTTCAAATACAACAATTCATGCCATAATTTCACATTCATCTTCAACAATTACGATCCATTAGTAAGTTCTTCCTAACAAAATTGTTCCCGAGTCATTGTCAACAACAAATACGGATTCCGCCAGAGGTATTTCTAGGTTTTTGTTTATCATCCGTATGTATGTATGTACATGTATGTGTGTACACCAAGCTCTGTCTGCCAGGCAAACTCGAACAATCAACGTGTGATTTAATTATCATCATCATACAATGACAAAGCGTAAGACATAATAAATACTTTGGAGGAAGTTATGTGGGAGCAATCAATTCCACGCATAAATAATACATATGTATGTACATATGTACATCGATACGTGTGTATCTAGGTAGGCAGGTAAATTCAGCGCAATTCTAATTCAATCCACGCTTGTGTATTTTTCAATCATCGCGACGAATTATTCTACGCTGACCCACTGAACCACTCTTGACCTTCCGCTCAGTCGGATATTGACTCTTGACTCATTTGAATGTCACAATCATCCCTGCTGATATTATAGCAGTGGTGGCGATGATGATGATGATGACGACGACGAAGGTGGCGGTGGTGGTACGGTGGTTAAGATAAAAATTCAAATGTGCCCAAATCGGTGCTCATGAAAGCATTTCGTTATCAACCAATCAGCCATTGGAAACTACGAGTAGTGAGATTTATTGCCCATTTTTGTCGCGAAGTAGTGTCGCTTGCTGAATCACGTATTAAATTGACAATGTCACCCGAGTGCTGAAATTGAAATATTATTATAAAGGGCTGAAAAGAGCTGTGTGCATGATTGCACTCATGCAAGTAATGCGGATCTATAGCGCAGTAATCATCATGTATCCGACAAATGTTGGATGGATGTATGTGACATGACAATTTCTTAAAAAATGTTGTACAATATTTTCATACATTTGTTTGCATTTAAAAGAATGAACTTGAAATTTGAGTCGTGCGACATGTACGATTGATTTAGTCAAGCAAGACCAAGAATAAAGGTACGAGATGCGATATGATGAAACGGTCACCAAATTCTGTTCCTCTGCCAATGCAGAAAAGATTGGAAATGAAATAATGGAGAGAGAATAAGAGTCGCAACAGGGGGTCGGTCGCGGTATCCGCAATGATCAAATACACCTCGTACGTTTCTGTGCCGGAGGTACTGCCACTTCTGCTGGCTGGTGTTTATAGAAGATGTAATGTGTCACCGTCCATCATCATTTTTGTCACTTGGCCCATTCGCCACCATTTG